ACAACACCAACAACAACAACATCAAGAGATGTTTTTTGTAGTAAAAAGCAGCTAATTAGTAGTATAGTAGCCTATTGTAGTAGGCTATAATAAAATGCATTGTAATGTAATATAGGAGTCTATAATATATTTAAATATAGAAACTACTATAGTAGATATAGTATAGCAGGGTATAGTATTGTATGACTATAGTGTGGTATAGAACAGTATAGTAGGTCTATAATATGGTATAGCATAGCATAGTATTACTATATTATATATATACTTCATTTGTCTGTCTACTCGCCGTTATATTGAATAGTCTCTGCTGATAACATGTCTACACTCACTTTATCTTACAGTATCACTGATTGCACATCTCCCTATGTCAATACTGTCCATTATTTGCATTTAATCTTTCATATTTTAGACTAGTAATGCTAAGTTAAATCCTGGTTGTATATATTCCCATTCTTAGTTTTGATATTTCTAGTGCTTATGTACTTTGTATTTAATATTATATTATGTTTAAATTTGCTTACATTGTGTTTTTTGCTAATATTGTGTGTTTGGACAATCTGCTGCTGTAACGCCACAATTTCCCAGTTTGGGATCAATAAAGTAATTCTATTCTATTCTATGATTACTACAGTATAGTATAGTACAGTACAGTACAGTACAGTACAGTACAGTACAGTAGTCTGTTGCCTAGAGTAATGTAGGGTAGTATGGTTAACTCCTAGCATAGCTTTTGCTGTTGCCTAGCAACATAAGCGGCTGAAATGTGGAGGTACGTTGTTTCCATTCATTTAAAATGTTACATTTCCCAAATTATCTATAATTTAGTCAAAAGGAGAACCGGTGTTTTGATAAAGTTAGACAAGACCAAGTGTTCAGCACTCGTTTTGCTTCGGTGTTAATTTACCTTAATGTTATTTATACCGCAGTTAGTATGTAGTTTATACTAAAATAACATTTTCAGTTTATTCTCCGTCATTTGTAGTTAAAAACTCTCTAACTTGGTAAAGCGATACTTTGGTAAGTTATCTACTACTACTAATTGAGGCAGCAACATCTACATTCAGCCACGACTGAATAAAAATATCATAATTTCCTGCTTAATAAAACATAAACACGTTTAGCCAAAGTTATCATTGAAACTCTCATAAACTCTGGTGGTTTTCACATCATGTTGAATTTTAAAGCTTGTTGTGGTTCACGTTATTGAATTACCTATTGTACATAATATACAAGAAAAATAGTTTTTAAAAAATATATTACGGTTCAAATAAACAGTTGACCAAAATGAAAAAAACTATCATAATGTTGTTTTTCCTGTAAAATCAGCCTGTTATTTAATGTCTGTTTTTGATAACTCTGCACTATCTGCTTTTTTAAACATTGCTGTACATATATAAACAACACAACTTTTTATTATTTTATATTCAGGTCTAATTACAGATTTTTTTCCTCAACTGTTTATAGGTTCTTGTTTAAATGTCACATATATATTTTATCCCTGCACAGGTTATGTACATTTCTTGTATAAATCTATTTTTAATTGCACAGTTTAAGTTTGTTTCATCTAGGGGTATTCTTTAAATCTTTTTTTGGATTAATATATATATATATATATATATATATATGTATGGGGGGGTCGGGGGGGTCGGTTTTGTGGTTAATTTGTAACAAATGTTTCATGTCATGTACGTCTTTGTAACCTGCTACTGGATGCTTTGAATTTCCCTCGGGATCAATAAAGTATCTATCTATCTATCTATCTATCTATCTATCTATCTAGTGGACGAGCAAGCTAGTTGGGTACATTTGGTTAGTAGTGAGGTTAGAGAAGTTTCTCCTTTCGTTCCCTGAAGACAGTCCATACAGACAGTAGTGTGGTATTACTGTATGCAGGATTCATGCTGTTTTTATTGTAGAAACTATTAAAAGCATACCCTTCTCTGTCAGTCATGATAACCTACAGTTAACACTTTGGTCATTAAACACATTAGTTCTTGAGTTCATCAGTAAGGCACACGTGCATTTAAACTTGATCTCTGATGACTGGCTGTCTTCTGTGTCCTGTTCCCTGTGTCCCTGTCTCCTATCAGGCTGTGGGATCCCACCCACACACACAGCTGCTCCAGTGACGATGACAGGCCCAAGTCTTGAAATGCCATGCCTGAAATAGTCTGCCTTGTTTATAATTAAACTGAACATACTGCACAGGGCCTCTTGTTCGTGGACACAAATGCATCCACTGCATCATTGAGCACTGAATCGCTCTCACAAACACTGTTGCAGGACAGCACAGGTTGTAGACACATGGTGTGCAACAACATACACACAGACATTTGTATAATATAAGTTTGTCAAAGGGCTAATTAGGGGAGCTGATACGTGATGAGAGGGTATTCACAGAGCACATAAAGAGCATATATGCTTACCAAGCTTGGGGGGGTAATGACAGGGTGGAAGTATAAAATGGCAGTTGTGAAGGGTGGAGTCGAGGATGAAAATAAACTTCTACATGCAAAGCATCTTTCTGCAAGACCGTTCATACAGTATATCATCCTGTTTTTTTCAGGTGCAGTGTGTAGAGTTCCCCCTACTGAAACCTACCTGCTGCATTATTATTAATATCTCTTGGTTGTAACCTGCATCTGAGAGTCAACATGGAGGTGAAAGGGGAGTTTATGGATATTCTTCAGAAGATCTGGACCAAATTGCAAGGCCTCCCTCAAGCTACTTCTCTAGAGCAGGCAACTTTCTTTGTGATCATCCTGTTTGTTGGTGAGTTTCTACTAGCTACAGTATAAGGCAGGGGTGTCCAAAGTGCGGCCCGGGGGCCATTTGCGGCCCTTGAGGGGATTTTTTGCGGCCCGTGACTTCAATTGAAGAATCAGAAGATTTTGATTAAGATTGGCACATTTTCTTATTTTTCTTTTTCATGTTAACAAGGGCTGAACAATATTCCTAAAATAGAAAATGTTCAGTATGTTGTTGTTTTTTTTAAATCTACAGCTTTTACTATTTTCCACATTCTTTTGTAAACTATGAAAAAAAATTATGCAAAGTTTTTGCAAACAAGCGGACGGTTGTTTATCCATTTAATGACCTGAGCTAAATGCAGAAAGCTTTTCCAAAAAAATGAACCACGTTACAGGCTTTATTCTGAGAAAAAAACAAACAAAGTAGAAGCAAGAAATCAAAATATTTGATTTCCTTTTATTAAAGGGTTTCTTTATTGAGCCTTTTGATTCTGATCTACAAAGCCTTACTATTTTTTCAACTATATTTTAAAAAACAAAACCTGTGGCCCGCTAACGATTCTAACACGACAATTTTGGCCCGCAAGAAAAAAGTTTGGACACCACTGGTATAAGGCATATGTACTGTAATGTATTCAATAGTGTTTAAAGCTCATAATGCTGCGTGCTTTGATTTACTTTTACACCTTTTAACACCTGTTACTAATACTGTTTCACTAAATCCTGACATTTTGACTATCACCTGGACTTGCCTCAAAATGAATTAATTAATTTAAAATTACTTATCAAAAGGTTATATGTTTTTGTTTGATATTTTAGTACCTTGCACTAATTCTTGACAATTCTACCTTATACTTTGTATTTCATCCTTATGATTATGAAATCCCTCTGATTTCTTCTTATAATAAAAGTTTGGCTTCATTCATGTCCAGGTTTCTTTTTTTCAACATTCCCTCTGTATTCTGTTTCCGTTAATTTCATGAAATAAAAAAATCTTCCTCCTCTAGTTTTTAGACTATTTTGTACATATTTCATGGAGAATAATAGATGTAAAAAAAAATATGACACAAAACTGACCCCCAGCATTTTCAAACGTATCTGATTCCCACACCCTTTGTCTGCTATCTGCCCCTCCTCTCTCTCTTTTCAGCCACAGTTCTCTTCATGATTTTGCTGTCCTGCATACACTGCTGCTGCCTTGGAAAGCCAAAATATCAGGCATCCAGAGTCCAGCCTGTCTGAAGCTGAGATGGAGAAAAAAGACCCCTCAAGTAAATTCAACGTTACTCGTTTCTTTGCCATCCTTCATGAAATCACCTATTACGGGCTCTTTATTAACAGTCACACTGGATTTTGTTGTCCTTTTTCAGAGTCGTTGGGGGATATATTTAAAGGAGAACCCGGTTGGTAGCACATTTGTATGATGTTGCCAGTTCTGGGCTAAAAACTGGATCCATATCCAGAGAGCCATGCCACTGGAATCCACATAAATCAGCAGAGTGGCACGACTCATCAAGCTTCATTACAGACCAGGACAATGAAACTCTGTATGGCAGCCTTTTCCAACAACAAAAACCCTACAGTGGAGCCATGGATGAAAAGATACAGTGAGAGAGAGAGATGAGTTTGTTTTTAAATGCCACAATTTTTTCCAAATGAAATGATTTGATATCCTATTGGTATTCATCAGGAATGTGAAAACAATATGCACAACGTACAGACATTCCAACTTGTTTGTGTGTAGTATTTTTGTTATTCTGTGTTTTAAGCAGAGCCTCTGATGTGAGACAGAGTGCCCTCTGCTGGCCAATTGAAGACCTTCTTTTCTTGCAAACAGGGCCAATGCCAAAACATAGCTTGTTGTTGTTTGACACACAAAAGTTACAGATGTATTCCTGTTATTTTGCAACATAAAGATGTTGTTCTTTTCTTCCGTATTCGTTTAAGGAAATGTAATATTGTGTTTGATAACTTTATTGAAATGCAGTAAATGTTCTATATATTATAACAAATATAAATATGTGTTGTGTCTTTTTATTACCAATTTTAAAGATGTAACTATATGTTAAAGATTTGTATGATGCCCAATCTAAATAATACACAACACGATTTGAATATTTTCATCATAATGAGCTTGAATCGATATCACACCACTAAAATGCTGACTGTTGTACGCATGGCCTTATCATCTGATCTCTGCTTTGCCTCCACCCATCAGTATTTCTAGTAAACATTAACCAGGAGCCGTTGCCCTCAGTTTGCCCTGCCCTCTAAATGTAACCTGGAAAAGGAACTAATGGTTAACCGTAACTGCTTTACTTAAATGTTTAGCTGCCAGGCTGCCAGTGGATCGCAACAGTAGCCGAAACAATCAGTTCTCACACACTATAATGCGTTCATAGTCTGTTGGGAGTCACTGAGCTGTGAGCAGATCACTCAGCAGGACATGGCAGTAGAAAGGTGAGCTTCTAAACAGGATTGTGTTGGGCTACAATTGCCTGTAACATCAGCAAATATCTACAAAGCATGCTGACAAAAACTTGCAATCTTTACTAATGTTTTTTTTATTAAGATAATATTACTCCATTGGTTCTGCAAATAACAAAAAAGTGGTCACTAGTTGTATCATCTAACATTATCTCATCAATAAATGAATGTATGTTTATGTCTCAGTGTGCCAGAGCAGCTGAAACCCACAGAGTTGCCTCAGGACTGGGTAGAATGGTTCCTGTATCGCCTGCATCAGGAGCCGTGGGCGCTGGGCGGTGCTGTGGTCATAGGAGTGTTTGTGCTTGGAACTGTGTGTCTGGTTGTTTTTGCTCTGCTTTATGGATGCTGCTGTAGCCAAGCACCTGTGAGCCATGGGGGGAAGAAGAAGCAGAAGTCAGAGAACATGGTGATCTAGACGCCTGGGAAGCAACGCGACTTGTGCTCTGTCAAATAAATGTTGACATGATGAATATTTTTTTCTTTAAATCTAAATTGACCTGCCTTCTTTCAGGTCGTGAAAAATTATGATGGACCTTTTTTTTTTCTTATTCTATGTGCCACATCGTTTGTAGTGTTTGATATTTCTTTGCTGTTTCCATTTTCTAAATTTGTACTATAGAGTTACACGACAAACTTAGTGGGACTACATCATTATGGTCACACCTTGATTAAATGAGTATTGATACATTTCCATTGACATTTGCTTGGTTCAGTTGTCAGTTATCTTCATGAACCGATAACCACCAGGGATTGTGTGTCATTTATATCAAATAGAGATTGTAAGCAATATGGTGTACATTTCATAATTTCAATAATTCATATAAAAGGTATGTGGAACATCTTTTCAAAGTATTTTCATTATTTCATATACACTGTTTTACCTGTCTTAAATGTCTTAAATGCCAACATAATAAAAGTACTTTATAAACAAAAATACAAATCTGTGATATGACGCTATTTTAAATTAGAAATACATAAAATAATAAATATGTCTTGATGTAAATAACATTTTGCCCTCTGTAGTCCTTCTGTTCTTTACAGGGCAAAATGCATAGATCCATTGTTCCGGGTAAATTGCCCAAACAATAAAATTATATTTGCCTTAATGTTCCTAAATGCAATTTTGTTTTTATTTGGTTAAAATAAATTGATTTATAAGCTCACGGCTCGGTTTTTCAGCAAGACCAAAGACATTTAGCCCAGGACTACATCTCCCGGTGCAGCTGCACTGGTGCTACGCAATACAGACTCAGTGACGTTATTATTGTGCGACCAGGCGTTTATGCGACGCACACAGCAATGGCGAGCGGCAAAAAGAGTGCTCTGCTCTCCTCTCTGGCAGACTATGGGGACGATTCAGAACCAGACTCAGACCCAGAAATCGAGGATGAGGCGGGTATGTGTTGAACAAGTTGATCAATAAGTCGTTTCTCAGTTTTCGAGGCGAAAAACGCGGACCTGAGAATCGTTCCCGTGTGGTGGCTAGCGTTAGCTTGAAATTAGCATACATAGCTAACTTTATAGATAATACAGCTAATGCATTTTTAAATAAAAAGACTTAAACCTACGAACCGAAAGCATGTAAAGCCATTTATTTAGGGGTCTGTATGATTTAGTTTTGGACGTTTTGTGGTACACATTGGATACATATTGTTATATTCAACGCACAGTACATCTTATAATGTAAATAGTTGTTTATGTTTGTTTGTTTTATTAAATCCCGTCAGCTGCCAGTGGTGCTGTTCACCTTAAGACCTGTTTTGTTCCTACTTTAATTCCTCATTTGTATTAATTCTTGTTGATCTTTTGCATGTTGTAATTGCATTTTGTTTGATTCTCCGTTTGGCCTGAATATTGATGCTTAATATGTTTTATTCCTGCGTTTGCTTTCTCTGTGAACATCTAGTAAACATCTGTTTTTAAAGGTCCTACATAAATAAAGCGTTTCTCATCATTATTATTATTATTATTATTATTATATTTGTCTGACGTCTGTTTTATCTTTGTGGTGTCCCTGTTTCTTTCCCCCTCTCCCTGTCCTGACATAGAGGTGCACATTGGAGGTCTGGTGTACGGCTATGGTGATGATGACCTGAACCGCACTGAGGATGGAGAGGAAAAGGTGTCTATAGATGAAGACAGCCGAGAAAGCAACTCGGTCAGTATTTGTGATTTCTTGCTGTGATGAACACCTTCTAGTAATCATTTCTATGGATTGGTCGTTTGTATACTAATGGTTGCAAATCATAAGAGCCTGAAGAAGCAGGGCACTATGTGTGTTGTAAATGGTGCTGCCTGTTTACATGTTCATACCAGGATTGAATGTGAGATTTTGAGTCTCCACTTAACTATGACGAAGCTGATAGACGCTGATCACTTTACAGATCAGATTTTTTTCTGTGTTTCATCAAATCAGAATCAGAACAAGATTATGGTGATGGGTAAGAGGATCTTAGTACTAGCACTGCAACATTTTTTTTATGATGAAATTACTTATTCGATAGCATTTGTTTGAAAACAATGCATTTTCAGTTATTTAATTATCGATAGTATTGAAACGTACCGAAATCTAAAGTCCTCAGGAAATTAGAAACACAGTCAGCCAGTTTAAATCCAGAGTTCCTGTGTTAAATGTTCATTTATCTGCCATTTATATTTCATGAAAGCATTATCTGATCAGTTTTAGATCTGAAAAAAAGAACAGTATTTTCTCTTCCTGTTAAACCTTTCAAAATGTCTGATGACTCATCCTGCACTCAGGGGTGTTTACTGATTTTTGGACCAATTATAAAGCTTTGTCCATCCTAACGATCCAATCTAATACATTCAACTGTTATGTCCCGCCCTCTGTCTTGTGATTGGTTCTATCCCTTTTCAATTGGGAATGCGTAACTACACAGCGGCTAGATTCTCTCGAAGTTCTGTTTCATGGGGACTTAAAAAAAAAAAGATCTTCAGACATATTTGTAACCTAAAGCTGCTCCGTGGGGAAGAGAGCGAACACATTTTTAGGTGCCGAAACACTGCCAGTGTATTTGTGACTTTTAGACATTGTGCAGGAGTTGAGCTGCCATTTCTGGTCATTTAAAAAAATAACATTAGATGTGTCCAGGACTTCTATATTTGTTTGCCTTGTTGAATTGATATTCTTTGATTTTTTAACTAGCATCAAACTTGAAGGTTTAAAATTCTGGTATTTTGAAAACACTACTTATTTGTCAACCTACATGATCATCTTTCTCTGGTCTGCCAGCCTCCTGGATGCCCGGTGCTTTCAAACCCCCAACCTGTAGTTTGCAACAACCTTTTTTAAAAGATTTTTTAAATCACCTTTGCTAAGTGATCATTATTGCCTTTGAATAAATGTTTCTTATGAATTTTTATATCTCTCTTAAAAGATGCATATGATCTGAGAGCTAGCAAGTAAACCCCCCGCCCCCGCTCATCTCTCCTTTTAATCCTTGCAGCGTTAACTTTCTGCATTCTTGTTTTTACAGGAGATGGAAGAATCTGACGAGGGGAGGGACGCAGAAGATGTTGAGGTACTTGAACCCCACCTGGTGTGGGATGGATGGATTTGGATAAATAATCTTAAGGCCTCACTATTTTCTCCCGAATCGTAACACTGTTCTACTAACCCCAAAGAAGTGGCCTTGTCCAAAGCGGTCACCACATGTTATGACGGAGCATGTTCACTAGATGGTGCTGTGGGTTTATGTTTGTTGGAGGAATCTTCCCTTTGCAACAAATGTTAGTGAGGCGAGGTCAGTGACTTGAAGTGGAAGAATGTCCACTGATGCATCAGAAGCTACACCTAACAGTGTTTTTTTTTTAACAGAACACTGCTTGAACATGCACATCTTACTAACCCCACCCTGTGTGTGTGTAGCTCTGTTTAGTCCAGGTTAACGAGGTGAGAGTGAGTCACAAAACCTAAAAAGCAGAAACAATCAAAGTAACTGTGCTCCGTCTTTGGCTGTGATGGATGATCATTTGATAAACTGCTGGTTTGTGAGAGTTCTGCGTCTTTAAAAAGAGAAACAGCGCTGGCATCCTTCAGGCTTAGTGATTTAGTTTTTGTTACGACATGCGTCATGGTGTGATTTCCCAATAATGCATGTTTGGTCACGTTAATAATTTCTCCCACTGAAGAGAGAGAACATTTCCAGGCAAGTTGTGGTCATGACGTTGTTTACTTTGTGAGATAGGAATCAATAATTATAATTTAAACCGTGGTACAGAGAATGGCTGACTTGTGTTATGTGTTATGTGTTGTGTAGCCTGAAGCAGTATAGGACTGATGTCGAGCTGTGCCAGATAGAGATTTATCATTTCATGGAACGAGCGACAATGTTTGCATGAGCTCTCCTTCTGTCCTCTACTTTTGTTTTTTGTCCTTGCAGTTATCTATTAATTGTAAATGGCAGCGAGTGCTGGGTTTCTGGACACAGTTCAACTTCTGATAAATTGCAGATAAAAGGTCTCTCCAAAAGACATACGCCTTATTTAACCACAGTGACCAAATATTCAGGAAATCTCTTAAACGTTGGTTGAGTCATTTGCCAGGTTACGTTGGAAAAGACCTTGTGCTTTTGCATTGGTTGTTTCCTTGGTGCAGCAACATTTTGATTGGCTTAAATTCAGTTCACTCCTGAGAAAGGAAGGCAGAATAGTAAAAGAAACTTCTGATGTGGCTCAGTGAAATAAAGCGGTGTTTTATCGTTTCTTTCTGAAACAGCAGGTTCTGTTATTCTCTTTGCTTTTGGGTGTTTGGATTTCAGCCCAGTGAGCTGTGCTGTGCTTTCATGTCTGTCCGTCCACTCCCCCCTCCTCACTTTGATTTGTCCACCTTCAGTTAGATTCTTCGATGTTGCCCGTGCAGTTGCTAGGTGACATCATGATGCCTGTGAATAACAGCACTGTGAGTCCCCTCCTCCCGCCCCGTCCTGAACCTGTGTTATGCCCACAGTGCTGGCACAACAGGCCACATATTTTAGAAGCTGTGCGAGACTTCTCAGGCATTCACTGAAAACAGCCAAGACTCACTCTTCTGCTTTCTATTACGGTTTAGAATCTGTTCTCCTCACAGCTTCTGCTCTGCTCCGTTTGTTGTAAGAGCACCTGTGATTTGTAGGTTTCATCAGTCACTAACCAAACATCTCATCACACCACCTGTAGTCCCCTGTACTGAACCACCTTACATTTACACTGGGACCATGACTCGTTAAAATCTAACACTGTTGCTGTAAAGACCCTCTTCCATGGGTTTATGATATTCTCCGACCAAAGGGACACTAAAAACTCCACGTCTCTCTGTTTCTCTCTTCTTCCCCTCTTGTCCCTCTATTTCCCCCCCCCCACAGATTTTAGAAGCAGAAAAAAGGGACCCTAATGAGCTAGTTGGTGAGTACACACACACACACACACACACACACACCCACACACACACACACACACACACACACACACACACCCACACACATACACACACACACACACACACACACACGTACCTTTGACCATCGCTTAAAGGATAAGGTTGGCACCTGTTTTAGTAAATCCCCGGAAAGGGTCTAAAACAACAATGAAATACTATTGTATCCAAAGCCTTCTTTGTGCCTTCAGTTAGCCGCACTGTTTCTCTAAAAGGACTTGTTCTGTTAATAAAATGAGCACGTCTATCTCACATACAATGTTCAGTCGGTATTACGGCATCACATTTGTATTCCTGCGTATCTGCTTGTTTTCATTAATATTAGTTTTAAAAAAAAGCAAGACCTGAGGAGGCAGTAGAAGTATAAGATGTCAATCAATCTTTATTTGTATAGCACCAATTCATCATGTGTTTCCTAAGACACTTTACAAAGAGCGGGTAAAATATCTTATACTCTTTTTTTTATTTATATAATCTACAAAGAGCCAACATTAATCAACATTTAGCAAAGTGACAGTGGAGAGGAACAACCTCCTTTAAGAGGCAGAAACCTTGAGGAGGACCAGACTCATGATGAACAGACATCTGCTGAAGCTGTGTAGGGCTTGGAAATGGGGATAGAGAGAGAGCAACAACAATGAATAAGATATATTTATAGCTGCAGTGTCAGTCATGATGGTAACAGTATGTGTAGTATTAGCAGTAGCAGGTAAGTGTGATAATAGACTGATCAGTCTAAATAAGATGGCCTTTATATATTTATTTAGTATTTTCTCTTATCTGGCATAAGGAGGGCTTTTACTTTGAAATGTCAGGGGTTGTTGTTGTTTGGAATGGGCGTTCAGTCAGGCGCATGGGGCCTGCAAACACTGTGGGCGGCTGTGACTCAGTTGGTAGAGTCGGTCGTCTTGTAACCGGAGGAGCTGGGGTTCGATCCCCAGCTCCTGCAGCTACATGTCTGATGTGTCCTTGGGCAAGACACTTAACCCCAAGTTGCTCCCGCTGCTTCGTCGGCGGAGTATGAATGGGAGTAGTTACTTGTGATGGTCTTACTACATAGCAGTGTGTGAATGTGTAGGTGTGACATGTGGTGTAAAAGCGCTTTGAGTAGTCTGAACAGAAGACTAGAGAAGTCAGTTTACTGTCATTAATACTCACTACAACACTTACAAAGTTCATCGTCACATTATGAGCATCAGTTTAATTTCCCTATAGAATTATTATTATTTTTTTTAAATTAATTTTTGGGCTTTCTGTGCCTTTAATGGAGAGATAGGACAGTGTATCCAGAGATGGAAATCAGGGAGAGAGAGAGCGGGGAAATGACATGCAGCAAAGGACTGGGCCGCCCGCTTGGAGGACTACAGCCTCCATACATGGGGCGCGCGCACTAACCGCTGCGCCACCAGCGCCCCATGAATAATTAACAATAATCCAGTTTTAACCGGTAAATCCATCGTTAAATCCATTCTGCTGCCTGTTCCTTTTCTATTGCCTTTGTTATATTCACCTTTACAGTAAGAACTGTTACACTTTATGGGAAAGACCTTAAAAAAACATAAGAAATATTCAATAGATCCAGGCCTTCTCAGTCATACTTAATAATTTAGCAAGTAACATTTGAAACTTGTTTTTAATTTGCATTCCTCTTTGATCCTTATATCTTTATTGTTTGTATTTAAAAAGAATCCCAACAGAGACAGCAGAATACTCCAACCATTCTTAAAAAATGAAAGGAAATCGGATATTTTAACCATTTTCTTAAAGAAACTTTGGACCTGGAGTTGAGTGTTAATCTTTTTGATAGTGAAACAGGAGCACAATAGCAGCCGCCTCGTGAGGTTTATGCACGTATAATAAAACAATTCCAGCAACCGGAGAATAAAAGTGTGTCTTTAAATGTGATCATTGGATGTTAGTGCAGTAAAAGTATGAATCACTCAGTAGACCCAGGTGTGTTATGAAAGCCGCTTTGTCCACTGACAGTCAGATTGGAGGTTATAAAGGTTTAACCTGGGGAGCTGGCAGTGGTTAGTGAGTAATGGCTGACCAGTTCAGGTGTGTTAGTGAGGATCTGATCAGACAGGATATGAGTTATACAGGGAGTGGCATCACGCACACATCTGTGTAAGCCTGTCATCGTGTGGTTCCCTCTCTGCTCTTTGTTGACGCGGGCCCATAGCTGGATGCAGATGGTAGCACGGATAATGTAACACAGCACTCATCTGTCATTTGACTGAAAACTAAACGATTCATAAAACCCTTCTGTGATGCAATGTGGGTGTAGAACTGAAGTATAATAATTAGAAAAATATGATTGTCAATATCCATTTAAATGTTTTTTTTCCAGAAAAAAAAGAATGAATCCAGCCTGAAAGTTGTTTGATACTGTTTTGAGTAAGAGCCTCTTGGTGGTATAATTTATACACTGTGCGTTTAAACATCTCAATGAACCTGGTTGACTGAACACTTTTTATCTTATCAAACATGAAGCAGATTTCACCTCAGGAAGCAAAGAGGAACTCTGTTTTAAGTTTGATTCACCAATCAATGTGGACAACAGCCAGAGATCTTAATATGGCTATCAATTGTTATTATTTTCGTATGTATAAAATGCCAAATTATATCAAGACTGTATCTTTTTGTGTGCAGCAATGAGGACTAAAGCCTGTGTACATGGGGCATGTACCAAACCGCTAGGCTATCGGCTCTCCTATTCTGGTGTTTTTATTTCTCTTTTAGCTTTTTTCTTTCATAGTTTGGTGTCTGCTTTTAGTCTCTCATCGCTGATTCTACTCTGTTTGAGGGTGTGCATTTGATGCTTTGAAATGAAACCTCCCCCTGCTTTTGTAAGAAGCGAACGTGTTTACTGAGTTACTATACCGATGTTCTGAGTGCCTCAAATTGCTTCATCTTAAGCTGACTTTTTTGTCTGCTATGATCGGCATCTATTTTTTCAGTTATGGTAAGGTTTGCTCTCTGGTCACAAGGAGGCATCAGTATCTAACTCCTACAGTTTTATAGACAGTAAAAGACTGAAAAACAAGCGAGAATCTTGAGTTCTTACTATTTTGTTTTTAAAGTTTACAACCTAACCGAAACAAACTTCCTTCATGACGCATGATTCCAGTACACATGGGACAGACAGCGGCAGCAGACTGACCTGTGTGGCCTGTGTGGCTTCTGCCCACACATTTGCTTTCTCCATTAACACCAGCCTCCTGGTTTTTATGAAGCCATAAAAAGAAGTCTCAAGGGAAAGTGAGGAAACGCTGGAGCAACTTTTAAGGCTTCATATTCCCGTCGTGTACTGTACTGGCAAGAGTGTGACTCACCGCTTCGACACTTGACATGACTGCAGCGGAGCTCGATTCCTCGGCCTGTCAGTCGGTAAATGTCACAGCGAGTCTGGCAGAAGGCCCCGTGTCAGCATGCTGAAGACGGCTCTTTGTCTGTTCGATGAAGAGACAGCCGTTGTCTGTCTGTCCAAAAAGACCCTGAGGGCACAGATGAAGACTTTCTGTGTGTTTTTCGATGGGGGGGAAGAGATGGTAATTTTCATGCAGAATAGAATCTTTCCTCCGGCTGTTTATCACTTTCTGTCTCCATGCACTTTCTGACAGTGCTCCCGTTATGTGAGAGTTTTCCTCTCACACTTCGCTGAATGACAGAAAGGGAAATTTATTCACACAGCTTCACAACTGTGGAGGCAACAAAGTTTATTTTGGTGAGTTTGTTCGGCAAGGATTCAGAATAATCAACTAAATCCACCTTGTTTCAAGTGGATTAGCAATGATAAACCCCTGTTGCAGCTACAGTGTGTAATTGTCTGTGACGCTTTGTGCATGTGTCTGACTGAGAGAAACAACCACCACCTGATGCCTGTGACTCATCTGACTTGCCTTGTCAGGTTTTTTTATATGCCTCCAGGCTACGTTCTCTTCAGTGTTTTTACAATGAGGCTTGTTACATGTATGGAACCGTTTATGTTCATGTAACTGCATACCTGCTCACTTCATGATGTAAAAAAAAAAAAAGAAGACATGTGTGCATGCTTATGCACATGCTTAGCATTACTTACAAGTCTAGCCAACAACGACAACGCCCTGCCCCACCTTTGACTTGGATGAGGAGTTTATAACGCAAAATCAGCAATGAACTTTCCAGAGCGAACAGAGCTCAGGTAGCAAGTCGAGCCACACGTGTGGGCCTGTGGTCACACATGATTGGTAGACCGAGGAAAGTAGAATAGATGCAGAAGGGACGGACTGTTGGAAAGAGTGTGTGTGCAGACAGGACTCAGTATACAAACATTCATATTTGGATCCTTGCTAAATAATGCTTTTTCTTTAATGTCACGACTTTAACTAAATCTGTTTTAATGAATATGCAAACATTAACAGATTTGTCCTCACATTGAAAAATAGGATAAGTCTATCGAGTCAATATTTAAGACATAAACAAAGAGAAATTGTTGCAGGATCTAACGGTAAACATGTACATGATGAGATGTTATTTTCATCACGTTAAGCTCCAATCACTGAAGTTCTTAACTGTAAATGTTCATGCTCACGGTTATTTTAAGATTTATTATCAAATAGATTCTTTATTCTGGGAAAAGAAAAAAGGGATAAATGTGTTCAAGGGCGTTTTCACATTCGGCATGATTGTTTCATATCGTGCCCGAGCACGATTGCTCCCCCCCCCCCCCCCGATGGTCTGTGTTCACATTAGTAACATCGCTCCATACCTGAGTACACTTGATTAAACAGTCAAATACAACAGGTATGCACATAGATGGAAACAAGTTTGCAAATCTGCCAAAAAGCAGAAAGAAAAAGAAGTAACCACGGCAACCACTCGCAGGCTGAGTCCATCCTCTTTACTGTGGATGTTTTTGTTATTTCTGAGACCCCAACAACGACCCTCTTCCTACTTCCACATCTACCGTGCAGCTCAGAGGACGTGTGGTGCGATACGATGGTTTTTGAAGTGACAGGAGCCGTTAAGAATAGTGTCATAGGATTCAAATCCGACCTGTGGCTCCTTTCCCGCATGTCATTCCCTACTCGCTCTCTCCCTGATTTCCAACTCTACCCACTGTCCTGTCTCTCATATAAAGGCACAAAATGCCCGAAAATAAACAAAAAAATAAAAGAATCGCGTCATAAAGCGGACTTGTTTGAGCATGGTCGTGTTCACATCTCCTGCGGACTGTACTCGAGTACACGTGAATCATGCCTGGTACTGTACTCGAGCACGGTACGTTTGTGTTCACACTGATCAAATGAGCCGGACTTTGGGGTCAAGCGTAACGTAAAAACCACCCCAAGTCCAAGAAGATTGATTAGATTTGGAAATGAAAGTCGATTGCAGTTAAAGACGAGAAAAAAACAACAAACAGTAAGAACAAAAACTCTCCTAGGCACTTCATGTTGAAGGTTGATGATGCTCAGACATGTCAGGACTGTGGAATTTTTTCCTCTCAAGTGTTCAGTCAGGCTAAGCAAAAGACAGCACAGCACTTCAGAAAATTATCATCTCATGTCCAGTCAGGTTTGAGCTTGTTGACAATCTGTGCAGAATGTCAGCAGGATGAACCCCTGCGTTTGCGCACACACACACACACACACACACACTCACACACTATGCACAGACTACGCACAGCTTGCAGCACTTATTCAGAGGATGATTGACGACTATCTGTCTGATTGGGATAAAGAGTGACACAGAAGAATGTCTGGCCTGCAGTCAGAGAAAGCAGAGACAGACAAGTCAAGCAGGGAGAGCCAAACAAGACATGGGTCCAAAGGCAGGGTGAGAAGCAGGGTCGGGGCGCCTCCCTTCTCCTTACAAGCCCCAACAACAGCCACTCCCTGCCCGGGACGTGCACTCCTCATACCACACTGCTCTATTACACCACTGGCACACACGTAGCGCCGTGATGAACAACAGGATGCTCAGGAATTCACCAGTAACATTCACTTTAAGTTTACACACAGTGAACCTTTGTTTTAATAACTGAGCCTGTTCTCCAGCTCAGATAGAAATCACATCTCCCTTCTTATTTCTCATCTTTAAATTCTAACATTGATAAAAAAAAAGGTTTGTTTTTATAACAGTGTTATCTTTGTAAATCCTGACTCTGCATGTAAAGACATGCAAGACAGGGCAGAGAAGGAAAGCCGCTCATGTTAGAACATATACATCCCTCATCTTTTCTTTTTTTTGTCTTTTTGCCAGCTCTGTTCTCCGAGAAGGTGAGGAACATGTCACCTGATGACATCAGGATCCCCCCCGAGCCCCCAGGACGCTGCTCAGGCCAACTACAGGTAGACACGCCTCTCTTCTGTTACATGAGTAGTTCAGCACATCACTTTCAATGCAAAGCTTTGCTTGTTGAGCACTCCCTGGATTCATGTTGTGCCAGGATTAAAAGGACAGATTAGATTGCAGGTGGAACATTCACATGAACATCCTCTTGAATCAGATCAGTATGACTTGCCTTCAGTTTATGCAACAACACGGCAGACAGTAAATGTAAATGTTCGGTCTACTTGTAAGAAACTATTAAATCTGACTTTGCATCACATTTGTTGCTCCCATTTAAAATGTTATATTCTTAACTAGTATGGTTGGTTCCTCAAGTTTTTTTTTCAAGGTATATTTTTGGGTTGTATTTGACATGACAAACTATTCAGTCTCGGTCGCTGTCAAGGTGCTGATCCTGTGACTGTCATTATGCGGGAGCTGTCCATGGTACTTTATCATTTGACTCCTCCTCAACACTCATTGTCAGTTGTACAATTAACTCCATAATAGATTTGTTTGTTCATTAGTGTTGTAGAATGGCAGCCTGTCAAATAGTAAGAAAAAGTTTGATTTCTTTGTGTCATAACTTAGATGAGAGTTACTCCCTCTCTTAATCCAAGTTGGCCAGGGAAGGGGGGAGGAGGGGCCGACTTTTTTTATAGTCCAAGGATTTAAAAAGAAGAAGAAAGAAGGGCTAAATCAAGTTTAGCTTCAGGGGTACCTCGCATGTTTGCGTTACAGTGCTGGCTACAATAGTTCAACCCACTGCTCAGCATTACAATCACTCAGAATGCAGTGAAAGTTATGAAGCACAGATGAAGCCCCCCTCCCCAGCTCTCTGCCCACCTCCGCTGGTCATTCTTCAAAATTGAATATAGGACTCTTTCAATGAAAAAAGCACTCCACAAGGTTTGTTTCCGGAACAATATCCCACCGTTTTCTGTAAGTGCATGATTATGACTTCGTGAGGAAGAAAAGATATGAGACTGGTCTGTGTCGCTGTCTTTTTGTATATGTAACCCTGTCAGGATGCGTGCAGAGTTTGGTGTCTTCTGCACCCCCGGTAATGACAGTGTCAACATTTTATACTGGAATATTGGTCGCACCAGTGTAGAAGACGCAGCCAACTTTTAAGAAGAACAAATAGGTATTAAAAGTGCGTCTTATACACCAGATTTTACGGTAGTTATTGATATAACTGAAAATGCCCGTCCCTATTCTATGCTGACCTTGTGATCTGACCTCTGTAATAAATACAACACATCTTCCACGTAATATCATATTTTCCTGTATCCTTCAACTTAGAATATGGGATCATCTGTGGAGAACGTGAATGCAGGGCAGTTTATTTCAACAAAGTACAGCAACTGCCATTTTGTGCATGACGCTTCTATTTCACCGTCATCCGTGCAGCTACTAATCAGAGCAGAGGAGGGGCGTTGTGGTAAAATGGGGGGGGGGGGATAAAATGATCCTTGTGCCCTGTGTTGTGTGTTTAAGCATGTCTGATAAACACTTTCCAGGTAGTAAAAGTTTATTATGAATTGTCCCACTGTTGGTTTAATAAGCAGACACACTGTCTGCACTTGTCCCTTTGGCATAATGTTCAATGCTTAGAGTTAGGAAATCAATATCTACAGTTCAAGTTTGAAGGAGTGTTTGGTGCTAAACGCTACCTCATTCTGGGACCTTTCATCTTGGTGTTGATTCAAAATAACCTGCTCTCCTCGCCAAGTGAACAATTTCTCTCGCTCTCTCTGGGGTTAGAAATAAACTCTGGTGGCTGCGTAAATTCCATGACTCCCCCCTATAATTAAACCGGCACACAGTGTCATCTCCTATCAATTTAGTATCACCAGCACTGCTCCCTTCCCGCCTTACTTCTTGCTGCGTCTAACTGCAACCTGGTTTGCCCTGTGTGGAGCTGAGGCAGGTCAGGACACACACACCTGACTTAGCAAGTGAACAGTTAAGCAAGTATCCCCTCCGGGCGAACACACCCCCCCCATTTATCAGATGAGCAAATAATGATTCACCTTCACCAGAAGCCTGGATATTCCAACCCTGAGGTCACGAGGGTGGGCAGATATGTGTGAATATGTTTCAACGGCCTGATTGCTGGGATTTCACCATTTGTTTGAATCAACCCGCTTTATGACAAGTTTGCAATCAGGTGAAGACCATACCCATGGCTCGGACTGTCTTAATGGTGGGCTGTGGCTCAGTTGGTAGAGTCGGTAGTCCCTTAACCGGAAAGTGGTGGGTTCGATCCCCAGCTGCAGCCACATCTGGGGTTAAAGGTCAATCTGTAAACTTGTCTTTAAAAGTGCACTAGAAGTTCCTGGGTCCAGCAAAAGTACAGAAGTCGGCAAAATACTTGCAGCTCAGTTTCACATGGAAGTAGGAAGTAAACAAGGGGGGAGGAAGTGAACTACAAGACAGCAGATTTATCTACAGTTTTATATTTGATTAACCCCAAATATGATTTATTGATTTGACGATGCTTCCATATACAGTAGACAAAATGCAGGATGTAGTCATTTGGATGCTCGCGGCTAGGGAACGCTAGCTAAGAAATTGTAAAGTTGGGGAATAAGGTAGAGCCAATAGATCCGTATCATCGGAACGCTTTATGTTCTGAGAGATATCTTTTTTTTTTTAAGCTTTTCCTTTTTCCATCTTGTTCAAGGTTAGCCTCCATTTTTCACCGCTGGTGTCCAGGCTAAACCTGCCAGCTCTTTGTGGCTCAGTTGAACCTGGTTGTCAAATATTTCCTCATGGAATCAGAAACTTAAAATACAACAGGTCCATTCACATCGACCCTTGCTTGAGAGAGGGTAGATCTCATGTGTGTTATGTTTATTTGATCATTTAGACAGAATTGCCTCCCAAATGCAGGAGGAAGCTGAGTCGAAGCGGAGGTGTCATGCAGTGAGAGATGTTCACATCCCTCGTTTTGTTTGTTTGTTTTGTAACAGGACAAGATCCACAAGCTGTACGAGAGGAAGCTCCATGGTGATTTTGACACAAACAACCACATACAGAAAAAGAAGGAATTCAGAAACCCCAGGTATGCAGCTCAGCTGGAGTAAGCAAGCAAACCAGCCAAACACATGGAGTTCTCCTTGTGCATCAAACCAGATCATGTTTTTACAAAACAGATTTACATAATTACAGGAACAAAATGTTTGATTGACCATGGAGTAAGTTTATCAGAGGGGATCAATGCAGGATGATTATGCAGGGGATCAACATACTTTTTTTTTTTTTCTCACTCTTATCTTAGGGTATGTTTTAATATTAGGTTAGTATTTATATCAAATGTGTTTCGCCCTCTAAATTAATTTAGTTTTTATAACAGACAACTTGATGATTTATGACCTTAAAAATGTTTTTTTTTAATTCCCTAAAAGACTTTCTTTGTTTTTTTAGCATTTACGAGAAGCTCATTCAGTTCTGTGGGATTGATGAACTAGGAACAAACTACCCAAAAGATATGTTCGATCCTCATGGCTGGTCAGAAGACTCGTACTATGAAGGTCTTGGTAAGTTCCGTCACCTTTTCACAGCTCTGTGTGAGTGGAGAAGATCTCAAAAAGCTCCAACAACACGTGTAGTATGAAGATCATCTTCATTAACTTAAGCTCAGCTAACTTCAGCTTGTGGCCTTCATGACCCTGAAGATGTGCTGCTGGAGCCTTTTGACCTCTTCAAGCCTTTCACTCTCCGTGCACCTTGGTAGTTGTGCCAAAAAAAAAAAACCCTGCTCTGCTTCTTGAGTAGATAAGAACCCAACACAAATGTATATGTCTTCTTTGTCCAGCCAAAGCCCAGAAGGTGGAGATGGATAAACTGGAGAAAGCCAAGAAGGAGCGGACGAAGGTAAGTCCAACAACAAACAAAAAGGAGGATTACTCAGGAGTCAGCTCTCCTCTCTGTCTGCGTCAGGGGCAAGTCTCCACCAGCTGCAGTTAATTTCTACTTTATATCCTTAATCAGACGCAGGCAGAGATCCACATCTCTAGGTTCACCCTTCCCTATTCATGCTTTTCAGCTGGTTTCCATGTAGATACAAGTCCTCTCTGGAAGTTTACCTAAAAGCACCTGAGCGTGTCTTTCGTTTCCATTTGTATTATCTTTCAGAGGTGATGCACATTTCATTCCTACAGCTGCATCTAAGCTAGGAACTGGACTTGAAAGGACATGTACTTTTACATGAGCTGCTCTGATACTCTCTGCTGTGTGATGTAGGCCGTGGTATTCAAGCCACAGTCGAGCTAACACAAGATGAGAAAATGAAACCAGTCAGACGGTGTGAATGACATTCTTCTCGCCACTGACAAACACTGTGTGGAAGTGGATCAATCAATCAATCTTAAGTTGTATAGCACCATTTTATAACAAATGTTATCTCCAGACGCTTTACAAAAAGCAGGTTAAAGACCCAGCGTTAATGCATCATGAGCACTAAGCAACATTTAGCAAAGTTACAGTGGTGAGAAAAAAAAATGTCAGAGGCAGAAATCTGGCAAAACCAACCAGGCTCATGACAGACAGGTATCTGCTGAAACTGTGCCAGCTTAAAAAATGAGATCGAGGCAGATGGGATAAGATGCAGGAAAAAGGGGCAAACAGAGAGGAGGGGAGGGGAGGGGTCCATAGCAGCAGGACACCCCCACCAAAGATCCCAAAAAACCTACAAGACATGAGAGCTCAGGAGCTCCCTGGAATATATGTTAGTTAGTTACTAAGAGTTACACATAGTGACATACAGTAGGATGTGGATGCACAGAGATAGAAGCTCAAGGTGCCAGTTACACCAGCACCAGCCCTAACTATAAGATTTATTGAAAAGGAACGTTTAAGGTCTATTCTAAAATAACACACAGAGTGTGTGTGCGTCCCGGACCCTGACTGGTAGATGATTCAAGAGGAGAGGAGCCTGATAACTGAAGGCTCTACCTCCCATAGTACATTTAGAGACTGCAAGTACGACGAGCCGGCCTACATTCACTGAGCGTAATGTCCTCGACGAGTAATACGGCCCCATGAACTAAAACAGCTACGGCACCAGGAATAACGCCATCGCTCTAATATGCTGTGTGTTTCACAGATTGAGTTTGTCACTGGGACAAAGAAGGGCACCAACCCCTCCAGCACAGCAGCCTCCACCACAAGCAGCGCCGCCACCGCCGCCACAGGTAAACATCCACCTCACATTCTCAGCTCCTTTCCACTTGCCAAATACATTGTCATGGTCATCATTTTTAATACACTTAAATAAATAAAAAACATCCATGTCAGTGTTGTTCGGTTGGAGCAAAAGACATCAAACTTAGGCTTCCCACTCGGGCTGCAACAGATCACAAATCTCACAGTTCAGATTTTTCACTGATCGTTGTCGCATATTTGAACGTTTATTCTTTTGGCCCCAAAAAGTAATTTATAATATCGCTCCAAGGCCGAGTAAAATGCTTTCAATTCCGAGACGAGACCGAGACTAATAAATACATCAAATGATTCTTCCCTCTTCAAACTATTGATTATAATCTGTTATCCTCAAATAATACAAATACATAGTTTCTTAAACTGTGAAACACTTTGAATAGCCTGAAATAACAATGTAGAACAGACTTTTGTCAAATAAGAATAAACTTCTGCATCATCATCAAACCGTCATGTCAACAGTCATTCAGGTAATCAGTCTCCTTAACATGAAGGACGACTGCTCAATAAGCAGCACTCTGCTAAGGACTTATTCACCATTAGATCTGTTATCATTATGATTATTATTTCTTCAAACTTGTTTGGTGCACTTAAATTGTCCTCGTCCTCTCGACGAATTAAATTAAGCTTTATGATACAAAGTATTAAACGATCAACTTTTTTTTTTTTTTTTTTTTACACTTCAGGGTCTTTTTAAACTCTGGTGTCGGCAAACAGGAGTCGGATGTTTCACCTGTAAGAGGCATGATTTGATGCCTTGTTTTAGTCGTGTATCTCTCTCTGATTTCAACAATATCGGAGAACGCGCAAATGTCCACCCCTGGTCATTTTCAGTTTAATAAGAACCCCATCTGCTGACATCACTGCCAGCAAATGAGCCAATCACAGTGGACGTTGGCACTGCCTTTTAGTCGGCTGTGGTTATGTCGACTTCACTGACAGGCATCACTGAAGCAGAGAGCATCAGAGCTGCTACCGTGTTATCCTCCATGTTGTCTTTAACCCTTTGCTGCCTCCATCTCAGTTTATAAACTTAAGCTCTGCTATTCTGTCGCTGCTTTATTGCCTTGTGAACAATGCACGGTTACATAAACGTAACGGCATCGATTATGCTGATAAAATGTTAGACACTCAACTTTTCTAGATGGTTTGTCAAATCATCATCTATAAGGGGGCATAAAAATGGAATCCTATAAAACCCTAAATCCTGCATCACGTGCATCATATGATATCATAAGAGTCCCACCCTGATGTCTCATAAATATTAGCGATGCACCGATTGGAAAAATCAGGGCCGATGTTGATACCGATTCCAATACCGAAGTTTGTTTCATGGTTACTTGGTCTGGTAGTTGGAGAGGTGCCAGTTCACTTCCTTAGCACTGCCAAGGTGCCCTTAAGCAAGGCATCCCTAATAAATATCATAATTTTACACTTGAACGTTGGTGCTCTATAGATATGAACCCTGTCATATTTAAAATAAAAAGAGCCTCAAGTAAAACAGAAACTTATGTTTTGGCATGCCATCAAGCGATCACTCTGACAGAGAGATGATTTCCATTTCTTGACAGGTTTGTAATTAAATGAGCTCATATTTTTATCCTTTAAATCTCTGCAACAAGTTAATAGCATGTCTTTCTTTCTCTCTCTGCAAATTAATTAAAATACTTTATTTTTATTGTACTACTTGGTATAAATCCATATTTGCTGTGTAGCAGTCTTCTTCACTGCTTCTTTTTGGTCTAGTGTTACATTCTTACCACATATCTGCCACAATGCGTGTACTTACTGGCATGCACGGCTGAAAACATCACTGTTCAGAGCTTAGAGATTTGCAGCCCCGCGTGTGCAGCTGATGTTAAACCCTGCACTCACTCACTCACTGCTTCTTTGTTTACTCCGCTCAGCAGAAGCTCAGAAGAGAAAAAGCAAGTGGGATTCTGCAATCCCTGTGACCCTTGCCCAGCCCACCCTCATCACCACGTCTGGAACCCTGCCTGCCGTCGTCTCCGTGACAACCACAGCGAGCGGCACCAAGACTACTGTCATCTCTGCGGTGGGGACGATCCTCAAAAAGTCAAAACAGTGAATGCACAGAATGAGCAGGAAAATGACCTCTGGTGTTGTCCTATGCTCATTTCATGTGTAAGGAGAGGACAATGGAAGCGATGGACACTCATTGGATGTTCAAAAAAGATCGACAGATGACCTCTGGTACAAATGGACTTTTTCTAAAACTGCCTTTTTTCTGCTCCTGGGTCGTATCTGCACTATTACATGCATAGCTTTACTGATTATTAGGGGGTTGATGGTGACAATCCACAGCTGGTCACTAAAGCCAAATTCTCAGTTTGTAGAAATACTCCTCTGAAAATCAGATGCATAAAAGTCCCACACAGACGAAACACTTACTGTATGTCATTCAATTTTGTTTGGTTGGCAGCAATTCTTATGTCTGAAACAGTGAAGCAGAACTAGAGTATGACAATGGTTGAATAAGGAAAATGGTCCTGAATAGACATGTTAGAGATATCAGAAAAGTTGTTTATTTTTCTATGCATAGCTCTGGTGCAGTGCTCCGTGACTCCTGTAGCAGTTATGTGTAATATCTTGACGTGTTCATCATTTTTGTCAGCCTTTTTTTCTTCATTGGTATGTAAACATTGCTACGGTAAGTTTTTTTACACTTGTACATATTGTATTGATCGTGAGGAATAAATGAATCAGATGTTTCCTTTTCAGTTGTATTACTGTCAATTCATTTCACTTCCAGAACACCCTCCCCCCACGCGCGCACACACACACAGACACGTACACACGCGCACACACGCACGCACGCACACACACACACACACCGAGCACGTCTTGAGCGTTTTTTTGTTTGTTTTTTTTTACACATGCATGCCTGAAAAAGTCTTAACAAAAGCTTTAGGACAGCATTCCACAAAATCTTCATTATCCACACGTCCCACTCCCAGCATGAAGGTGATAATGGGCAAATGCAAGATGGTGGAAACCCAGTTGAGGTAAAGACAAAGGGGGGAAAAAAAGGGTTTTTATAGAGACGCATTCTCTAAACCACGTCAACCTAAGGGGGAACCATTACATTCAAAGGCTGAAAATCGTATTTACCGGTAATGGCTTGGCCTTTTTTTTTTTTTTTTTTTTTTTTAAACATAAAAATTTCAGCCGCGCTCTCTCTGACTGAGATATTGACAAACTCATTGTCTGTCCACAAGCCCTTTCCCTAACTTTGTTTCAGGGAGAAATGATTCTACTATATGGCCAAATAATGTTTTTAAGCAGATGAAAGTGACAAGGGGAACACCTTTTATTATGCTGTTCAAAGTATCCGTATCTTTATTCTTTTGCCTAATTCATAAATCCTAACGTGAAATTAAAGGAGTGTCCTTACATTTCCAAATAAAATAACTAACTCTTGATTGAAGCCACAATCACGACTGAGAAATCTCTTTGGCTCTCTTGCTATCTCCCACAAAACACACACGGAGCTTCTGTGGTTTCTTTTTTGGGAATGCATGCCTGTGTGCTCCAGATGTAGTTGTGACTTGTGCTCTTCCTCACCTCAGTCTTCACAGCTGACATCTATCTGGGGTGCATTACCAGGTTGGCGTATTTCTGAGGCAGTAAAGTGATGAGAGCAGTGAAAGTGCAAGTGAAGTAGGCCAAAGTATCCCTTTGACAAGAGGCCAAGTAGAAACAGTTCTTACAAAAATTCCTGCGTGTTTACTGTTTCTTGCTGCAAATATTTTTCACAACCTTTCATGCTTTAAGATGTTACATTTGGGTGCAGCCTTCAAACTAAACAAAGCAAATATGCAATGCTGATTTCTGTGTTTTTTGGTTGTGTTTATGTGAACATTACTCTGTATTCACTACAATAATAAAGCAAGAAATGATTGATTACCAAAAAAAGAATAGCTTCACTTGGAATGCTAGCTTTGATTTGATTTGAAATCTTTTTAAATGTTCACGATTAAAAACTGTATTTCTATTTATGTTTGTCTATTTAGAGAAGAACAAGCTAAACTGATCCAGGCTGTGGCTCAGTTGGGTAAGACACTTAACCCCCAATTGCTCCCGCTGCTTCCTCTGCGGGGTATAAATGCGTATGAATGGGATTAGTTACCTCTGATGGTCTCAGTACATAGCAGCCTCTGTCATCAGTGTGTGACCTGCAGTGTAAAAGCGCTTTGAGTGCTGCCATACAAGCTCAAGTCCATTTACCATTTACCATTCAACTTTGAGTAAGACCTGCGTATAATGAAAGACACAACAAAACTTGACTCAAGGTTTAGAGGACAGGTTGTGGCATAATTACCCCTGAGACATCCAGTTGAATCACACCAACATTTGGCCACTGAGCCATTACAGTAGCGTTTGGTACAGTACAAAGAACAAATGCTCACATTCTACTTGTATCCTGACATGTTTCTGCACTCCCTCTTTGAGACATCTGTCTCACATGTCATGCTTAGGTGGCATTCACACTTGGCTACACTTACTATTGCAGAATAAGCAGTCTACCAGCTTGTAACTTTGAGGGTGGAAATGTAAGCTATTCTACTTAAGAGCCTGGTGGGTTGTCGCCTCACAAAGTGGTAACTTGTAAAAGTAATCTTGTCTTTTTTTTTCCGTGTTAATTTTCAGTGTACCAAAAGTTAGTACACTGAAAAGTAGCATGTATCCTAAACTATTATAATGCTTAAACTCAATTGTTCAATATTTAACACCTTTATATCTAAACATTGAAGTTTAACAGCTGCAGTCGAAATATAAAATCATCATGTGGGTTATTTAGGGTGTGAAGTATGATTAAACTGTGTACAACAGACTCAGGATGTCCTTGAAGGAATGTTATCAGGATGATTCACTCTCGCGAGCATTTCATGGCTGCAGGTGTGTGTGGGTGTGTGTGTGTGTGTGTGTGTGTGTGTGTGTGTGAATACGTGTGTGACACACCCAATGTACAAGCTGTACTGAACAGGTCACAACTTTCCCCTCTTCCAACCCTCCATCCGTCCTCTGTAGCAACAAAGAAAGAGTCAGAGGGTGTTTAAATATGAAGATAGGCTTTTATAAATTATACCTGCAGGTTCTTATGTCGGTTTGGTGTAGGCCTAAGTCTGTGATAGGCTATAGTTTATTTAATTATACTTAGATATTGTTAGCAAAGAATACTATAATTATAATATAAGTAAAGTTGTAGGGATAGGCTACTACAGGCGAGTTTTATATACATATGTATTATCGTACGCAACCATTTCTTGATCAATTAACACTTTATATTAGCCTACCACTGTGGTTCAATTTAACCTTTTATAGGTAGTTTGCTATAAATAGTAAACTTTTGTTGTTCGGCCTATACGAGGTTACCTTGTTTTTTTTTTTATTTGTTACTGTATTTGACTCAAAAACACGTCACTGTACACATGTCATGTGTCCTCTGTGCTGTTAGTCTGCATCACTGCTGCAGATTTATTGAATGGGGGAAAAAAAAAAAAAAAGAGTGACGCCATTGTGCACTGAATGAACTCACTGATCCTAAAAGAGCAGTTTTTGTCATGTAAATTGGCGAGGAGGTGGGCACAGACTGGACTCAGTCTGAAGTGCCAATGGAGAGTTGAAAGTGGGGGAAACATTCTTGTAGAGCTTTCCTAAAGTTTTCATAAACTTGTGCAATTAATCTTTTTTTTTGTTTTGGAGGGGGTTTGTTTTTGTTTTCCTCCCAGCCCGTTTGGAAGTGATAGGCTACTCTTGTCTTGTTTTGCTAATGAGTGCAGGTCACCACGGCAGTATCCCGTTCACAGTAAGTAACGCCCTTAACAACATTTTGTATGTTTGACATGAGAAGTCATTGATGAGATAAATGCAAAAGATGCAGCAGCTGTGACGCTGCCTAATTGTCCTTTGTAAAAAAAAAAAAAATGCTTCTGTGTTTTAGTGGAAAGATTCACGTTAACTGGACAACAAATGTCACCTTCTGGATTATATGTAGGCATGAGTATAGTTCCCTGAGTGTTGACAGTAATAGAGTAAAGCCACAGAGGTCTCATGGGGAAGACTGGGGACAATTATACCTTTTATCAAATTTCCCTCAGTTACTCTGGGACTAATTAGACCACCCACATTTGACTGACTTACTGCTATTACCCATACAGTTAAAAGGTTGAATACACACCGACCAGTTTTAAATCATGCTTAAAAACATGAGCTTAATTCAACCAGGGCTTTCATAGTTTCAGTATCGCATGTCTCTGCAGATTACATTTTTTTTTAAACTAATATTGTTCAGCAGGGTGCAGGAACCCCTGCTTTAAAATTCCTCCAGGTCAGATGTTTCCTCATTTACAGTGAACATATATGTGTGCATCTTTCCATTATCTCCTCGAAGTTTCTGTTTATTTACTTTTCAAATCATGTTTTTTTTTTTTTTTTTTCTACTCGAGTAATTCTATCACAAATCTGCAAACTGATACACTCCTTGGGCCAGTCCCATCCAGTCCCTCCTCGTCCATGTTTAGACTGGCATCACTGCCAAAGTGCGAGCCAAGACAGTGGGGAGGGAGGACAAGTTGATTCTGCAGAGGTTTTTTTTTTTTTTTTTGTTCCTCTGGGAAGAAGTTAGCCATTGTGTCAAACTCGATCTGGTTGCTAGGAGCACGACTGTCTGTCCCTTTTCAGACTGCCCAGTTTGGTATGTACAGTGAAGAGGAAAGGCTGTTTTCTCTCTTCTGAGTCATGTTAACTCCTTGAATCCCACATGTTCTGTCACAGGTTGCCCATGGCTACTAACCTGACTCTATAGAAGTCTATTTATGAGGCGTGTGATGAACATTTGATTTTTTAATCCATATATCAATTTATGGAACAACTATTTTGATGTTGGAATACTATACTACTACAAACAGGTATTCAAAGATTATAAACACCACAGCTATTTGAGCATAGAGGCATAAATATACACATTAAATATAAGGTTGATACATTAGATGGACAGATTAGGTGCAAACAGACAGATAAACACAATCCCACTTAAATGCACAGGAGTAACAATGATCTCCTTCATGTTTATTGTGATTTTTTTAAACAAACTTTCCCCCCTGGAATTTGACTTAAAGACAAAAAAAATCTTCCTTTTTTTCACTGATAAAGATCCATTGGGATGTTTTGAAATATCAATGTCTGAGGGAATCCTCAAATGATTCAACACTTAAACGCTGCTGCTATGAAAGTGATTCAGAAATAGGAATGCTGGTGTCATTTCCTTTGAGAAGCACTTTTCCATCTACAACAGCAAGTCACTTGGAGTTATGTCATATATTTAAGTGTACGAAATTATACTATAGACTTTATAAACATGTCTCTGTGACCGACGTCACCCATTGGTTTCTAAAATGGTGTTTTGAAGCCATATTGGAGATTCTATCTCAACCTAACTTTTGATCAATATAGAAACAGGCAAAGAGGTGGAGCGGAGGTGAGCTTTAAGCCCCCTGTCAAACAGCTACAATGCGCTCACCTGGCATTTTAATATAAAACCTAATGGGGGATTCCTTAGCTTCTACAGCCAGCCTCAAGTGGACACTCAAGTCACTGCACTTGCCACTTTTTGCACTCCTGTATTGGCTTAATTCTTCAAAACCTAAAGCGGCCGCTTGGTATGACATAGACCGATTTCTTAAACTATCAGTTCTGGAATAAAGTTTATACTGCTGTGATTTAGGGATAAAGACTCCTGGTAGCTGATCAAAACCAGTTTTAGTAGAATATGAGTTGGTGATAAAGTGAGTGCATTTTGGAAAAAGCTTTCCATAGAAAGACTGACCCTTAGAGGTGTCCTCGCCCTTAAACTGCTAGTTATTTTATTATTTCCCAACATGTAAACCAGCTATGCAAAACATGACGGTTATATGTTTTGAGTTAGGCAGATGTAGTTCGGTGTTGTTGTTTCACTCTCTTACTGATTGATTTGGTTTGGATGTCCACAACTTTACTATTTTGATTCAGTCTCACCATCATCGTTTTCATTGGCTGCCGGTAGCTGTTGTCTGCAAACATGCTCAACAGACCCACTGCATACTACCTGCCAATCACCAGAAATCAGACGGACTAAGATGACAGCTGTCTGCTGAACATATTATATCATGCTCATGTAGCTCTGGATCTGTAAATGAGCCACAGTTAGGTAATGCATTCACCTTAACAACTAGTGATACACAGCTGTATCAGTTGAGCATCAGTGTTGGCCCATGTTTGCCCTGTTGGTGAATAATGTGGCATGCACCGAGGCTATTGTGCATCTATGTGTCACATCAATTTAACGCTTGTAAGCTCATTTACCGAACTGCTGATTTCACCTGTGGGACAAACTTTGGCGTGATGTAAGAGATGCCTGGTGCGCACGTGATTAGTTTTCATGGTCAAACATGAAAACTAATGTCTGTTTGGGAGTCTGACACTGCCTCTGAGAAAGATCAGCGACATGCCATTCATCAGATGTCTTTCTTTGACAGTTCAAGAGAGGTGACTGCTAACAACAGTTTAAATATATTCAATCTCATAGCCCATGTATGTATTTTCACAATTAGTGCATCTTTTATTTGAACTGTTAGAGTTGTTGCATGGTCCCTTAAAGGTCTAGTCATTCCCTTGACTGAACCGTGCAGGTTAAGATGTCTCAGCTTGTTTCAAAGAATAAACCCCTGAGGGGATCTAAAAGAGCTTTCATCTGCAAAACAAGCGGGGTCTTAAAGAGTAATCTAAAAGAAAAATATACTGATATGGCCCAATTTGAAAACATTTGTTTTGGTTGTTTTGGTTGGAGGATATGTTGGATGGAATGGTGAACCTGAGTTGCTTCAGTTTGTCTCCACAATCTAGTTCACGTAAGCGTTGGTAAAATTGTGAAAGGCTGTAGAAAAAAGAAAAAGATATGCTAATAAGCACTTATACTGGAACTATGCATCTTTAAGAGAGCTAAGGAAGTTGTTACATCCAGAAAAGGGAGAATATGTACTATGTGGCAATCCAAATGTTCAAATCTAATATTTGATGAGGTATAAAATGTGCCCACGAGTATGAGCACACGATTGTGTAAACACAAGAGTCACAAAGCTGTTTCCCATAGCCTGCAGGCAGTGTTCTGCTCTGTGCGCCACTCCCAAGAGTCTGGGAGGAGGCCATGGAGGGAGGGGCCTGACTCCCCACTCTCAAGCCCACACAGGTGAACTCCTGTTGGGTGGAATGCGGCAGGGGGGGGGCATTGACACACTGAGGTGTGGAGCTTTTAACTTCTAACAGGGTGGGGAAGACACAGGAAGGGAGTTAACCCTGTCTGTTCCACAGCTACTCACCTGGATAGGGAAGGGGAGTGTGAGTAAGAGTGTGTGTTACATTATGTGTGGGTGTGTGTGGGCAGAGGGTAAAGGAGGGATCAAGTCACAGCAACACTGAGTCGTTTTCACTCAGTCGCTCGACTCTCACTGTCTCTTGTGTCTTTCTCCAGCACACACTTCATAACACACGCAGAGCCACACACATACACACACACACACACACACACACACACACTCGACTCAAGTGAGTTTGAGGGCATTTAAGTAAATCTTTGACCGGACCAGACTGTACAGGAAGGAAAAACGGTGAGACAGTTATAAGTCCGTTATCTCTTCTTTTTTGGAACTTTTTTTCTTGGACACGAGAACTTAAAGAAAACCTTTTTTTTGTTCTTTTTTTTTTTCTACAGGTGGATACAAACTTTTTCTAAGCTCTTGGGTCAGACAAAACAAAAAGGAATTGTGTTTTTTTTTCCTCATTTATTGTTGGACTTTTGGACTCGGACTGGGCGAGGGCACAGTGAGAGGTTTGTTTGATCAGTAATCTCTTTGTTTTCAGTCATACTTTTCCTAATAGCTCCATTGTTTTCACCTGCATTGTGTTCTTCATTGTGTTCTTCTGCTCAGCCTTGAAAACATATGGATTACTCGACTTCTTCATTTTTTTTTCACTTTATGGCAAGGTGAGGGACAGTAAAGTGTGCATTATGTAACGTTATGTTGCAGTGTGGTTTATAAGTGCAAGACTGCAAGACTGAAAGCAGAGATCTCCACAGATTTGCAGATTATAGCTGAGTGCTCAATCTTTTTAAAAAGTGGTTATTTTCTGCATGATTGCTCACATGAGACCAAAGATTACAATGCAAGACCGGCGAAAAGTGGATCAGAACAAACAGGACACAGAGAGAGAGAGAACGCTGGGTTCATGTCAGCAGGTTTGGTTTTTCTGTCACATTGACCCTAAAGACCTGCTGTGGTAGTTTGGTTTGTGTGTGTTTTTTTTTAAAATGTGGAATGCATTGATAGCTTCAAAGACGGGGGGTTTTCCAGGTGTGTGTGTGTCTGTGATTTAGCCTACTGTCAAAGGCAGGTCTCCTAGCATGACCCCTGAGCCTGTAAATGAAAACCCACCTAACCTCTAACTGGTGATGTCATGAGGGGGTCAGGCCCACACCCAGCGGCGGTATGTTCTCCTGGCATGATTTTAGTTGTCTGAAGAGACAACAACCACAGCTTTGAACTTAGAAAAAAAAAGTCCCATCTATTATGTGCCACAGAGACATTGAATGACTGACTCAGTTCTATTTTCTGCCTCTTGGAAGCTGTAATTTGTGTCTCCCACTTTATTGTCAGTGTCAAATAAACGCCTCTGCGCCTTTGATTCTGTCTGGTGCAGAAGGAAAGTGCCTCTTCTGTGCTCAGCCCGTACTCACTGATGGCCGAGTGTGTAGAATAGGAGCTGGTCTGTTCTGTTTCTCCCTCTCATAGTCAGTGATTTATGTGACACCTCATGCACACACACCTGTAAGCTGCTCAAGTTCACAACAGGGTGCTAAGGTGCCTTTCCCATGTGTTTTCAGACTGTGTTTTTAACTTGGACAGGTCACTCTCTCGCCTCGAGGAGAAATTCCTTATTGACGTTGTAAATCTGCAGAGCACAAATCATCATTTGATTTAGGGGCATTTTTTTTTGTATCCGTGAAGCTGACAGAGTTCACTTTTCTGCCCACTGAGACAATTAACGAGACATTTCATATCACATAATGGCCTTTTTGTTCACTCTCCACCTCCTGTCTGTTGTTGACATCTTTTTTGTGTGGCTTCCTGTAGATCAGATTGTTCTCCATCCAACATTCCCGCATAAAATTATTAAAAATAGTTTTATTATGGAGAGGCAACACAGCATGTTTTCAGGCCCCACCCAGACTTGGTCGTCCTCTTGGGAGTCTTCTATCAAGTTTGATAAAGTCTCCACTTTCTCTTCGTAGTATGTCGAGAAATTAGTTATATTAGTAAATCGAATGTTGAAGCCCCTGTGAGGAGTTTTTATCTGGTTAGGAAACAGAATGAAATGAATAATGGTGCCTTTATATGACCCAAATTAGCCAATTAGATGATCTGAGAGAAGATTTGTTATTTCCATACAGTTATTTTATACGCCTGTCACCTCCGTAAGTGTCCCACAAAGCGCATAACATAACATTGCTAAAACAAACTTTTAAAGATTTTTCCACACCAAAGATTAATTGTGAGTAGCATGTTGTACATTTAAAATTATAAAAATGAACTCTTTCCCCCTGCCAGAAAATACTACTTACACATGGACTGGACTAAGTCAGCGAATAGATTAACGTTACACTTTGTCCACAGGGGGCGCCAAAACCAACACAAACTGAAGGTTCCTAACAGGAGCTTTAAGCCCCGATTCCACCAATGATTCAGTTCGGTACGGTACGTTCGGGGGTAGGGTGGAAACACAAGCATGTTCTGGGTTATCCGTACTGAGCCGTACAGCTCTATACTGGACTGTACCGTACCAAACTAAAACAGACGGCTTGGTGGAAACGAAGCTTAGTTAAAAATGTTTGAATGAATACAGGAATAAACAACAAGGCAAAAAAAAATGTTGAAACCTTTTAAGAGCTGTTTAATATCATGGATCAGGTGATACATGAGTGAAGAAGGGTGGAGATTCAAAACAACACACAAAACACCTTTTTCTGAGGAAGGCAATATATTTGAGACTTTATGCCTCTGGCTGCTTTATAGACCGGTGAGCTTTTCTGCCTGCTCAGTTTATGATGTTTTCTTTGATTGTAAGAGTACAATAGCAGAATATATATTAAACTGTTGTGTTGCTGTTAGGGGTCATACACAACACAATCAAAACTGCCAAAAATGTTTGCTAATAAAAAAGATGAAAAAAGGAAGCGTGGTTGGGGGCTTTACAGAAAGTCAAAGTCAGAGCTCACAGAGCTGCATGTCTCTTTCTTATTTCTCGACAGGTTATCAGTTTCAGAGACAACGCCTGGAAACTTTGTTATTAGACAAATACATTCCTGTTTACCTTCAGTGTATGTTTTTGAAGGCAGTAAATATTTCTTGAAACCAGAAGTAGGTAAATGAGCATGACAGGATACCACTCTAGCTGTGAAGTTGTTGTTTGGATGAAAACACCCTTTTTTTTATTGAATATATATCTTTATTTATGTTTATAGTTACACAGAGAATGGTCAATGTTTCCTTGAGAATAAGATACAGTGATACGTGTTTTGGGAAACTGTTCAAAAGCCTGAATTATGTTTTTTATTATTTCCTGGAAAAAACAGTTTGATCTGTTTTGAACTACTGTCAACAACTCTTTGACAAAGTGAAATGAAGGTGGAGGGTGTGTCTCGGCCTGTTCACTTTCTCCAGGACTTGTCTGAGGGAAAGTACAGGTGGTTCAAATTACACCTTAGCACCTTCGTCTGCAGAGATTTCACTGTAGGGCAAAAAAAACAAAACGTTTTCTCCTCTTTTTTCCTCCACTCCCTCTCTCTCTGTAACATTGAAGTTTAGCTGTCTTTAAGTATGCATATGTGAATGTCTTTGTTTGTGTTTTGTTTTTTAGGAAGGAGATGGGGAGATGGTCGTTACATGTCTCAGTGGGGCTTGGGCTTCTAGCCCTCTTATTGACCTGCTGTTATGCTGAAGGTGAGGAAGCCCAGAGTCCTAACTTACAAGTCTTCAGGAAAAGTGAAAGTGATATTTGATTTTGAGTGCAAGAAGTGCTCTAAATATAGCTGTTGGCTATCGATTTAATGGGCCTCATTCACCAATATCTTCTGAAGAATTTTCTCAAGCTGTGTTCTTATTTCCTTGAAAGCGCGTGCCTATTGTTCCAGTTAGCATAGGTAACCGCCCACTAATGCCCATAAAAGGGCATGAGTGCAGGGACCATTATTCAGATTGTGAGTAATGATTACACCGGGGGGGGGGACCACTTGGATTTGTATAATCATAAAACATCGGTGAATTCCAAAATCTTCTTAAAAAGTTCCTAATTCGTATTTAAGAACACAATTTGTTCTTAAGAACCCCTTTGTTTAAAGAAACTTCTCTCCATCAAAGAGGGTACTTTGACACTCAGACCATTAGTTGACTATTTTGTGAATGATTTGTGAATGATCTCTAATGCACATTATTATGAATAGAATTTATTTTATTTTATTTTTATTTTATACAAAAAAAATAGTCAAAAAAGGGTTGTGATTTCAAAGATGTCATCTTGGGAAGATTGTGAAACAATTTTTTGTCACTGTTTTCTGTCATGATTTGACTAAAGGATTAATTGATTTTATCACAAATGTACAGACATGTTCACAGTGTTGGGAGAGCTGCTCTGAAATGAAATATGTGCAAGCTATCAGTTACTCCCCAGAGAAAAAAACGTTGACCTACAACAAAGCTACACTTGAGTGAATAGTTGCAAATTAAACTAAATGCTAATCAAACGGAAACACAACACAGAAAAGAGCCATGCCAGCAAGAGTCAAGCTCAATTGTTCACTGGCTGTGCATGAAAAAAATGAATCCACATATTGCTGGGAAAGAGCCTCAAATTTCATCTTTGGATTGTTTGTTCTAACGTCCCCAGAAACTGCATGTTATGCACCATGCAGGATAGCTTGGCGTTAGCCTGGTAACATCTAAAATAGCATGTAGCAACATCTCTAGACATTTATTTATTTAGGTATTTAGTTATATATTCTTTGGTTTGTTGGTTCATTCAGTCATTGGTAAAGTTAAAATAATAATCAAACTGTATTGTTACAATGAAATTCCTTTTATGGCCCAAATATTTTGCAGGTTCAGTAAAACCCAAAAGGAATTTTTTTTTTTTTTTTTTTAATCCAAACTTAGTCATATCACTGTTGGGAAGTTTTTTGGTTAATTTTGTATAAAATCTGCAGAAACTAAGCTGATGTGCCAAAGTCTGTTTAGCGTTACCACAGGTATTTTCTAGGTCTGTTTCATGGGTGGGATTCTCACTTTGTTGCCTGTCAGTGGCTCTCACTCTTCCTCACATGATAGCTTTCTATAACCTCTCTCTATCCCCACTCCCACCTCTACCCCTCAGTGAACTACTGCTACGCCTCCAGGGAGAAGACCTGCTCAGAATGTCTGCAGACTTCGGTAGACTGTGCGTACTGCCCTGATGAGGTGAGAGCAGAACACAACAGGAGTTTTGTCTTATTGTAAGGCTTAGATGGAAGCTGAGAACTGTGTCAAAGCACGTTGTGTTGATGGTAATTCACGGAGATTGTGTTAATTACAATATATTCATTTTTATATAAAATCTGTGAGGACTTGCATTATAATCTTTTTTATATGGAAGCCTTGAGCGTGTAAATAAGAGTACAAATCTAGTGATCAATTAACTGATTCTATTCTGTGGTGTTGTTGTGCTGTCTTTAGTATGTAATGACAGTGTTTCCAAGGTGGGGCCTCGACCGCTCTGTGCTGGGTCCATGCTAAGACTTGGCAGAGTCCTTGACTGTAATGAGATCCCCTGCGTTGACATAGGCGATGACATTAGTCGTTTTAGGACCACAGGAACTTTTTCACCCTTTTTTATTGATTTTGCACCACAGGAACTCAGAACTATGTTAGTTCCTAGAACTCGTTTAGAGGGACCTTTTTAGCTCCTGCTTCAGAGTTGAGACCACACTAGACCGAGACCAAGAACAGACCACATTAACTGAGACCAAGACCTTCCCGAGACCAGAGTGCTCCGAGACCAAGACAAGACCAAGACAAGACCAAGACCAAGTCAGGGAGAGACTGAGTCAAGACAAGACCAAGACAAGACCAAGACAAGACCAAGACAAGACCAAGACCAAGTCGGGGAGAGACTGAGTCAAGACAAGACCAAGACAAGACCAAGACCAAGTCAGGGAGAGACTGAGTCAAGGCAAGACCAAGACAAGACCAAGACAAGACCAAGACAAGACCAAGACCAAGACCAAGACAAGACCAAGACAAGACCAAGACCAAGACCAAGACAAGACCAAGACAAGACCAAGACCAAGTCAGGGAGAGACTGAGTCAAGGCAAGACCAAGACAAGACCAAGACAAGACCAAGACCAAGACAAGACCAAGACAAGACCAAGACAAGACCAAGACAAGACCAAGACAAGACCAAGACCAAGACCAAGACCAAGACCAAGACAAGACCAAGACAAGACCAAGACCAAGTCAGGGAGAGACTGAGTCAAGACAAGACCAAGACAAGACCAAGACCAAGTCAGGGAGAGACTGAGTCAAGACAAGACCAAGACAAGACCAAGACAAGACCAAGACCAAGTCAGGGAGAGACTGAGTCAAGACAAGACCAAGACATTGAGGGATCGAGACCAAGTCATCTAAGTAGTTAGTCCAAGGTTGAATCACAAGCTCTATTTAGAGCTTTCATCTTATATCGTCTTTTCATTATCAGTCTGAAAGAGACAGTTCTTTACACAACAGCATCTGACATCATCTAATCTTCAGGATCATGTTAAAATTTGAATGATTAAAAATAGATTCTGCCTGATAATTTGGGACGTTAAGTTAAAGTTAAAAGCAGAAGTTACTTATCAAATGTCCTATTTGCTCAGATGTATACCGGCCCTCGCTGTGACATGGAACGGAACATAGTTGCCCAAGGCTGCAGTGCTGCGGCAATAATCAGAGCTCAAAGCAGTATGCAGATAGAAGCGGTAAGTCTTCGTCACCTTTATTTCTCCTCCAGTGTTTCCTATGCTCCTTCTTCTTAAATCTGTTGTTTGGTTTTAAAAGTAGAAACTCATTACACACCCACAGGGTATACATAAATAGGCATACCCTGTCTCGATTGGTGGGCAGTTGTTGTTGCTGCTGATTACAGGAAGGACATTAAAACAACCGCCATTCCCATCCCTGCAGTTGGCTCATTCAAACATATTGTTTTTAAACTCTCTGGTCCCACTGGTCACTGCTGTAATCTATACCCCCCCCCCCCCCCCCCGATAACTGCAATAGTATCCTTTCCGGCACATCATCCAAAGTCCTCGACCAATTCCAATACATCCAGAACTTCTCACCGCACCCGATCCGTGTTCACATCAACCCTGTCCTGCAAAATCTCCACTGGCTCCCTGTCCCGTACTGTATCCAATTTAAAATCCTGCTCCTCACACATTAAGCCCTAAACCACCAGGCCCCCTCCTACCTCACTGCTCTCCTATACCATCACACTCCTTCCCTTAGCCTCCATTTTTCCAACCACAACCTCCTGTCTCCCCCAAATAGAACGAAGCACCGAACCTGGGGGGACAGAGCCTTCTACATAGCTGCCCCCTCCCTCTGGAACTCACTCCCCACACTTATTCAAGATCACACTTACCCATCTACATTCAAATCACTACTCAAGACTCACCTCTTCAAAAGAGCTTTAATGTATGATTGTGATGTGCGTTCTGTTTATGCGTGGCTTATGTGTTGTTGTCTATATGACCTGTGTGGAATGTCGCAATGATTGTGAGTTTGTTTTTACTGTTCTGTCTTGATCTTTCTTTCTTTTTTAACAAATGTACAGTGTTTTTGAGCTCCTGAAAAGTGCTTTATAAATAAATTCTACCATTATTATTATTAATATTACTACTGAACTTTCTTTTTTTCTGCTGGCTCAGAATCGACAAATCAATATGAAGCTTCAGCAGTCGCAAGTGTCTCCTCAGCAGATGAGCATGAGCTTTCTGCCAGGAGAGCAGAGACTGGTAGATGTAGAAGTGTTTGCTCCAACCAAAGGTCCTCTGGACCTTTATATTCTTATGGACTTCTCCAACTCCATGGCTGACGATTTGGACAACTTGAAGAGGATGGGCCAGGAGCTAGGTTAGCATATTTTGTATTATTAAAGGGTTGTAAGGATTTTTGAATAAGTTGTTGCTGTGTTACTGATTTGGAATGTCTCATATGTAGCTAAGGTGGTGGGGAGTCTGTCAGAAGACTACACTATTGGCTTCGGAAAGTTTGTGGATAAAGTGATCGAGCCACAGACTGACATGAGACCGTTAAAGTAAGATATTGTAGAAAATGTAAAATAAACACCTACATAACTGCATACTTTCAGTCATCTAAATGAACTCTTTCTCTCCTTTATTTTGCTAAACAATTGTACACCTCAGCCTTAAGCAGCCATGGCCCAACAGCGACCCCCCGTTCTCATTCAAAAGCGTCATTAAGCTGACCAACAACTTGGACTTTTTCAACCAGGAGCTCCAGAAGGAGAGAATATCCGGCAACCTGGACGCTCCTGAAGGAGGTTTCGATGCCATATTGCAGGCTGCCGTTTGTAAGGTTAGTAAGAACCCAAAATACGTTTTGCTTGTAACCACAACAGGTGTAAATTACTGGTCCACAAATGTTTCCCAAACCTCTCTCCAGAAACTTGGAGACTACAACTTAATTTTTTAGTTTATATTAGATTAGGGCCCGATGGTGTAGGATTTTTCGGTGCCAATACCAATATTAGGGAGGGAAAAAAAACAGATCCCGATATATATCGGCCGATATCTTTCTTTGATATATCTTCGATATGTAAAGATAGATAGATAAAGTCTTACACATTTATTGTGTTGAATATTCAAATGTAAATATCAAAAACTTGTGGAACAGATAAATAATGAAGAAAAGATGGTCAGTAAACTGGAAAGTAACTGCGCCTTTATGTGCATCAGTGCTTGACACGGGAGAGTGATAAGGATTTTTGTAATCCATAAAGCACACGCTGCTGGTGAAAGCCAGCAGGAGAACTCCTAGTGTAATTCATTGATGCTCAAATTACTTGCAAATAAGTCTTGTAATATCGGGGCTTATCTGCGATAAAATTACCCGATACCGATAGTCACTTGATATGCTAATATTGGCCATTTTACCTGACTGCCAATTTATCGGTTGAGCTCTGTTTTCATTCACAGAGGTCTTAAACACTACTGGCAGTTAATAAGCTTATCATCATGTTTGGAAAAACAAAAGCTTACAAAGAGATAAAGGAAAACTGTGCATTGAAGATAGGTGTACCAAGATGCTTTAAATATGATATGATACCTATAACTTAAGTTTTAAAATACTGATATCATTACTCATCATTCAAAAATATTTATAATCTAACTATTGTGAAAACATTTTCCTTTGAATTTAAAAAAGTTGGGAATGCATCTAAGTACCGTTCACAGCTTGTGTTTTTTATCCAAAGTGGCCTAAATATTAGTTGTTGCAGCTTTAGGAGTGTAAGATGACATTCCATATGTTCGTAATATTTTGGATTCTACTGAGCCCAGCCAAGCCAAGATATGGTAAATCTTTGCTGACCACTTTGTTTTCTGCTCCCAATTTATTTATTTGTGTTCATATTATAGGAAAAGATTGGCTGGCGACCCCAAAGCACACATCTATTGGTTTTCTCCACCGAGTCAGCCTTTCATTACGAGGCTGACGGTGCCAACGTGCTCTCGGGCATTCTGAAACGCAATGACGAGCTCTGCCACTTGAACGACAAGGACGAGTATACAGAGGACATAACCCAGGATTACCCTTCAATACCTACACTGGTCCGTCTCCTGCGCAAAAACAACATCATTCCCATCTTTGCTGTCACCGCCCACTCCTTTGACTACTATAAGGTTGGCAGGTTTTGTTTTTTTTGATATTCCTGTAAAGATGAGCTTATGACACATACATACATCATCATAAAGTATAAGGTCACAGTTTAGGTCACTGTTTTTTTATGTACGGTACATCCTTTCTGTTTAGAAACTGAAAGAGTATTTCCCCATCGCTGAGGTTGGTTTGCTGCAAGAAGACTCCAGCAACATGCTTGATCTCCTGGATACTGCCTTCAAGGTAAAGCATCAACTCTTTTGACAGTTTTCTCTTGCAACAGTAACCTATATGTATGACTCTGAAGACAACTCACTAGTGGTTTTTAAAAACTTTGTGTCCATTCTGTTTCCTTCTGCATATCTTTTTAGAATATTCATTCTAAGATGAGCATCCAGGCAGAGGATAGACCCAAGGCTTTCGCAACACAGTTCCTGTCCACCACTGGAAGCGCTGCACAATATGGGGCCTTCAATTTTAAGCCTGGAGAAATAGTAAGAAGGAATCAATATTCCCACAGCTAATTACACCCACAAACATACATTCATGGTTTGAGAATAACAAGTGTTAGTTTAATAGCTAAACAGTTATTAATATGAAATATTTTAAGATTACCAACAACATGTTTGTTTTTGCAATTTTCTTAATTTAAATTGTATTACTATTTTTTATACAAAATGATGTATTCAAAGGAAAGGAAAGACAAAATAAGATAAGATTCTGTCTTCATTGGGCGACTGTGGCTAAGTTGGTATAGTCGGTTGTCTCTCAACTGGAAGATCGGGGGTTTGATCCCCTGCTCCTGCAGCCACATGTCATATGTGTCCTCAGGCAAGACACCTAAGTGTCTCCTGCTGCTTCTGCTGCAATCGTGACACAGCACTTGCTAGTGTGAGTGCGCCCTTACTTATTAAACCACAAATTCTACACAATAGCCACACTGTCCAGTTGAAATTTGTAAAAGAACTTACCAAAATCAACAAAAGTACCCCCCAGATACTAAGCAGATTTATTTGATGATTTATCATGATAAGACTTCTAAGAATGTGATCACATTTTGGGGGAATATGATAAAATTTGCTGCTATATAATAGCTTTAAAGGCTTTATATGCACTTTTTCACACTTAAATATAATAGATATCAAGTATATCCTCTGAAAATAACTCTGTGAGTCATGACTGTCTACAATGGGTGTAACAACCGAGTCCCACTGTCTGTGATGCTTTCAGAGTTTTCAGAGTCCTATCTTCAGTTTGTTTACATCGCCTGGACGGCAGGCAGACTCCTCCCCTTGTGTATAAAAGTTGTTTAATTGAGGGATGAGAGAAAAGAAGAATAACATATTGTACTCACTGCTTAACTGCGTTTCTAGATCACGGTCACATGCAGTGTGAAGATACGAGCATAATAAAGATCGCTAGAATTAACATGCAAACACAACAATGCAGCGCAAGTTGTTTTGGTTTCATGCTGGTGGGCGACATCTGCTGGATCAAAAAATCACATATAAAGCCTTTAACTGTCTAAATAGTAGTTAATTGCCAACTACTTCTATTAGGCTGCGCAGTCGTGCTGTAGTTAGTGCTGTTTCCTCACAACGAGGAAGTTCCTGGTTCAAATCCCCGTCGGACAGGAGCCTCTCTGTGTGGAGTTTGCATGTTCTTTCTGTGCATGCGTGGGATCTTTCCGGGTACTCCGGCTTCCTCACACAGTCCAAAGACATGCTCTCTAGGTTAATTGGTGACTCTACATTGGTCATGTGAATGTGAGTGTGGCTGGTTGTCTGTATGTCAGCCCTGTTTTTTTGGCACTGAGATTCATAGAACTGAATGCTTAAAATGTGTGTACCTTCCAGGGTAAGTTCAAGATGCTGGTCTCAGCTAACCGAGAGGTCGACAGCGAGCCAGTCTGTCAGCTGGATCCAGCCCAGAAAGGAGGAATAATGAGAATCAAACCAACAACCTTCAGTGCTGCTGTCAATGTGAATGCTTCAGTTTTATGTCCAACCTGTGACTGTGAGAAGGTAGATACACAGATTGACAACGAAACTCATAATGTCAAGAATTTACTTTTTTGTGGAATATTCATCCCTCTAGCCATTTTTTCTGCCCGCAATATAGGCCAGAATCCCAAATGCACCCATATGCCACGGCAATGGAGACCTGGTGTGTGGGAAGTGTCATTGCCATGAAGGCTGGTGAGACTTTAGTTATATCTTTTGGTTTATCAGCACTTCTGCCAGGTGATGTGAATGCTTCACTCTTTGTTCTGTTTTCCTTCAGGCTGAGTGCATTCTGTAACTGCTCTGCAAGTGCTGCATCTCAGGACAGCAGCCAGTGTATTGCTCCGGGCTCGACCGAAGCATGTTCAGGTCGAGGTGACTGCACAGACTGTGGAATGTGTGTGTGCTACAACCCCAAGCGGTTTGAAGGACCCTACTGTCAATATGATAAAACCCAGTGTCAACGGTCTGGAGGATTCCTTTGCAACGGTATGATGGCTGGTGGTTGGTGATTTGGTAATAAATTGTGTATATACTATGTTGATGATGTTTCTATCATCACCTACCTACCTTCATACATTCTGAAATAATAATAATGTTTATTTATAAAGCACTTATCAAAATGTAAAAAGTCATTTACAGAATATAAAAATCCTGAAAGTAAAATACACAACAATAAAATCCTAAATCATGAAAATAAAAAGAACAATGTAGCAATAAAACAGAGACAATAAAATAGAAATTAAGACAAAGTAAATAGTAAAATAAATAAAACACCATGGATAAAACAACAATTACAAAAAGGCCTTTCAATAAAAATACATCTTTAAAAGATTCCGCAGCCAAGAGCCCGAGCAGCAAATGGGAGGACAGGATATCTGGGTTCAACTTATCAGGACCAATTATTAAAATCTCACTTTTGTCAGCATTTAATTTAAAAAAAATTGCTGACCATTTGTTAATGTCTGTAAAACAATAACTGAGGTCTAAGAGGTTTGAAGAGGCCCTTTATTCATTTGGAAGGTACACCTGTGTGTCATCAGTGTAGCTGTGAAACTTTGTATTTTGTGGCCAAGAGAGAGCATATATAGAGGGAGAATAAAATTGGTCCCAGTATTGACCCTTGGGGAACTCCACAGCACACTGTGGAGTGAGGGACAGCAGGATTATCAATAGAAATAAAACATTTCGGATCTGTTAAATAAGAGTAAAACCGCTTCAGAGCTGTCCCAGATAAACCAGCCCAGTGCTGCAGCCTCTCAATTAGCATTCTATGGTCAACTGTATCAAATGCTGCACTTAAATCCAGCAGCACAAGGACAGAGCATACACCAGTATCAGACATTCTTGAAAGATCATTTGTAACTCTAATAAGCACAGTCTCAGTGCTATGTTTTTGTCTGAAACCAGATTGGAACTTTTCATAAATCTCATTGTTTTTTACGTACTCTGAGGAGTAGGAGGACATGTCATATACTGTTTCATGACTTCAAGTGCATTGGTTTCAGAAGTGTGAGGTTTTTTTTAAATGAAATTACATGAAAGCTAATTTGACATGTATAGCCATAAACAAAATAGAAATAACATACAGACTCTTGTATTAATTAAGCAAGCGAACATCACATTTTCATGTAATGATGACAACGTTGATATCCTGCTTTCTATTCTATTTCTAACACTTTAACGATTAGAAATATGCTGATCAGAAATGATTGTCCAGGGGTTGAAAGATTGTTGAGCTCAAGAATGTTTTGCAAATTTTCTGAAAGTTTTTGAAAAAACCTGCAGGACTTCAACCATATGACAGTTAATCAAGTACACCACTTACAGCAATCAAAGTTAATTACCAGTCTTTCTCCTCTTATCAGACCGTGGCTCTTGTGTAATGGGTCGCTGTGTGTGTACGGAGGGCTGGGAGGGCAATGCTTGTGACTGTTCCAAGAGCAACCAAACCTGTCTAGACACCAAAGGGGTAAGCCATTTCATTCTTTGTAGATGATGTTATCATGTCACCTAATATCTCTATATCCCTGTGCCTGACTGTTTCTTTAACTGTACTAGGGTCTCTGCAATGGGCGAGGTAAATGTGTTTGTGGTCGCTGTGAGTGTCCGAGCGGGATTGAAATGACTTCAGTCTGTGAGCCAAATTTTCAGGTTTGTGGCTATGATCTACAAATATATCTTTTTATGCTTCAGTCTTTGTGTGCATGTAAGAAAGGAAGGACAGTAAGATAAACTCTCCGACACAACTTCCACTCATCAAGTGCCTCATGTTACACCTGAAAATGCTTACGTGTTCAATTACCTTTTTAACCTTAGTTGCAATATTTCTATTCCTGATCTGGATGTGTGTGCATATGTTTTGTCTAGGCCCAACTGGGAGTGTGTGAGTCTACGAGGTATTGTGTCCAGTGTCAGGCCTGGAAGACAGGAGAGAAGAAAAAGAAGGAGGAGTGTGATAAGTGTATTTTCAAAGTCATCATGGTGGATGAACTCAAAGAAAGTAAGGACATTTAAGATGAAAAAAATGACTGATGACATTTGCTTAAGTACTAAATGAATAAATCATTTCCAGGTCACTCTTTCTAGCTCATTTGTTTGTGTTATTCATGTTTTCAGGGAAGAAGGTTCTTGATTCTTGCAGTTTCCGTGATGAGGATGATGACTGTACGTACCACTACACCGTTCAAAACCCTGAAGATAAGAAAATTAAGGACTTGGTGGTTGAGGTGCTCAAAAAGAAAGGTGAGTCATCACATTTGCTCCGGGCTCTCATTTGAACAGCTGATGTATAATATATTAATCAACGTTCACCATTGTAAATCTGTGTACTTATCTGTGTAAGTAATACTCTAATTAAATTATAATAATACTTCTTACTATGAGCAATTGCATCCTACATATTTACACAAAGGACAGTTTTTGGTTTGTTGGATTTATGGATGGAAACATATCTGTAAAACCAGTCCAAAACAGAGGTGCACTCAGGCTGTTTTAGGGGCAGTGGGGAAACAATGATTAATACAGCAACAGTTTCATGCAGTAGGGAAACAGTGCAGAAAGTTGTGATTTATTTATGCTGAAAAACTAATAAGCTCTGGTTTAAATTGACCTTCATGCCCAAAGACAAAACTCCACTCAAGTCCATTGCATTAGATATCTAAAAACCCCTTGTGAGATGATACCATTGTTGTTTAACAGCCTCAGCAACTGCTCTCTGTCCAAAAACACCTAACTGAAAACCAGCCAGTGTCTTTAGAACGAGACATATGTGACCTTTTGTTTTACTGCAGTTTTAAAGGCAGGGTTGGTAATTTTCGAAAACTACCATGACTACCATGATGGTCAAGTAGCATTCCCTCAGTGCCCTGTCTGTCTGCACCCACCCCCTCCCCTCTGTGATCCCTCCAAAGCCACGCCCCTCACTTACACACACAAGCGCCATTAGTCCAGAAGCAGACCTCAGCTCATGCTTTGAGTGTGGGCTTGTGCAGGCAAGGGGTAGAGAACGAGCAGAGAGGCGTGATTTGTTCATCAGATTGGTACCTCGTGGCAGACATTGGTCGAAGTTTTTACAGTCTTACAACTGCTACAGATGACAGATTTTCTTTGTTCCTTTTTCAGAGCACATGAGTTATTAATTTCTGTCAGGACCTAAAGACAATTTCAACCAGAATCTTTAAAAGGGTATCTGGAGAAAATTACCAAACCTGCCTTTAAGTAGTGTATTGCATAATAATGTCTAACTTGGTCTACTCTTGGTGACAAACCCTTCAGATTGTCCAGCGGCTAGCCTCCTGTGGTTGCTCCCTCTCCTCTTGTTCCTCTTGTTGCTGCTGGCACTTTTGCTGCTCTGCTGTTGGAAATACTGTGCCTGCTGCAAATCGTGCTTCCAGGTATTAAAAAAAACTTTACACCAATTTACACCAATACATGATATTCATAAAGTCACAGTTGAAGTAATGGCTTTTGTCTTCTCTTGACACAGCGCTGCCTTGCCTGGCTGCCTTGCTGTAGACGAGGTAAGACATTTGTTGTTTTACATGTGATCATATTGCTTTAAATCTTTTATCCTCCTGCCACATTGGACCGTGTTGAATTATGTTGTATCTCTCCAGGACGCATGGTTGGCTTCAAGGAAGACGAGTATTTGCTCCATCAATCTCGGCTCACCTCAGACCATCTGGACACACCGATGGTGAGGACCGGCCCACCCAAGGGGACTGATGTGGTTCGCTGGAAGGTAACCGATAACGTACACAGAGGACCCAATCATCCCCAGGCTCTGATAAAGCCCAACCCGAAAGAGATAAGTAAGTGGTGATAAACTGTTCCATCAATTCAAATGTTTTGTGCATCTTACATGTTTAATTCCTGATCTGTAACCTCTGTTTCATTTCTTTTCATTGTTTTCCCTTACCCCCACCTGCAGTCCAGTACCCCATCTCCCTCCGACTAAACAGGTTGTTCTCTGAGAACCTGTCTCGCCCCGAATCCAGGGATGCTGAACAGCTGCGTAAAGAAGTGTCCGATAACGTGAGTATGATTTCTTGGTTTGCAGGCAACATGTTTGATTGTATAAATAAAGAATGTATTAGTAAGTATTGGTTGTGTTCTTCGATCCAGCTGAATGAAGTGTACAAGCAGATTCCAGGTGCACAGAAGGTGCAAAAGACCTCCTTCAGGTAAGATGTGTTACACTACATGTCTAGGTCATTAACAGATCTTTTTATATGTTTATTTCTATTAATCTAGAAATTTTTAAAGACTTTAAAAGAGAATTACTTATCACTTATAATTCGTTTCTTGCAGATTGCAGAGAAATGCTGGAAAGAGGTAATATTTGATTGGTACAACAAAATACAACATCAGATTCTACTGACCTGATGGTAATACGTGTCTAACTTCTCTGCAACTCCTGTGCTCTTCAGGCAGGACTACGCCATCATGGACACCATCTTACCTGCTCCCCGTGGCAACTACCCGGATATTGTCAAACTTACAGAGAAAAACGTCCAGTCGGGAAACTTAAGTGATCTGAAAGTTGTGCCTGGCTACTTCACTGTGGCAACAGACAGAGGTATGTTTTATCATTCATCCGAATTCTTGAGAATTCAGAGCTCTGATATCGTCTGAGAACCATAACTGTATCAGTCTTGCCATAACTCTTGTGTTTTTACCCACTGTACCTCTGCAGAGGCTGCGGGAGCCGTAGAGTTCCAAGAAGGTGTGGAGTCATTAGACGTTCACGTTCCCCTCTTCGCCAAGGAAGAAGATGATGACAAGAAACAGCTGCTGGTCGAGGCCAAGGATGTGCCACTGGGCATTGCTGAGATTGGAAAACGTTTGGTTAACATCACCATCATCAAAGAGCATGGTGAGAAATTTTGGATTTTGTAGATTTCCACTTGAAAATCTTTTTAAGTAAACTTCTGGAGCCAAAGAAAATGAGACAACTGAAGTATGGATTCCTTTAATTGATTCTCTTCTTCTTCTAGCCTCCAGTGTCTTTTCGTTCCTCCAGCCTGCGTACACTTACAACAGGAAGGATGGTGTGGCCAACATCCCAATCAGCAGAGAGATTATAGATGATGTGCGCACCCAGGTCACTTACCGTACACGAGACCTCACAGCCAAGGACAAGAGGGTGAGCTTTTGCACTGACCTAAATTTAGCCCGGCGTCCTTTTACCTCCAAACCATACCACCTTGTTACGAACAGTTAGTTCGGATAATGTTCCAGCTCTTAAAAGAGCACATATCTTTACTGGGAACCAGTATGTAATGACTGGTAGGTGGGATATAGGGCTGCTGCAGGGCCTGTTCCTTATCTTTTCTTTCCATTATTTTTAGGACTATATGACTGTGGAAGGAGACCTGACTTACCTTCCTGGTGAGACCCAGAAAACAGTGCCTGTTCGACTGCTAGAGGTGGGAGAGAAAAATGTCCTCCTGGAAGACAAACCGGTCAAGCAGTTTGTCATGGATCTCAGTAACCCACGTCAGGGTGCAAAGTTGGGACGCTACCCTCGAACTACTGTCACTATTGCGGACCAACCAGGTTAGACACAAGATGCTTTTCATCAGTGTGTCCAAGCTGTTGTTACTCGCTCTGGTTGCTTACATTTCTCCCTCTCGCCATAATCTTGTTTTTTATCTAGAACCAACTGTGATGATGTTCAAAAAGGGCAGCCAGAACTTCTCCACATCTGACCCAACCTACACCATCCCTGTGGTCCGCACTCACAACCAGGACAGCCCTGCCACAGTGAAATGGCGCACCAAGAAGGCTCAGCGCTTCGACCTATCAGGCCCACTTAAGTTTGGTCCAGGAGAGACAGAGAAGAACATAGTGATCGACCCGGGGTCCCACCCTGGAACGATCAAACCAGAGACCTTCCAACTGGAGCTGTTTGACCCAAGTAGCGGTGCTACTGTCGGAGAAAGAAAGACCACACTTGTCAATGTAGCCGATGGAGGTAGGACAAAAGGGAGAGTCATTCTTCAAGAAAGCATGAAACCAAAGATGACATTAAATAAATTATTTTTAAGAATAGACTTTAGAATCAGAGTTTCTGTGTCTCAGAAGTTTGTGATGTTTTAGACTTTTTCGAAAGAAATGTGTCATTCTTAAACACTAGACTGTATGTTGGTAGATTTTTTGTCATCCTCTCACTTCCTCTACTTCCTACAGCTCCAAAATCTCCAGAATTTTCCCAGATGCAGCAGAAGGGCTACATCAATAAATCCTCTTCCCCAGCGAACCTTAAAGCCTCCTCCCCGGCAAACCCTAAAGCCACAGCAACTGGACCTAGAGGCATCCGCCTGAAATGGGACCCACCACCCGGTAACCCCACGGGCTACAAGGTACTTCAAATCTGCATGTTTTAGAAGCTTTAACTTGAGTTAATAATCATTATTTACAAAAGACACTATCAAATACTTTATATTTTCTTTTCATGTGCATTAAGGTTAAATATTGGATCTATGGTGACCCAGAGAAAGATGCCAAGGTGATGGATGTGAAGACTACTCATGCTGATTTGACCAACCTGTACCCCTATTGCGACTATGAGATGCGAGTGTGCGCCTACAATGCAATGGGAGACAGCAACGATACAGACATTGTTTCCTGTCAAACAATGGAGGACGGTAATTTCTCAGAATTCAATCCGGCTCCTTGTAGTGCAGCTCCTACCATCAATGTATTATATTTAAAAAACAAAGTCACATCTATTTGCAGCATAAGAACTAATTGTAATAGTGCAACCTTTTTAAATAAATGTGTTCATAAACGCTTGGGTTATAACCATGCTGACTTTGAACTAACTAATGCTTCCTGTTCTGTTTTCCTCCAGTTCCTGGTGAACCTGGACGTCTCGCCTTCAATGTCATCAGTCCAACTGTCACTCAAATTAGCTGGGCAGAGCCCGCAGAGACCAATGGCAATATTACTGCTTATGAGGTCATCTACACACCCATCGATGATGACACGAGTAAGAGTCCCACCTTAAAAAGGAAGTACTGTTTGAAATATTTGTCATGTGTCATTTTCATCAATTCCAAATACTTTCCGTACAGAGCCAGTGGGTGCTGCTAAGAAAGTAAAGATTGACAACCCCAAGAAGAGAATGATGCTGATCGAGAACCTCCAGAATGCCCAGACCTACCAGTACAAAGTACGAGCAAAGAACAGTGTGGGCTGGGGCCCCTTCAGAGATGCCACCATTAACCTGGCATCGCAGCCTGCCAGACCACTGTCCAGTAAGTGGAAAAAGGCAAAAAAGACTCTTCACTCTTTCAATAAATCCGTCTTCCCTAAAAAATGTTTTTTATTTCATTCTCTTTCTGTCCGTAGTTCCCATCATTCCAGATATCCCTATTGTGGATGCAGAGGCAGGAGACGAGTATGACAGTTACTTGATGTACAGCAATGAGGTGCTGAAGTCGCCTACAGGCTCCAAGACACCCAGCATCTCTGGTGATGGTGGGTACCCAGAGCCAAAACCACACGCTTCTCGTAACAGCTGAGAGTGTAAACTCTTTGTGCTAGAGTTTTCTTTTTCTAATGCATTTCTTGGCTCTGGAAAGATGCATGTGACTGCCAGACTTCCAGATAAACGTGGATCCAATTATGTCAGTCGTCATTATCAGTGCTCCCAGGCATCTTGCTTTGTTCTTGCAGCCAAAAGTGTTGAACCCCAACATGTGCACAGTATGTGCTGTGGTAGCATGGCCCTGTCAGGAGGTGAGGGAGCACAGCGTGAAGTCTGGACAGATCTGTAGGCTTTCACCCAGCCTTTGTGACTTCTTCAGGACAAGAAGGCTATTTTTGACGGGCTGTTACTTTTTGTGACAGTTTACCATCTTTCATTAGGAAAGATTTGGAAGTTTACTGAAGCTCAGAGATGGAATCCTTCTCATGGCTTCAACATTTCCCTTTGGGGGAGACATTTCTGAAGGCAACACCCCTGCTAGGCAGCAAAAACAATCTGCTTCCACTGCATCTGCTGATATCTGCAACAGAAGTACTTTACAATCCCAAACCGCAAAAGCTTTTTCTAATCCAGTCTGCTGTCATTCCATGCTCCATTTTTCTCTGAAAGATAAAGCTTATTTTGCCCTCTGCCTCAAAGACAATTTGAACTTCTGTCATAGAAAGCCATATAAAATATCTCATTCACATCAGTCAGCTTTTTAAAACGAGTCAGCTATGGTAGTGTGGTCATCGACCATAGGCTTAGAAATACATAACATTGGAATACTTTGACACTCGGTTAATTTTATTTTGATTTGGTGAAAAGGAGGACAGTATGTGACCTTTAACATGCCCTCCTTTAAGATTGGTCACTTTCTTCTTAGAAGTTAAAATTAGCTTTTTTTTCACACTCAAAAACTGGCCCACACAAGGAACGTTCTTCGTCTTTGTCAATATTCCAAGAACAGCAAGTTTTTTTGTGAAGTGATGTTTAGGAAACACAGACATTTATACTTTACGCTACATTTCTACCCCCCCGCCTGCTTGCTTCTCCTTTATAACCCCCACATACAAGGCTGGAAACCTGTCAAGTTGGTGGGGTCCAACCTGGATCTCCGTAAGGTGTCATGGAAAAAGCGAGTGGACGTCATCCCATATCGGCTCAGCACAGACACAGAGACGAGCACAGATGAGACCCCCAACCACAGCTACACCAAATCACACCTGCCAGGTGAAGAGAACTTCATCAGACCAACAGATAGACAGACAAGGAGCTAGCATGCCAGCTATTTTGCATGGCCAGTCAGGTGCCTGGCAAGGCCAACAACCTTTCTCTCTGCCTTCGTGATTTGATCCTGTCAGACATCAACATTTGTCTAATCAGTCAGTGTCAGGCTTCAGTCCTTGTCCACTCATCCCTAGTTTGCACCTATTCCACCTATTCTCATGCCAGCTGCTGCCCACAGAGGAGGCTTGGCATCAACTGCCCCTTCTCCAGTTGATGATCAGGGGCAGGCTTTCCAGGTGCCTGTCTCTGTCTGTGCTCTCTCCATCCCACTGAGGAGGTAGTGAACTGGAAGCAGCTTGTCTGCCGTGTTTAAAAGCTTAGTAACTGTGTGTCTGTGTTGAAATGATGGCAGGGTAATTGCAATGACTACAGTTTTCCTTGTATCTACTTATTGCTTTTTTCTGTTTGTTTTTATCCACTGTTTTCCGTCTTTAGATGTGAAGCACCTTATGAAACCAGTTTGGTGAAACTCACCTTTTATGATTTAGCAGGTTGCAAATTTTCCACAAATGGAGCTGTTTAGTCATATACCAGTTTTCTCATGCCAAAGCCGTAGCAGCAACAGTTTAGCTCCGTCGCCACCTAGTGGCAAGGGAACTTAAAACCACTCCCACCAACTTCAAGAAAAGAAGTGTCACACATTTATTTATAGCCAAGCTAGACGTCTCAGTTTGTGAACGCTTTGCTGCGATTCTATGAGAAGTTTGAAGTAAAATTGCTCAAAACTACTGGATTGATTTCCATTAGATTAAATACAGATAGCTCCCAGAAGACAAATATTTAATATTTTTGATCACCTGTCTTTTTTATCAACAGGTTATCCTTCTGAATGAAATACCTTAAAATCTTTTTTTTATGAATTGATTCTTGATTTCATTCATACAATCTTAGTTCCAAGGTTGATTTTTTGATATTTAAGGGTTTGCTATTAACTTAATTAATTTGCCAAGACTGGTTATTTGATCCATGTCTCCTCCAAGTTTGCATGTGGAAGTTTCTTGGGCAATATTCTGAACCCCATGTTGTCTCAGAAGGCATAACCTGTGTGTTTATGAATGTGTGAGGTGATGTAGAGTTATAAGTGTAGTGTAGGAAGTATTAAATGGTAAACGTGTTCAGATTTGGACTAATGACATCATGGGCTACACCCCGACTTCTAAAAGATTCAGTAAATGTTATCTTATTCTTTTATGCTAATTTGACAAACACAGGATTCTTCTCCCCATTCTTATAAATGTGGCCATTACTATTGGGAGCATGACAGTGAGCTGATGATAGCGTAAAGTTAGAGAGTTGGCTAAAGTGGCTCCTTTTTATAAATGCTAGTTTTGTGTTCTTCATTTACCAAGTCGAGTCTAAAATGCTCAAAAAGGCTTCGAAGATGTGTTGATTCATCGTATTGACTTTTCCTTAGAAGCAGCTATTAGTCATTAAAGAATGAACAGTATGGTTTAAATATCTGGGGAAGCAGCCTCTTGCTAATCTGTAAAAAAAAAAACCACAAAAGCCTTTATAAAACTATGCTTCTACAGATGGCACAAATCACAAAAGTTCCACAAGCTATAACTGTCCTTGCCTGTAGATGGGGCCAACCTGCCATGCAATCCTGCTGAACTGTTGCTTTTTCTGTAACCTGAAAGTTGAAAATGATCTGAAACTGCTGGTGCTTCCTTTATACTATAGATTGGCTGAGCCTGGTTTTGGGTGCTTGGCGTCACTAGCACTGTGTCGTTTCTAAAACTGTTCAACTCTCCTGTGTTCTGTGTCGGTTGACAATTCTGGCCACTTTGTGTTGTTTCACAGATTACACGATGAACGCGAAGTGGGACCAAAACTTCCTTTTCCCAGGCGGATCAGGGACACGCAACTTGTCTGCATCGTCCTCTCCGATGTCTACGTTGAGCTCAAACTATAAAGTAGGAGGAGGCACCTATACCACAGAATCAAGTACCACCTACATGACAGGACCAGGTTAGATAAAGAACAGTGACTGCATGGGAGAATTTTTAAGATGAATGTGGAGATACTGATTCTCTTTACCATCCTTTCTTTCTCCTGAAGGAGGTACTCGTAGGCAGGAAATGATCATCGGAGGAGGAGGAGGAGGTGGAGTAGGAGGAGGCACCTATACCACCGAAACAAGTACCACCTACATGACTGGACCAGGTTAGATAAAGAACAGTGACTGCATGGGAGAATTTTTAAGATGATTGTGAAGATACAGTTTGTCCTTACTGTCTTTTCTTTCTCCTGAAGGAGGTACTCGTAGGCAGGAAATGCTCATCGGCGGAGGAGGAGTTCACACATCAGAAGTCATCATGAGGAAGCGTTCAGAGAACAGGGGCTACACAGATGAAAACATCCGGGACTCTATCGTCATGGGAGATTTGTCAGGCACGTTCCAAAGCCCTGGTAAGTTTTAAATCGAAGCAGCGGTTCCCATTAATTCCAAAGTAAATTGAAAAGAAATCAGCTCTGTCTTTCTAGTTAAAGAAAGCTTTACGTTGGGAGTGCAATATTTGAGAGGCCTCGCAGGTGAACTGTTAAAGTGCATGAGGCCAAAGGCTTGGACCAGCAGGGTTGGGGCTCTTGGCTGTGCAGCAGGCTTATCCACACTGACTTTGCAGGAGCTGTGCTGACTATCCCTGTTTCTCCCTTTCTCTCTTACTGTGCTACTTTCATCGCTTTCTGTACCCCTCCTCTTTACGAACCCTTCCTACTCCTTCTCTGCCCCCTTGCTCAAAGCGCCATCAGGTGGGTTCGGCTACACTGGGATGCAGAGCAGCTCTCAGAGCCAGTTCAGCTACAGCCTGTCTCAGGGTTCGAGGGCCAGGACTCCGTCATCAGATGTCAATGAAGCTCTATATAATCTGGACAGAGTGCTCCAGGGTAAGTGTGTGGCATACAAGCATAAGGGCACAGGATGTGTTCGCTGGGTTTGAGGTATATTGCACCCCTCTTCTGTCATCTTTAATCCTGCCTCTGAGTTGATCTCCTTCTCCGGTTTACGCTTTAAAGATCTTCACCGGTTGTTTTATGTTTTTAAGCCATGATTCAATACTGTGAACCATTTTCAGAGCATATCTTTAAAATACTTTTGAAGTCATTTATTTTCAGTCATTTCTGTAGGGCATAAAAATCAACTCAATTTTGTGTTAGGTTAACTTTGTTAACTGAGGATCAAACAAATAGGAGTAATGTGGAAGAAGTTTCTGGAGATACTGAAGTGGAACAGATAATTATCAGAAAACTGCAGTTTGGTTGTAGGGAGCATTTTGACACCATTCGGCCTAATTTGGGGCTTCAAAATGAAACTGTATTTTGCTCCATGTATGCTAGATTTGTAAATGGGTAAATTATTCGTTAACATGTTTTTCCTGACATATTAGAAGTGGTCCAAAAAAATCAGTCCAAGCACCTTTATAGTTCTGAAAAACAAAACTTTTAGCACAAGGTCAAGAAAAGTGTTTAAAGAGTCTCATTAAAACTTCAGTGTAAATCAATAATATGATCACGATCATGATTCATCGAGGATAATGTAAAAGACAAGGACATTAAAAAAATAAAAATACAAATTTAATCCCAAAGCAGGTTTCATTTCACAGCATATCAATGGGAAAGAGTGCCTGTCTTGGTAGAGGGGGGGGGGGATGATCCATTTCAAATTTGCTCAACTTGTGACATCACTGAGAACTGAGATTTAACTGAGGTTTTTCTGTGCATTTTGGCCTTTTGTACAGACGCAAACAGCGTTTTAAGTCACCTTTTGGAAAACTCCTTCCAGGGTGAAGATTTTCAGATTCTCTATTTAACATGTTTATGTGTAGACGGGGAAAACAGAGTATTGGTCTTGTAACGTCAGGCTGTGCGCCGGTTTCTCCTCCGTTTGATGTCATTATGCGATGCTGTCTGTCCCTGTTTACATTAGATCAGTGTGTTAACAGGAGTAACCACACTAGTGCTAACGTTGTGTTAACGTTACTAACTAGACCTTTTACATGCTTACACATACACAGTCAGTTGCTCTCCCACTGTGTTGACGAGCTGAGGCGCCTGAATGGACAGCTTTGTATGACTCTGTAAATGGTCATTGCAGAGGAATGAGGAGAAAATGTCAAGGATATCATTTTTGACTTGTCGTGCTCATGACAGCCGTAACGGTGCGTTTTTTGCGTTTTCATGTGGATGAAGATTTTTTCCGAGAACTTTGGGTGTGTGGACGGGATTCTTTTTAAAACGAGTCTGAGCACGTCAGTGAAAAAAACCAAGCCCTTCAGTAAACTTACTGCGATTGGATGGATTTGACTCAAAGATGTCATTGCATCCAATAAAGCTCTTTAAGATGCAGAGAGCTGGAACGATCGACTGCCGTGATAAAAAAAAGTTTTTCTACCTATTCGTCATTTAGACCCAAAAATCTGTAAAAAATAAAATAAAATGATTGGTTGAAATGACCCTTGGAAGGTTCAATGTATACATTTATGTCCTTTTCAACCGTTACCCTCAAAGGCTAAACAGAGGTGGATATTTGTTATGATCATATCCAACAGTACTTTTAATCTTCTCTCACTGTACCATCCGACAGATGCACGACTTTCTCCAGGTGTTCCAGACACCCCCAGCAGACTGGTGTTCTCTGCTCTGGGTCCCACCGCCCTGAAGGTCAGCTGGCAGGAGCCTCACTGCGAGAAGGACATCCTGAGCTACAGTGTTATCTACCAGCTGCTCAACGGAGGTAAATGATCGCTGCACTGTTTCCTGCATTACACATCGTCACTAATATTTCAGCGTACTCTTTAATTTTACTCTTAACTCTTTCATCGTGATCTCTTAAAAAGTAAGAATTGCTGGTGCTAAACGAGCTGTGTCCTCTCCTGTAGGTGAGGCGAATCGTGTCGATGTGACAAACCCAGAAGAGAACTCAGTGATCATCCAGGACCTGCTGCCAAATCACTCCTACCTATTTAAGGTAAAGGCTCAGAGCCAGGAGGGCTGGGGTCCAGAAAGAGAGGGAGTCATCACCATCGAGTCCGCTGTCGACCCCAAGAGTCCTCTCAGCCCCATGCCAGGTACTGACTCTGCTGATTTTGCTGTCAGGACTTCTTTCATGAACTCACAGACGCCATGATTATGAATCTGTGTTTGTCATATTTCACTGCAGGCTCACCATTTACTCTGAGCACCCCCAGTGCACCGGGCCCCCTTGTCTTCACTGCTCTGAGTCCTGATTCGCTGCAGCTCAGCTGGGAGAAGCCTCGTAAACCCAACGGAGACATCCTGGGATATGTAGTCACCTGTGAACAGCTGCACGGTGGAGGTGAGACTTTCCGGAAAAGATGTTACTAAACAATTTTGTTTTGTTGCTGGGTTGTCATAATCCTGCCTGTGTTGTGAAGTACATTCTTTTCTGACCTCTGTGTTTTGCGTCTTCCAGGAGATGTTCGCACCTTCCAGGTGAATGGAGACAGTGCTGATATCAGTCTGACCGTCCCAAACCTGACTGAGAACATTCCTTACAAGTTTAAAGTCCAGGCTCGTACCACACAGGGCTTTGGTCCTGAGAGGGAGGGAATCATCACTATTGAGTCTCAGGATGCAGGTATGATCCTTCTGACATCACTGTGGATATGAATGATAATCTAAACTTCCAAACAGTAGCGGCTACTGATTAGAGAAACAGGCAAAATAAAGTTCTTGTCAGCTTTTATTTTTTTTAAAGCGGGGACTAATGAAGTGTTGCCAATTATAAAATATGATTATTCGTGAAAACTGTTGGAAAAGTTCAAGCAGGTGAAAACATTTTTGTAATACTCATTATGGCCACAAGGAGTTTAAGTGCACATCTACTCCATATTCTAAATATTAGCGATAGCGTTTGCGTTTTTTTATGGTCAAACATTTTAAAGTGGAACTCTCTCAGAAATTAACATCCATTTGTTTCACCTGCCAAAACTTTTTTTTAAGTCGGATTACACATTTGAAAAAATATTTAGAAAAATGATACTGGAAAAATGTTTCACCAAAAATAAACACCTATTCATGCGTTCTTAGGTCATAATTTAAGGAGAGTTAAATCTTCTATTGTACCTCAGATCAGTGTTATATTTTTAAATTTGCCTCCTTAGATGGAATAACATTGCAAACAACGTCTTGAAGAATTTCCATTGTATCTGAGGACGATATAATAAAGGGAGACATCCTCTGGTGACCATGACTGTCAAAAAATAAATATAGAAAGATCAACGTTTTGTCTGAGAGTAGGGGCGTGTCCAGGGGGTATGTGCCCCCTTGCAATCTGATTGGCCACTCCATGTGCCACCTTAAAAATCCTGAACTCCTTTTGGCTATTTGAAACCGACCATTAAGGCTTTTTTTGCAAAAGGCTGATCCTTGTTTTCTTTACATATCAGTGTAGCACATTTTATTTTGTTTGTACTTAAATTGTAAATAAACACTTTGAACATGTATTTCATAAGGCAGGTGCATAGGAAAGTAATACACACTGTCTAACTTATAAAATACATTAACTGGCAATGTTTGAAACATTTCCACCTTTGCATGAGTCAATGCCCCAGATGGGCCACCCCAGTCAAAAAAGTCCAACACGCCCCTGTCTGAGAGTTAGAATTCTCTTCAGTTTTTGTCTATTAAAGGGTCACCAAAGTCCTTAGAAATGATCCTCTGTGCAGAGATATCTACCACAGAGTTCTTAGAGACTTCTTATTTCAGTCACCTCCCAAAGTTATCATTTCAAAGCCATAAATATTTTCCTCATCTAACTGTTTACCCAAGATATCAGACATATCGAGTTTCCTGTTAAGCCGGACAATCACTTCCCCATCATGTTTGACATTCTTGCACACACCCATACACTAACAGTCATGTTTCTCTCTTCCCTTCTTCTCTGTAGGAGCAATGTCTCAGTACAGCATGCAGTCGATGCAAATGAAAGACATTTCCCAAATGCCATTGCAAAGCAATGACTCCATGCTGGACTCCTTTTTCTCAGGTACTGCTGCAGCATCACTTTAATTTTTTCTTAAAATCCCAACAAGAATATGTTTATCTATTAATACCACCTGCATTTGTCCAACAGATGGGATGATGATGACCACACACAGCGCACGGAGACCAGCGGCATGGTGACCCGTCAGGTTACTAAGGAAGTGGTTCAGAGGAGTGTCACGGGAGGAGCCACCGTCACAAAGAAGATGTTCTATGAGTCTTAAAATCGAAATCAACTGCACCAAAAATGAAACCCGAAAGGTCCAACATGACATGAAAACCTGACATTCTCTTTTAAAAAGAGTTAGCTTCAGAGTGCTCATCATGTGATCATTGCATGTTTTAATATATATACATGAGATTCTGCAACCAAAAAAAATGATTTCATTTATTAGATATTTGTCCTGTCTGTTACAAAATGTGGCTCCATACATGAGGTTTATTTGAACATTTACATTCATTTTCACTGTTGCTTGTGTTTTGTTTCACTCCTGTTTGTTTGAGCATGTCCCTTTGTTTAAGACTTCAGTCCCTCTGTAGGTTTAGAGCTGGAAACACTCTCTGGGCTTTAAATCAGGCCTGCACACACCAGTAATCTGACTTCGCTTCAGTAATCCAAAGTGACCTTTCTCTTTGTTTCCAATCCTCCACCTGTCTGTAATCGACGTGTGTGTGTGTGTGTGTGTGTGTGTGTGTGTGTGTGTGTGTAACGTGCAGGAGAGATTGTTTTGAAACGTCTGTGTGCATCAGCCAAGCGTTTTTATCCTGAGTGATCAAGATTATAAAAGCAAGCGAAGTGTATTTGGGAGATTTGTTCATAGTTTTGTATTATATTAAAGGTTTTTTTTCAAGCATATTTAATACTTTCTAAGGTTTTTACTCTAGCAGACTGACATAAGATTTTATGCCAAATAAAGAAACTCATAAGTCCTTTTATACTCAAAAAAGAAACACACTGCTTTTGGTAGATGTTCTTTATGTTTGCTCACTGTGCATTGCATTATGGGTAGGTTGATCACCATTCACCGGTGAGATCTTGATATTTTATAGAAACAGCATACAAAGACGGAAAGATTGTATTTGCTTCCATGCAATTTTCTACTGTATTATGGCTCATCGTGTTTGAGCGGGTATTTTAGTCAGAAACATCTGATGAAGATGAATGGATGAACTTCACACCAAAAACACACATTTAAGTATTCTTGTACTTCAGATCAACGTGTATCAATGACTCTTTCTCTGCATTGTTTCTTCTTCTTTTTTTTGGTTTGTCAATTCTATTGCACTTAATAAAGATTGAAAAGAACACGTGTATTCCTTTAAATCTGTGACCACTGAAGAGACGTTGGAGATTTTACATTTAATTTATTGGAGCTTTGATAGCTGAGTATTGCACACATGAACAAATAAAATAAAAAAACAGCTGCAGTACCAAGCTCATGCCTGACACATGTTTTCAGGAAGCTTGAGACTAAAGTAGCAAAGAGTAAAAGACTCAAATCTTCACATGCATCGACTCGGCCTGTGTGCGATCACAAGCCCTCAGCAGCTGCACTGTCTCTGTGCACGGAGGCTCCAGTGAGTGGCTTTCACTTCTACAGTGCCTTCATGCTCTCATTTCATATGCATCGATCCAAATATCACCTTTGTGGCATATAAAACAAGCACCTTTTCAAACTACTCGATTGAAAAAAACAAAAAAACAGTATGTTGTGTAACGCCAGCAGCATTATTGATCTCTAAACTCTGTTTTTGATATCCTGACATGGGTTACTCTATCCCATATTCCAATGTCTTCAAACTCATATGACTAACATCTGAAGCCAGTATCAATATATGCACGTGTTTTCCTGCAACTTACAGAGGCGTCTACGTCTCTTTTTAAGTTGAAATGTCCTAATGCCTACTCTGAAAGTAACAGCCCAAGAGGACACAAACATAATAGTCAGTGTTTTTCAAAATGTACACATGCACTGCAAAATAGGAACAAATCTCTCAACACAGGTTACATGTGAAAACATGCCATATTGATTTCAACGTAAGGGTTTTTTTTTAAGGTGCATTCAGCCACAAGCTGTAGCCAAAGTGTGTAAGATCATCTGAGCAGTCAACAGACTGAATCTTTTGAGCGTAAAGCCTCCTCTAATCAACATGTCAGGAATGTTCAGTCATCCTTTATCAGTCAATACCTACCATGTGGAGTTGTCGTGATGCATCCCTGGTTTTTAGCTGACACTGCTCGGTCTCCATGAAGGCAGAGGGACAGGAGGTGAAATGCAGAATGATGGGGGCTACCTTCCTGATCTCACAGGGTCCGCCACAGAAAGGTCCTGACTTTGAGTCCACAAACAGTACTTTTTTAAAAAAATTTATTAAGTAACAGACCAGAATAAAAGCCCAGACTCTGCGGCTTACTTGGGATCAGAACTGAGAAGTGACTGGTGTATTTTAAGCAGCTCAGTTCCAGAGGCAGGGCCCGGGGCAGAGGCATGGCTGTCTGACATCTGCAGGCCTTATGGCCAGCTCTTTGACCACCTCCACAGTTCCAAACAATGGGTACAGTACCTCTGTGAACTTCTCGTTGTAGGTGTACAGATGGGAGCGCTTCTCAACATCGTAGAAAGACAGCTGACCTTGCTCATAGTCAAGGTACACCCCAACCTTCCTTGGCACCAGGCTCTGCGACAGCGAGTTGGAGGGCACAGTCAGAGCTTTTAGATCCGTTCCCCTCTCCAGACGAAGAGTCAGGTAGCCTGAATCTGTGTTGAGAGAGCAGAAGCCATGCCTCACAGCCGAGGCCTTGGCCACACCGAGCCGCCAGTCCCGCTCGCCCACCTCCACCTCCCAGTAGTGACGTCCGCTGGCGTAGCCTTCCTGGCCCACAGCACACCACCAGCTGTCGAAGCGCTGCTGGCAACGTGGGACGTCCTGGCGCTCCAGGCCGCACCTCATGCGCTTTCCATCGTCGGAGAGGAGTAGGCCGGGGTTGGCGGTGTCTGAATCCAGGGTGACCTCATCTGTGGGGGGTAGAAGTTCACGAGGGAAAGATTACAAGCTGTAAATTATGAAAAAAGACTTCAAAGAGGAACAGAGATGATCAGAACAGGAAGTGTTTTGTCATACCTGCAGCGTCGCAAATCCAATTCCACACTGCGGAGACAAGAGAAGAGTTCTTAAAAACAGGCATTTTTATATCAACCATGTGTGATGTCAGAGGAGCCTGCGGACCTGAATGTTCATAAAAGCTCTTATCTTATCTATACACCAGCCACTAGCTGTTGTTACGAGTCGAGCAAGAACAATCAGAAGTGAGCCAAAGAAAGTGAGGAAATATAAAGAAGTGTTTTTTTTTTAATATAATCATTATCAGGGTAGATGACACAAAATGTTCTTATGCAAAAAAAAAAATGTTTTTAATCATATGAATCTAAAACTATTGAGTAAAGATTAGAAGATTTCTGTGTTGTTCATTTCAACAGGAGTCAGGATTTGAACTCACCACTGTGGGGGATGTAGCGGACAGCGTCTGTTAAAAGAAAGTGAAAAAAGCACTTATCATCCTTCTTCTAAATAACACGCTGCTATCTAAAGCTGCATGTCTGCACGATCAATCAAACTTTGGACCCTGATTACTTCTAATGGAAATGACTCGTCACGCTTCACGCCTGCTTCAGAGTTTGATTAAGTCAATAGTGCTTCTGTGTTAATCAATAGCTAATTCACACGTTACCTACGACCGCTCAGCCTCCTGAATGCTGACAAGACGTCTTTATAATGTAATGATGTTAAGAGCTGTGTGTGTGTGTGTGTGTCGCTTTCAGAGGTTAAAAAAATGAGTTTAAAAAAAAGAAAACGCACCAGTCCTCTGGCTCCTCTGCTTTCTCACCAGCCATTGCTTTGTCACATCCTCCTAGACACACACACACACACACACACAATCACACACACACACACACACACACACACACACACACACAATCACACAACAACACGTAGAGACAAAGCAGGCCAAGGTGAGCTCTACAATGTGATAAAGAGATTAGTCTGACTGGGTTTCATAACAATACGTAATGATCACACCTCACTCTGTGGAACTGATAGCATCATGACAATGTTGTTGTCAAGCCGTCCTAATCAAATAGAACTCTGTAGACTGCTTATCCAAATCACACGACATATATTCAACACCAGCTTAACAAGGGCTGTAATGTGACAGACCTTAACAGAGCTGTCAGCGTTCAGCACAGCCAGCGTGATGAGCTCCATAGCCGGGAGCAGGTTAGGCAGACGGCCCCTCTTCCACTGGAACTCCAGGTCGTCTAGCATCATGAGCACCGGCTCGCCTGGCCAGACGGTGGGCTGGAAAGAACCAGTTTAAGAGTCAGGGTTAGACAATGACATGTTTACGGCGGGCTCATAGCTCAGGCGCATTCTTCTGATGATTGACAAGGACATGGTCAGGCGACGTCGTGTTTATGAGGTGTGAAGAGGGAGCTGGGTCAAGACTTTTAATCACAGACGAGGAGGAACCCACTCCATTAATCACCTGAGGTCTGCTTTTGATCTCCCGTGCCCACTCCATGATGACTCTTTTGTGGGGCCCCATGTCACACTCCCCCCCAGACTCCAGGATGCAGAAGAGTTGTACCCTCCAGTCTTTCTTCTCTGGTTTCTCATAGTGGTTTTCAGACTGCATGATCCTCGGCTGAACAAGAAACACACAGACAGAGCTGCAGCAATTCACCAACCACGCAGTGTGCATACAACCTGCAAATATTTGATTCAAAGCATGTTTATGCATGAGGCAGGAAGGCGTTGGGGTTGGATCATGCTGTTTTTCAATTTTAATTTAGTCATTTTGCATACATTTATCTAAATATCTTTTGCAATCGATATAAATTAGTAGTGCCCAGAATTGTATTTGTTTTTCTTTTTCAGTACTTTTCATACTTCCATTGTGAACACATCTGTTACATTTGAGATCTGCATAGTATACTCACACTTTACTGATATAATGTACAGAGGCCATAAGATCACATACAACCACACGTTATACTTGACTCTTTAATTCCAGTGATAAACGAGAACATTCCAGTTGTTTCCCTGAGATCTCCACTTGTTTATCTTGTTATCTCAGGACAACTACGCTGAATTGTCCCTGATAACTACATCATCTCAGCTGTTTTCTCCGGATCTTGAGAAATTAAGGGGTTAACACAGCATAAACCGGCGCTGTTAATAAGATAAATAAGTGGACATCTCATGAAAACAAGTGAAATTGACTCGTGGTCGCAGGAAAATGGAGTCAAATAAAATGTATGGATGTGTAATATATCACTCGACAACCCACTGTTTTTAAAATGCTGTTTGCTTCCCGACATTAAAGTAAAGTAAGACCGATTAGAAAGTATCTCTTAAATCAGGTTATTGCAAAACGTAGTACCAACTGTGAACCACACGTACCTGCGCTCTCTTCTCCAACACGCCTGACCACTCCACTATGAAATCACGACACACACTGGCCGGCCAAATGTCCTCACCGGTCCAGATGTGGCTGAGGATGTTTGACCTCTAGAGGAGAGGGAAAAGATCATGTAAGTGAAATGTATTGATTGATTGATTTTTTTTTACTTTTTCCTTCATCTGTAGTATCATCCACCAACAGACTTCATACACATGATTAATATTCAGCAAAAGACACCAGAGAAGGAACATCATTTACAAATAATATAGAAAAGAAACATCTTGACATTTTTCCAAGGGTAGAGAATAAAGCGTTAAGCATCAAAAATAAATTACTTCTCCCTTTCTCAGGCTTTTAAACACTGATTTCAGTTTTCATATTCTCATCATGATACATTTCAGACAAAGGTGAAAAGGGTCGTTCTTAACTTCTCCTATCTTAAAACATTCACACAACTTTTTAACGAGATATCTCCTTCACATTCTTAAACAGAAATCAACTTTCTTATTGTGTTCTGATTGTTAAATGATAAGTTATTTTGTATTTCATCTTCCTAAAAAAACAACAACATGACGCTCTGTAGCCCCTACAGAGCTGAAGGTGTATCCCTCAAAGGAGAAACCTTATTGATTGACCTTATTTTAAGAGATCAAATAAACGATTCCACAATCTTATCATTTCAGATTTTCCCATCATTCATCCAGGAAGAAAAAAAACATATTGCCCTGAGCAGCCCAAATTAGAAAAAAAAAAAAAGAGAAGAGGAATGCCCTAAAAGACCTTGTGCAGGGAGCTTATCTCTATGGAGACTGATTCTCCTTTGTGCAGTCGTCTTCCTGATCCATTATTCACAGTGGTTGATGCACAGTCAGCATGGAGTTTTGTTTACTATCAGACACCTTTTATATCTATCAAACTTTTTCAACGACAGACCCCGATATGCAAACTCCGACCTCATAGATGCATGTTTGTCAGCATCGTGCAGAAGTGGAGAAAGGAGTGTTTACCTGGCAAATTTTGTTGAGTTCTCGAGCCAATTCCATGATAAAAACCTGACTCTCCGCCAGCGGCTCCTTTTTCTCATGTTTCACTCGCTTACGAGACTCCTGTAGCACAGAATCAGATGATAACAGAGGAAACAAAATCAGGACATGAAGTACACAAGTTGTAACAAAATGTAGCACAGATCTTGTGGCATCAAATGAGTTGTTGACCGTACCTTGAGTCGGATCTTGAGCTTTTTGGCCGGTTCGATAAGGAACTGTAGGCAGTCCTTCATCATGCTGGCAGCTGGTGAACGTGGCTGATGCCCTGTGGTACAATAATAAAAAGCTTTAGTACGCTGGCACACATTCACTCACTCAAGGGGCTGAGATGAAGCTGACTGTGCTCCCCTCGTCCACACACAAATCGATGAGGGAGCAGAAATAGCTAATTTATGAGAGGTGGCAAAAGGTACGAGTGCGTGTCAAGAGAGAAAGAGAAAAGCACTGCAGAACTTTCCCCCACAGCTCTGCACTCCAAGTCCACAGAGAACTCATTATGAGGCGGTCTGAGCTATCACTGGAGGAGGAGGAGGAGGAGGAGGAGGAGGAGGAGGGGAAAGAAGAGGACCCACGCATTGGTAGAGGAGTGAAAAGAGACAGCCCACCCACTCACTCAGCACACACACAAAAAAAGACCCAAGAGAGCTGCTAAGGGACAAAACAATGTCCTAACAGGCAGGAAAAAAAATACTGCATGCTCACTGGATTTCCTGATGTGTGTGGGTTGATGTGTCTTGATCACGGCCTTGAAATTGGAAATTTATTCCCAAGGAGATGCGAGACAGCAGTGCGGAGCATTTAAAAAAAAAAAAAAAACACTGCGGAGGGTGCGGGGGATCGTTGGACCGGTTTGCTGTTGATTCAGCAGTCCGCCCCTGCATCCCGGTTTGATGCGCTGAGGGGATTTTGCTGTTCTCTCTGTGATGAAGAGGTGGCAGCTAAGCCAAAAGGATGCTTGGTATTGACTTTCCAAGGACTGAAGAGGGGGGGGGGGAAATGGAGGTGGTAGTTTGAGAACTTTGGCAAGAGACAAAACATCCAAGCCAAGAGTGTGTAACCTTATTATCTAGTGAGTAATAACACCCTGCTGTGAGATCGAATGAAACACGCATCAAAACACGGATGATTATGGTGGATATGTCTTTGGTGAACCTTGTCACAGAGTCACAAGTCAAAGCTGTCCACATACGTGTGTCCCAACACGTGCTGTAGAAGAAAACATGCCTCGTGCCATTGAGCCTGTTAAATAATTAAGATGATACCTATTGGATATGTGAGACACGCGACTTGTAAAACGCAGAGTAAACATGGGGACAAGCAGATTCCATGACATTAATTACCCAAACATTATCATGAGAAGATGTCATCCTCACCTGATATGACAGAGAGGGTGTTCTTGTTTTGCAGAGTGTTTGGTGGCTGAGGAGCTGCGCGCGGAGGAGCTGGCAGATTAAGGGAAATCCAGGATTATCATCGGTGATCTTGCTGTGCAAACACAAGTAGTGACTTTCTATATTGGGACTGATGGACCAACCTCTGCCTGAAAGCAAAAATACAAAACAAATAGGCTAGTTTGTAGGCTTACAAAACCATAAAACACAAAATATCACATAATAAAGGGGATTTGTGGATTTTTCTTCACTGAATGAACCTTAGAATAAAATAATATGCCTTCGTGTAAGGCTGTATCTTCTCTGATATCTTGTGTTGTTTTTTGGAAATGCAATGCAGGCGAACAAAATAATAATATCTATTTGTTTTTTTTCCTCCAAGAAATGGACAACAACAGCAAAGGCAAACAATATCACTTGATTGGTGACACCCTTTTTCAGAAGCACGATGAAAACTCAAATTGTCTTCATGCGACAAAATAAATTGTAGTTTTTACCTTCTTAAATGACGGGTTTCCTTTGCTCCGCTTCTTTTGTGATATTTTCGTCCAAACTCTGACTCATTCAGCTGTCCGCCTTCAGACACTCACATCCACACACTGCTGCATCCTCACTTCATCTGCGGACCCAGAAACACAGCGCGGGCTTTAATGAACCACCGAGCTGCAGTTTGAAGGAGGAGCCGCTAGAGGTCGCTATAACGTCACTACAACCAGGGAGTCCGCAAATGGCTTTTTTTAATGAACGGGGGAAAAATGGCTTTAATGGCTGTATATAAATATTTTGCCGCAAAATTCTTATTATTATCATTATTAATATTGATCTCACCAAAAACAGTGGCCTACAAATGAGGGCATCTCTAAAAGGGACAGCACCTGCCTTATCTCAGGCTTTCTCTAATCTAGATTTTACGCCTCCAAATTTATGGAGAAGCTCACAAACAATTAGGGCTATTACTTACTATTAGGCCTAAGTGTCTTTTTCAATACCAAAGTCAGTGCTTCAAATGTTTATAGCGTACTGAAACACACACGTACGCCGAATAGGCTATATGAGAAAATTGAAAAGGGAAACACAAATTCTGAATGTAGACTATATGTATATAAAAAGTTTTTAGCAGATAGAAACTTAAGTAAAATAACTTCTTCTTATGTGCAATACATTATGTCACATTTCATCGTAAAGTAACTAATCCTTCTTTGACTGATCTTTCAAGGTGACAGGAAGTCATAGTGTTTGGAACATTTGGTGAGAAACTGGAATTCATTCACTAATACTTGTTGATCATACAGGTCTGGTTCTGTTTAAAGGATGTTGTTTAGTGCTCATGATGGATTCATGTCAGGTCTAAAGTTAATATAACATATAATAATATAAGTGTCTCGAGATAACATTAGTTTATTAACTATACAAATAAAGATTGATTGATTGATTGATTGATTGAGTGATTGTTTGATTTATTGTTTGTTTGATTGATTGATTGATTGATTGTTTGTTTGATTGTTTGTTTGTTCGTTTGATTGATTGATTGATTGATTGATTGATTGATTGATTGATTGATTGATTGATTGTTTGATTGATTGATTGATTGTTTGTTTGATTGATTGATTGGTTGATTGATTGATTGTTTGATTGATTGATTGATTGGTTGATTGATTGATTGTTTGATTGATTGATTGTTACATTCTTTAAATACTTGTGGTATTGTTGCACAGTGTGAAATAAAGCTTTGTGACCTTTAAAAATCCAAACAAAAAAATGAGCTCATAGTTGGAGATAGCCTATAAGCCTAAACTGAGTCTTCGAAGGTATCATAGCTACACCACATTAATTGTGCTATTATTCTCCAGATGTGTTTACAGTTCAGCTCTTGCAATAGCCTACCAGTGAAGTACTCAAATAAATATCTGATAATTCAGTATTTAAATATTGTCAACGAATTACAGTGGGCTCAGTGAGTTAGCTAGTAGAATGGTTATAAGCATCTATGTGGGATATTTTAAGGACAATATTTGATGGGGCCTTAGCCTGCATAACATTGTTATTGAAATAATTTAAAATATCAAAACACCGTGAGAGATATTAGCTAGCCTACTTTTTCCTGCATGACACATAATAGAAACGTATGCGACTAAAATTTGGCACGGCAGCATAAATCACCATAACACCGACTCTGTGGTGGGTGTTTGAGACGTCTTATTCTTGGCTTTTTTTTCCCCCCACACAGATATTGAATGAGTGTTTAATCCTGTCGTTGTGTTTGTGTCTGGTCTGTTGGAATGGGAAGGTGTGTCGGTATGTTTACACGGAAGTGAGATTAAAGCGCGTCTCGTTGAGCTTCAATGACAGCAGAGGCTTGCATCACAGCTGGTAACTCAACATGGCACCAAAAGACCCTCTCCTCGGCACTCTCAAAGGTAGGACTGCACAACAGAAACGAATGATCTGCAAACCATCTGCTATTAGATCACAATATTTGTCTTTTATGTCCAGTTTTGCTCGTTTCATGGCTCGCCAAAACAAACAACTGTCTCTCCGTCATTTGACTTCTATATCTGCAAACAACAAACGCATCATTATCGTCGTCATTTACACGAACCTGCAAGGTCGTGTGTCTTTTCTTTTACCGTGTTGACGTGTGTAATGGTGATGTAACACGGGTTGCATGTAAAACGTGTATTTGTATAGCCTACAGTCAGTTTGCGTGGTGTTGTGTTCCTTTCAGTGTGTGTGCTGAACCTGCAGTCAGATGGAGAGATCGTGACTGACTCCAACCCTCACCTCGCTTCCTGCTGTGAGCTTCTTGAGCTGGTCCTCAGGAAGGGGCTCCAACGTCAGTATCCCTATAATATCATGTATTTTGATCAGTTACTTCAGTGTTTCTTTAGATCAAATGAAGCCCATATTTTATACCCATGTGCTTAAATGTCTGTCATTGTTGTGCAAGGACAAACCATTTTTTTGTATTTTAATGTCTAGATGAGACATGATCGGAAGTCGCTACTATATTTGGACCGTCAGTACAGTAAAGAGTGAGCTTGTGTTTGTTCTCCCTGCAGAGCCAGTTCTGAGTCTGGTACACAGAGACTACTGGCACTGTTTTGAACAAATACCCCAACAAGATACCTGCGGCAGGTAAAACCAACCTGCATGGATAGTAGTTATCAGATACATTACATCAGGGATGGGCAACTTTGGTCACGGCAAGGGCCTCATTCAATTAATTCTCCCCGCCAAAGGGCCAAATTGTAGTATACGAAAACCATCAATTATGTCTCAAATTTAACTCAACATATACCAGTGATCAAATATTATTATGGACGTATTTCTGGTTTTCATGATTTCATGGCAGATTTTGTCACATTTTCTTCATGTTTCCAATTCATTGATATGTAAAAATTGACCTGAGGGCCACATTGAGGGTTGATGGGGTCCGCATGTGGCCCCCGTGCTGCCAGTTGCCCACCCCTGCATTACATTATAAATAACTATGCACTGCAAGGAGACACAATTTAATGCCTCTTATTCCTGCTGACATGCACATGTGTGTATGTGTGTGTATGTGTAGGCTGTCTGCTCTGTCCTTGGCAGTGGAGCAGACCAGAGTCTGCAGGAAGCTGCTCTCAGCTCAGGGCCGAGGTCGCTACCTGCTCAGAGTGGCCCTCAGCCGCAAGGCTCTGCCTCAGTTCATCAAACACCTGCTGCATACAGCCAGAGTCCTGGAGGTCAGATATATGAACAAGATGCGTTCTCTATTTTGCATTAAGAGATAGATACATTTCCCTGTGACTGTAAGGTGCCATGGATAAAGTGTTCTTCACATGTATTCATGTTTAACTCTCTCTAATAGACTTTAAATGGCGTCTGTTCGTTCTGTGTTCATACTGTTTTTCTCCCCTCAAGTGGTACTGCCCCCAAATGTCCATTCTCAGGAATGAAGAATTTTTGGGTGGGTGTTTTTGATCTCACTGTCTTTCACTTGATACTGAGTAAACCCCAGGAAATCTTTGTCACCACTGCTACTCAGCTGGCAAGATAAACAACAATGTTCTGCCTCTTTTAGAGCCTTTTATGTCGCTGCTGCTGGTCCTCTCTCACGTGGACTTCAAACTGGACATGGAGGTTAGAGCAGCTCGTTTATTTCAAGCATTGCAAGTGTCCTATGTGTAAAAATCTCAAGACTTGGAGGATATTACTTAAGAACAAAACCTTGATTGCTTAAATGCCAACTATAATTCACATAAGGCTGTATATTTTTTTTTAACGAATTTAACAAATGACTGCAACTTGGCTCTTTTAACAGAATTGCAGTTTTCTGGATGAGAGCTGGCTCCTACCGGTAAGAAGCAATCATTTCTGATGAGTAACTCATGGCAACACTGAGACAGTCTGATGACATCTACAAATGTATCGTGCTTTTAATTGCCATATGAGCCCTAAAATCGCAACAACAAAAAATCCAGCATGCAGCAGAGATTGCAACAACGGAAATCAGTCACGGAATAATGTGAGAATTGTCCTGTTATTTTATGTTTATTGCTCCAGGTGTGTGAGACGTATGAAGTAGTGCCCTGTCGGGAGATGGGGATGGTGTTGAGGTTTGTGCCTTCCACTCTACTTTCATGATCACACATGTACATTCTCAGAAACAGGTAAGTCCATGCATGTGTTTCTGTGTCTGTGTCGCAGGTATCTCAGTGGACGTGTCTTCGTTCTTGAGCTGATACCTGGTAGTCAGGCTCATGTTGACAAGTTTATCAGTCCTGGCGACGTCATTGATGAGATCAACGGCACCTCACTGAGGAATTCTAAAATTGGACAGGTACCTTAAGCACACAGTGTTATACATCCAAATACCAAGCCGTGATATTAAGAGACATTGTGTTCCTATATGTCCCACCACAGTGTAACTGGTGTGTTTAAAAGTCTGTACCTGCCACAGTGGACTTTTTTTTTGCAGATGTAATACTTTTTTTATTTCAGTACTTTTTTTTGCATCAGAGAATCAGAGAATCGAAAAAGACCAAGTACTTTGAGTTTTCTGTTGTATCTTTCATCACTACACTGATTTACACAAGTCTTATCCCGTTCGTTATCATCGTTAAAAGCTGCCACAACTCAACATTTTGCCAGTCCAGCCGTGTTAGGAAAAAACAGGCGGTTCCAGTAAGTTTAATGATATCTCTGCTCAGCTCCAATGTCCCTGCAAAAACACACAAGGGTGATTCCATACGGGTAGCCAATGGTGGCATGGACGCCCCTTGAAATCTTGATGGCCACCTCAGGTGTCAGGTGTTTGAGCAGAGACCACCCCAAGAACGTACATTTGAAGAATGAAACGTAGAGAAAGAATATGTTTCCATTATCTAGTGTTACTCAAAAGTTGACGTGATAAGTGCAGACAGAAGGGGTAAATAAGTGTCCTTTTTCATGTGGATACACACAACACACCCCTGACACCATGTCAGTGTGAGCAAGCATGCACAACACTAGGACCCTGACATGTGAACTGTGTGCTGTGTGTATAGACTACTTGATAAACATCTCTATGAATGTTTCACATATCTGTTTCGTGTACTCCCAGTTGAAGTTAAAAAACACACATCTTATAATTGTATCATTACTTGTAGTTCAGTGACAACGCAAATTGGTCCCTATAAGCACCCAACCTGAGTAGTGGTCTCATCAGCACCTTTGCATGTATGTGCATTGTAAACGTGACACATTGTAGATATGTTGAGACCACATCGTCATACTAAACAGGTAGAAGAACAGTGACAAGGGATTTTTTGAGCCAATCTAGAACATTGGACAAATCACAGCCTCATTATGACAATATAAAAAATAGATTTACTTTCTTGTTTTTCACCATAATCAAACATTTTATTACATTTTCTACCCCGGACATTTTCTTTGTTTTCCCAGGCAGGAGTTGTTATGTCTCGGCTGAAGGGCTGCCCTCTGTCCATCTGTGTTTTGCGTTGGCGGGCTCAGGATGGAACAGTGTTTAGACCCCTTATCAAACCTCTACAGGCCCTGAGGATAGAGAACCCCACCCTTCAACTTGGCCCCGCTCCATCCCAGCAGTGTGCCACCACAGAGCGGCAATCTGCACCATCACAGTGTCTCAAAGAAGGGAGGCAAGTTAGTTAAATCTTTTTACTGTGATTTCAAGATTATTGAACAGGAATTTAAGCCCAACTATTTTCTCTTGCAGGATTGTGCATATAGTGCAGTTTTTGGGCAAAGCAAACATAGGAATGGTAATTTGAGTCTTTCATTAAATGAACAGTTCAGTGTAATCATGTGTTTGTTAATCATAACACTAATACTTATATTATTTCAGAATGGAGGCAAGGAGATACTGCAGCAAGTCATCCCACAAGTTTTACAGAAAAACCTGCCAAGCAAGGTAAAGAAACCACTCCTGTCGCAGGGCATGTTGGATTCAGTGATGTTTCTAGGGATAATTTCTCGTCAATAACATTGATGTTTAATGGCTTGCAGGAGGTGCTTCTTGACCTGAAGGAAACACATTTGACTTGCACAGACAGAAGCAGTAAGCTGGTAAGTGATGTCCATGAAAATCATAACTGTAGTTATGTTATTGGTCAATGACCCATTTTTGGTTTCCTCAGGAGCTGTTTGACTATCACTACCCAGAGATTTCATGTGTAGGGAGATTCAGTCAACATGACTACACCATATTTGCATTCTGTGTGGCGTAAGTATAAATTACACACCTCAACAACATGCTAGTCGAATTATAAAATTAAGCACATTCTGGCCTTTTCACCCATCCCTCTGTAGTTTGATTCAACATGCATTTTGTGAGGATACCTGAGTCAGGTATTTCTTATTGGCCAAATACAGATGTCATGTCAAGACATTATTGGTTGTGTTCACAGAGACTCCCCCAGAAACCCCTCAGTCCACAGGCTTCTGCTGTGTGGCGCTCAGAGCCAGCACCATCAAGGACTGTGAGGACATAGTCTGCCGTATAGGTGAGGCAAAGCATTCTACAGCCAATGAGTCGTCACGCAAACCAGATTAAGTCGTTTATAGATGTTATCTTCGTTACAGCTACTGGATTCAAGCATACCGAGTGGTTTGTATGACAGTCACCCAACATGTCTACTTGATCCTTGGGGAGGGCCTGTAAATAAACTTCAAGTGTTAAAAACAGAATCTTACTCATTGTCTGAAAAAAAAAAAAAAAAACACAACAGCACAAGTTATTTCTACTCATAAAGACCTTTAATAGAAAGACATGTGACAACATCTTCATAAATAGTATTAAATGTAGCTGCCAAGATTTATGTTGAAAAACATGTAAAAAGCAGTCCAGAAAAATACAGGAGGGTCTGCCATAGTCCTGGTCTGAGTGTTAAGCATTAGCAAGTGTTGTAGCCAAAACCTGTGCACTGCAGTCAGACCGGTTTAGCAAGACATGCTGGCATTTTGTGGTAAATGGTTTGAAGAATCCCTAGACCCTTATGGAAGATGTGAATGTATCCTTTTGTTAAGGACACTATTTCCAAACAGCCTTATACCCCGAATAGAAGTCAACGAGGTGGTACGACACGTAGTAATGACGAATGAATGAATAGGTATGTTCTCCTACTGCATAACATTTCAAACTACCCCTAAGCATATATTCAGGCTTGTGGAATGATTGATGAATAGTCTCAATCTAAAACACATTACAAAATCAGAAAAGAAAAAAAAATTATAAAAATGGTAAAAATACCCAAGAAATAAAAATGTCCACAAAATGTTTAAGTACGATAAATAGTATCATTTGTCTTGATGCCGCTACTTGCTGCTTAGGCTCTCTCTCCCCTTATCCTACGAGCCAGCTGGATGTCTTTGGGCATGATGGTGACACGCTTGGCGTGGATGGCGCACAAGTTGGTGTCCTCAAACAGACCCACAAGGTAAGCCTCACTGGCCTCCTGTCAATACAGAAAAGAAAAAAAATGAGTTAAATACTGCTCCTCATGACCTACTGGTACCATTAATCGCAAACATTTAATTCAATGCGAGTTTTACCTGAAGGGCACCAATGGCAGCACTCTGGAAACGCAGATCAGTCTTGAAATCCTGGGCAATTTCTCTGACCAGACGCTGGAAGGGCAGCTTGCGAATAAGAAGCTCAGTGGACTTCTGGTAACGACGGATCTCCCTCAGAGCCACAGTTCCTGGCCTACACAACAAAGGATTTAAGAGATGTTAAAACAGGGCATTACATGACTACGTGCCAGACACCCAAACTAACAAGTGGCATACATGAGTAGTTTTAAAACCCAACACACCTGTAACGATGGGGCTTCTTCACGCCTCCCGTTGAAGGTGCGCTCTTCCTGGCTGCCTTGGTAGCGAGCTGCTTCCTTGGCGCCTTTCCTCCGGTGGATTTACGGGCAGTCTGCTTGGTACGGGCCATCTCGTGTTTGCTAAAAAATACAGACCCGGAACTGAGATTAAAATCAGACTCCTGTATTGACGTAACTTGAGTGAAAACGGCAGCATGACAAAAGAAGTGGCCAGCCTGTCAATTATCAAATCAGGATGCTAAGCTAGCCTCGATACAATACAACACAGCCTACACCCCTCCCCCAGATTGAACCCACAGAGAGGCGTTTGATCGGTGAGGTTGAATAGACTCAGTAAATCCTTACGAAAACACCAACACTGATATATGTGACACACAGAAGCAAGTTAATAAATAATAAACAATAGTCCTGTTGATCATTACTGAAACAAAAACAATTTATAATCCAACTTTCAGCCGAGACAAAACAGAAGTGTCAAAACAACCGGGGCCTACAGCAGCACAACATGTCTGCCTTTTGCTTATTTCGACATCGCCATTTTCACAGCCTCTCATTTCGTCGACACTACCTCCATTTCACTTCTCAGTTTTATTAAAATTATACTTACAATTACTTGGTTTGTTAGAATAAGGTCAACCATTTTTTAACCTTAACTTAACGGTAAATATCGGTAACACCAGACTGGCAATAGTGACCGAGTGTGGCTTCATAAAGCTTCAGGTTGACATTTATCTGGAGCCTCGACGGTCAAAAACTCCATTGTTCTATTTTTAGCTAATGTTAGCAAAGCCACACGTTAGCCTGTTCGGCTAAATGTGCCCGTAGACGTGAATTCCTGTGTAACAACGACATACACGTCATATAACACAACTCACAACAACAAGGACTTGTAAACGTATTAATGTCGGATCAACTTAAATATATTTACCTCTAAGATATCAGTCAGAATGACGCACCAGCCGCGGCTGTAAGTCCAGGTAGGTTTTCTTGCGAAAAACGTTTTGCGATCGGAGGGTTCAGGCCGTATATTTATAGTGTTTCATGACGTCATACTTGTGACGGAAACACTGCACGCTCATTGGTTCACCTCCCATACCAGACTTTTGCGTCAATAAGTACTATATTCTTCTTCTTATTTTTTTGATACTACTCTCAAATGTATTTGTATTTTTTCACGCTTATTTATTTATTTTTATTTGGTTATTGTATTTTTATTTTTTATTTTTTCTGTGAGTTTTCCAATCTTGCACTTTTATTCTTGTCTTTAAACTAAGAGGTCTATTTGTTGGTCTGGGAGGGTTGTTTATAAGGCGAAGTGATACTGGGTTTTTGAATGTTTCTGAGGAAAAAAAGAAAAAATGTTGACTGCATCCCAATTGCTCTGTATGTTTTGAACGTGCTTTAATAAAAATATGTTGATTAAAAAAAATAAAAAAGTAATATATTAATAATCTTCCAAAAATTAAGCTTTGTACGAACCGCATGTTAATCAAGTTAGAACAAATATAATGTCACATGCGTGAGATAATCACAAATATTTTTACATGAGCTTCAAAACCCTTGGCTAAAACTACATATCCCAGAGTTCCTTGCTGTCCCGAGTTACTTTGCTAGTACTTCCTCCTACCTCGCGCAAGCTCACATCGTTCTAGAATGCGGATTTCGAAGCTAATAAGAATAGCTAGCTTGTAAGCTAAAAACAACGTTCTGGTTGTAAGGCTTTAAATGGATAAAATGTCCAAAACACACCCACAACCCCCGTTATCTTCGGCAGCGACGACAACCGGAGGCACCTCCTCGCCTTCCCCATCTTCGCCTGCTGGGGGCTCGACATCACCCGCAACCGTATTGAACGTGCAGCCAGAGAAACCTCAACATTACACGTACGTAGCTAGTTAGCTGGATTAGCTAGCTAAGTGTACACAGCCTCACGTGTTGTTAAATATATCAAACATCAGCTCAGGTGTGTTTGAAAACCTTCAAACAATAAATCACTCCATTTTCTTGTAAGCGATTGAAGCAAGCATATTCAGCGATAAGGTGATCGTGTCTGATCAAAGAGGCCTGACGTTAGTAGAAGTTATATTTTAAAGCTTTGTAGCACATAATAGTTCATGTTGTTTGTTTGTGATTATATTTAGGTGCTGCATTCACGTTATGTTAGTCCACTGGAATTAAATATATGCTTATTTTAGAGGTGGGGGTGTAGCAGTACACAAGGGGTAAGATAGATCAGTTTGAAGAAGGATAATCAATAATTAACTTATTAATATAAACATTTTGCCAGTGTAAGAAACTGTGTAAGACTATAACACTGCCTTTGAAATGTCTTTAATTCCATCTTGTTGTGTCACTCTCTCTCAGATATCTGAAGGAATTTAGGACAGAGCAGTGCCCCCTGTTTGTACAGCATAAATGTACACAACACAGGCCCTTTTCCTGTTTCCACTGGCACTTCCTGAACCAACGACGCCGCAGACCCATCCGCAGACGGGACGGGACCTTCAACTACAGCCCAGATGTTTACTGTACCAAATATGATGAGGGAACAGGCACCTGTCCTGATGGAGACGAGTGAGTGCAACTGAAGAGTTCGGTCTTGTAAAAGACTCGTCCTGTCTTCTATTCATCATTCATAGTCAGCACTTCTCAATAGTAGGGACGTCTGTTGAAGGCAAGAAAACACTGCACACTGTATCAGGGTAGATCATGCTTGTGATTGATTTTCAGGGTCTATGTTAAGTACACGCAGCTTCACTCTTTGTACATGAAGATGTAACTTTCATAGAACAAGACTACTTTTGAAAAACATCATGTCAAGTTTCTTGATTCTCTTCTCCTCTAAATAGTTTAATCCTGTTGTTACCCAAAGCCTTGTTACTTCTCATCTCTAAAACATGTAAGCCTTTACATTTAAATCCTGAATTGCTCAAGTTAAGCACCAGAACACATACATCTCAATTTACTTTTTTCAATCTGGTCAAAGGAAGATAAGTAGTGAATGAGGATACACCCTATACACTATTGTAAGTCAAGGTTAACACCCTGGAAGAAAAGTGTCTGATGGACTTTCTCTTTAAAGTGAGCATTAGCACCTGAATGTGGCTGAGATGTGGTTCACCTTTGTGATCTTTGTGAATCACAGACGATCACATAAGAATGTAAATGTATTGGATGGGAGCCGATTCGGGGATAAGTGGGATGTTTAGGAAACATGCTAATGTCAGAGGCCAATGTGAACATTTCAAACTATTTAACTCTAGATTCAACAGGAATACTTCATTACATAATCAGTTCTTTCAGTAAAACAAAAAATAACCTACAGGCGTTAATGAAGGAATGGGTTGGCTGAGATATTTAAAAAAATATATATTTTTCTGTGTTTCACTGTTGCCTGTAAAATAACCCTGGATCCAGTTATTGAAAATAATAGAATGCACATTTTTGAGCTACGTTATGATAACATGTTTGTTGCATGTTGAAAAGGAATTATTTTGGAGTAGAGAAGATTTTTGCCACAAAGGCAGACAAAACCTTTCTCTACTATTTGCTCTTAGAAGCTCTTCGTGTGTGTGTGTGTGTGTGTGTGTGTGTGTGTGTGTGTGTGTGTGTGTGTGTGTGTGTGTGTGTGTGTGTGTGTGTGTGTGTCTTTTTGTCAGTATATTTGCTTCAATGTTCATTGTGTTTGTTTGTGCTCTAGATGCCCGTTTCTACATCGGACAGCAGGTGACACAGAGCGCAGATACCACCTCCGCTACTATAAGACGGGATCATGTATCCATGAAACAGATGCAAAAGGCCACTGCAGCAAAAACGGCTCCCACTGTGCCTTTGCACACGGGTCACATGACCTTCGCAGCCCTGTTTATGATATCAGGTGCGCAAGTAACTTAATTTGAAGAAGTAACTAGCCTGCCTTTGACTTCATATAACTCTCTGTATGTGTGTTTGTGCTCTAATGGGGTCGAAATTGTCTTTACAATTTGTCTCTCTTTTTTAAATTAAATTTTTCAGAGAAGTGCAGGTAATGGAGTCTCAGGGGGGCCCTGGAGCCACAGAAGGAGGAGGGGGAGATGGACAGTCAGGGCAGGCAGCAAGTACAGCCCTCATAGAGAAGATCCTCAGTGAAGAGCCACGCTGGCAAGGTAAGTCTTGTTGCAGGACTTCAGCAGTATTCAGAGTGAAAGACATCACAAGGTGCTGATGTGGTGTGTGAGGTACACATGTTATATGATTCAGGATTGTCCCTGTTTGGAGGTGCAAAATCACTGTGAATGCAACTGGCCTTATCAAATCAATTCACCCATACTTTTATTCAAACGTTCTCCTGGCCCTCCCTTTAGCAAAATGTCTGTGTGAAGTTTGGGTGAACAGCTGTGTCAATGCAGCATTTTTATCATCATTAATGTTCTGCTGAGTTTTACTGCTTCATACTTCTTGCCTCAGTTGCATGCATTACGTTTTCTACTATTGGGTTTTGTGTTGCAGGAATGCTTTTTTACACGTTTAGATGATATTAACCCTGTTACAATCGCCATTAAGGAATACTTCTTGTCCTCCTGAATGCCCTAACCCCCAGGCATTCCCCCCCCCCCACACACCTTGAGCAAACAGAGTATTTTGAACTATTTGAGTTGATGCGTCGGACACGCTCAGTCTCCCACCATGTGTGGTACACTTGAGAATTTCAAGACTAGAAAATATCAGGACCTGAATGTCTGGAAATTGTCAGACAACAGTGAGGAATTCACGTGTACATGGTTTATGTTGTTATGCTTTAGTGTTTCTCATGTTCTTGATAGTTGGTTGATGTTTGTAACTGTTGTATAGGATGCACATTACCTCTGAAGTAATGCTGGTCGTTTTGATTGAGGCGACCTCATTTTGCCTCCATATTTCCTTTATTTCTATTTTTTTATAACTCTTTAAATTCACAGAAATATCTTGTTTTTTGGTTCTGTGATCGGAGGAACTCGTGCTGTACGCCTTGTTGTTACATATCTTGTTCTAGTGACTCATGGTCAGCCTTCACCATCTGCCTACCTCATTGTCTCCCCCGTGTCTTCTGCTGTCTTTCAAAATTTAGAAAACAACTATGTGCTGTCCCACTACAAGACAGAGCTCTGTAAAAAACCACCGCGTCTGTGCCGTCAGGGTTACGCCTGTCCTTACTACCATAACAGCAAAGACCGGAGGCGAAGCCCGCACAAACACAAATACAGGTGCCATATCACAGATCATAAAATATATCTGCACATCATGTTTTGTTTTTTTTGCTCAGTTGTGGATGTTTTTAACAAAGTTGTTGTTGTTTCTTGCTGCCACAGAGCGTTGCCATGTCCGGCTGTGAAACAGAGTGAAGAATGGGGGGATCCCAGTAAATGTGAGGGAGCGGAGGGATGCCAGTACTGCCACACAAGAACAGAACAACAGTTCCATCCAGAGGTTTGTCTATTTGAGCAGAGACCTTTCAGAGTCCAGACCAGAAACACCAGGGGATTAATATCGATATGTGTCGGTTTGTTCATTTTTAATTTACAGATCTACAAATCCACTAAGTGTAACGACATGCAGCAGTGCGGCAGCTGCCCCAGAGGGCCCTTCTGTGCCTTTGCTCATGTTGAAAGTAAGTCACAGCATCACATCTCTGAGCTCATCTTCACAACCTCCTGAAGATTCATTTTGAATTAACACTGTGTATTTAATATTCTCCCCCCAGAGCCCTTTGTTCCAGACGAACCATCATTCCCCACACCAGGCTCTCCTCCACCCCCCAGACCTCCAGACCCTCTTCCTGCCCAGGAAGCTTCGTCAAGCCCCAGCAGACACAGCATGGGGCCTGGGCCCGGTTTGGGTGCACTTTCAGACCCCTTTTCCCCGTCTGCAGGGTCCTGTGTTCAGGAGCAGGGACTTCTTGGTAGCGTTTTATCTCTGTGTGAAGACGTGAGCGGAGGAGCGGAGCCTCTGTCTCCGTGGGCAGTAGAGGGAGGGTACTGCAGAGCGCCCGGCTTTGAGAGGGAGGATCAGGTAAGATGTTCATATTTTACTATACTTTTAAAAGAAACCAAAGAAGAATAAGAGTGAAGGGAGATATGGCAGATTATATGATCTCCAATTTTTTAACTTCACATCCAATCATGACTAACATTGGAGCTGATACTAGTCCTATTCAGACTGCTGTTTCAAGATGTGATATTTACGCCTCTTTGATGTTTCACTGTCATTATGAATGTCGCAGAGGCATAAGCACTGTTTGTGTGCGTCTGACTGTGCATGTATGCGGAGTTCCCTCTGTGCCAGTGCTGTCTCGGCTTCTGCAACGCCATAATGCAATTTGTATTCATAGACTGGGACACCACTATTACCTCCTGAAAACACTCACATGATTTTTAGCAACTTTGTTTAGGTTCTTGTTGTGCCACTCACAGTACCACACCTCTGTCAAGATGCTGGAATACATTAGTCTACATTAGTCAATAATTTGGTTGCTTCAATATATATATATATAGCTCCATAATAAAATTGTCACAAGATCACAGCTGACCCTCTGCACCCTCTCTGGTCAGTGTATGAATTCTTGACTTCAGGGTGCAGGTACAGAATGCCCAGGATGAGGACTAAAAGAGGCATCACTTCCTTTGTACCACGCAGTATTCAGATGCTTAATAAGCTCTTATCATACAGGATGAACTCTGCACTCTGCAGTTTATTGAACTTGCTACTGAAATCGCTCATTTAATCATGTGACGCTTTAGTGTGTGTTTTGTGTCCTGTATATGTTTGTTTAGGTAGTGTTTCATGCTCTCTGTGCGAGGCAAATTCCCCCAGGGGCAATAAAGGTTTCTTTCAATGTTTTTTTTTTTTTTTTTTACACCAACTTCAAAAGCATTGCTGCTTGTTTTTTTTTTTTGTCATCATCCTTTTATTGTTTGTGATTTCAGGCAAAGCAAAGGAGTTTTGCTCTTGAGCAACGAAACAGAGAATTGTCATCAACACAAAGCAAACAGGTATGATTACAAACTCAAATGTGTTCAACTTTGAATGGTTTCCAGAGCAGTCTGAAACTCTTTCTACGTCCAGTTCTCCAAATACCATCTCCTATGATCTCCCTCCTTCAGGACCTGTTAGTGTTTCTTCCTGTGGGCAGCCCATTGAGTCTGTCCTCCAGTATCCCATCCAGTCTTGCTGCCACGCCGCCTAGTCCCGCCCCTCTTGGACTCCATGGATCCAGCATCTCGTCAGGCATGAATGCTAACGCCCTGCCCTTCTACCCCACCAGTGAGACGGTAGAGTCAGTTGTTGGTAAGTCAATAAAAATACTGAATCCAGATTTCATGCATTCATAGTGATTCAAATCTTGAATAAAAGTAAACATGATTCTGGTTTTGTTTCTTGTAACAGAGTCGGCGTTGGATGATCTCGACCTGAATGATTTTGGTGTGTCAGCGTTGGAGAAGAGCTTGGAGAGCAGCTCGACGCTCCCCGGTGTGGGAGTAGTTCTCGGTATTTTTAAACGACACAGAAACACACAAAACTAATAAAAAAAATGAACAATGGAGTCAGCAGTAGGCAAGTACACATTACTCATTATTATTTGTCTCTTTGCCTTTAAAGGAGGTAGCCAGTTTCAGAGTTCAGCCCCTGTCAACATCCCAGGATCCTTTAGCAGCTCTGCTCCTTTTAGCTCCCCTTCACCGTCTCCGCCTATCAGGCCACAGCCTTCACCATTCTTTTCTACTCACCTGCCTCAACCTGGTCAATCAGAAAACACCTTTTTGGGACCATCTCATAGCTCTTTAGGTTTGTGGAATTACATTGAAAAGTGGTATATCGGTGTTGCTACATGATCGTGTTAATATTTGTTTTTGTTCTTTGTAGGTCTGAATGGTATGAGCACCAATATCTGGGAACATTTTCCATCAGGCCAAGGTTCCCCTGGTACACCCCCTACCCTGCTGCCCTCTGGTTCCTGTGCAGAGTCTTCCAGGCTCAAACAGGAGCTGGAGGAAGCCCACAGGGCACTGAAGCAGTGGGGTCACAGCTGGAGACACACAGCTCAGGTAGGTAGCGAGGCCCCACACACGTATTGTTGCATTTCTTGTGCAACTCGAATTCCAAGTTTTTGCTGCATTACAGCTTTTGAATCGATACTGTGTTCTGCCACCTGTAGTCGTGGGCTGCGCTGAAAGCAGATGCAGAGGAGTCCCGTGCCCATGCTGCACGGTTAGCCATGGAAGCAGAGCGAGCGCGACAGGCCGAGGAGGAGGCACAGAGACAGGCTTCTCTGCTGCAGGAGGCGCTGGAGAGCTTAAGGAGTGGAGACAATCCCCATCTAGCGCTGCACCAACTGCAGCTACTACACAGACTACCGTTGGAGTCGGTCCTCAGTTTGCAGGCTCAGCTGTGTAGCTGTTTACATGCTGTGGAGCAGGTAATACCACTGCCTCGTAACTGGCCTCAACACGGTGTTTTCTAAATGGAATTCATGGTATAGCATCTCCAAAATGAGCTCTGTAGCTAGTCAGAGGATGGCATTGTATTCAACCGGGGGGGGGGGCTTTTTGTGCCTTTAATGGAGAGATAGGACAGTGGATAGAGCTGGAAATCAGGGAGAGAGATAGTGGGGAATGACATGCTGGAAAGGAGCCACAGGCCGGATTCAAACCTGGGCCGCCCGCTTTGAGGACTGCAACCTCCATACATGGGCGCGTGCACTAACCACTGCGCCACCAGCCCCCCATATTTAACCTTTTTGGAAACTCACACTCGATTAAACTCTGTGTGACCTGTAGTGGAGCACTATTGGTCTACATTTTATTCAGTAGCACCGATGCTAACACACTTTTTTCTTTGTCGTTCTTGGCTTTAATTAGAAGTTTTCTTTTGCACATGAAGTGGGAGGTCTGAATGTTTCCCTGTCGTGTTTCTTCTCTAGGTGGTTTACAGGAAACAGAGACAGTGCTGCGTGACGTGTGGGGAGCCCGGCTCGGTGTCCCTGTCCTGTGGTCACGGTCTACAGTGTGAGACCTGCTCCACGTCTACAGAGTGCCCACTCTGCCCTGAACAGACCCTGGAGCAGCCACTCTCTTGACCTCACAACACCAGTAGGACCATCACAGATTCCAGACCAGTCCCCTCCCCCTCTGATTCAATAGATACCAGCCTTGGATCTCAACCGCCGCTCAGAGTTGTGGCGAGGTCATTTTATAACGCGGTAACAACACTAGCACTGATCTGTTTTTTTTGTATTTTTAAGATGATGTTTACTGATGAGTGAGCGGTTTAATGAGAGACGAAGTGAACGCTCTTAACGTGGAGTTTAGGATCAATAATTTTTTCCAGCGTACGAATGACATTTTACAAGATCTTGCTCTTGACCAGCAGCACTGTTCTTTACCCCGTATTCTCTATCGATGAAAATCTATCTAACTATGAAACATCTATATCCACAGTTCTTAATAATGTTTCCATGTTTCAATTAGAGGTTTGATCGTAAGACCACGAGTTCCTGAAGTGTCATTTTATCCATCTGGAAAGTTTCAGGTCAGGCAGGTGACATTCACTGTTTGCACTTCTACCTATGAAAAGTATTGCACTATTATTCACTTATCACCCACATAATCATGACACAACATGCAGATCTTTTGGAGTTCTTTAGCGACCTCATGGCTTTGATCCAAGTCCAACGTTAACCCACATGGCAGCAGTATTAAACACATGGGGATTCAGGTGAAGTATAGAGAGATGAAAGTGAGCTTGGAGGAGATACATGTTGGAAAGGAAAACACGTATCAGAGGGTAGCTTAAAAGAAACAAAGCGACTTTTTTAGAAACAGAGTTTTAAGCAGGCACTTACGGATATGTTGAAACAGAGGCAGTGAAAATTTGTATCTGACGGCCGAGGATGAGAGCAGGTTGGAAATGTGTAGGATTCAGAACAAAACAAATTGTGAATGACTTCTTCTAAGCTACAGTACAAACAGGAGAATGAGGAGAAGTCGCTCAGTGTGATTTGTCTGAGGTCTGAAGATGTCTGCGGTCTCCCTCCACCAACAGAGTTTTGGAACTCCAAGCTCTAAATAGTTTTATATAAATGTCAGACCTCTTCTCAGAAATCAAGACAATGACTCATGATGAACCAAAGTCTTCTTATTCCACAGTTTAGAAAAGTTCTTAAAACAATCAGTTAAACTTAAATTCTAAGTCATTAAACTCGCTATATCATAGAGTATAAACTATATGAACACTCAAGAATAATGCAGTAATATTATACAGAGCTGAACGTGAAACAACAATATTCTCAGTAACTGAGGTATTACTATGTGATGCTTGAACTGTTTCCCACTCTGATACGATACCAGCAAAAATCTAATGTTAAGGACGCCGGGTTTTCACCACGGCAGCACAAAAGGAAGTCCTGGGCGCCTAAAGTTTGGGAATATCTTTGATCCAAAATGACATTCAAACTCAGTGTCTTCAGTTGTCCCTGAATAACGGGTAGAAATCGAGGTTGGAAATGAACATTTGCGCCTCCCAGTCACTCATTATTTTACCTGCCACTTCATTTGAACCATCAGCATTATGTAATGATATCAAACCAAGGCTTACAGTATTTAATTTACAGGCTGTTTTATGAAGGGAGATGTTTCAGCTGATACTGACATGCTGTTTGTCTCGCTCACAAAAATCAAACAAAAGTTTAACTTGTTTATTATTTCTGAGGCTGGTAAGAGTTTCTGTTGCAGCCATGTTCTTAAAGGCTAACTCATTTCGCGGATTGAGCTGCAAGTTCACCCGTCACTTAAAAAAAAACAAAAAAAACACCCGTATTTGACGTCTGAAAGGTGCTAATTTCCAACCCTGGGATAAACTCCCCTAGTATTACTTCTCAAATATCACTCATAATCTTTTTCAATCGTCGTGTGACTTTGAATGCACCATGCAGCTCTTTGTTCACGACCACTTAAACATTACAAATATGACAGAAGAGATGAATTTTCTTTTATAGCTTTGGTACTTTTTGATACTATCAATCGTGTGATAATGCCGATTGAATCGTTTTAAAACTTGTGGTATTGAAAAATATCCCCAAAAAGAAAATCTTAGTACCATGAGTTATTGCTGTCTGATTTCTGGAAGAGGGCGAGGATCTTCAAACTTTCCAGATGGATAGATGACACAGCAGCTTTCTTTTCATCTTTAACTTTCTTAAGGTTTAATGAGCCGATCGCATTCAACGGGTCTTGACTGAAAACTATTAGTTTCATCAAAACAATAAACCTGTGTTGCTTCTACAGCTCCAAACATACCAGCCTGCTGGTAGCGCTCGCCTAGATTATATATCACTTTTTTTTTTTATAGCAAGAGAAATTAAAAAAATTCATTTACTGTTGAATAATAACAGAAAAGTATTTAAAATGAAGTAATTTTGATAAAAAAGTTACAACAGATGGTATCTGTTAAAGCTCTCAGGTGTTCTCTAATATTCTTCCACATAAACTGGAAGAGGAAAAAGCATGTTAACACAATCAAAGATAATGTACTCAGTTCAACTTGTGTAGTCTTTCAAATGACTTTTTTTTTTTCTTTCTTTCTTTTCTGAAACACTTTTTCATGTTAACTCAAACACGCAGCCCATTTACTTTATTTGAAATCAATGTGTGAAAGGTTTCTCTGCCATCATTTCTTTTTATTTTTTTTGACAGTTGTAGTAGACTTTAACATTTCAGTGTGTCAGACGGAACATCAGGAAGCAGACAAATGATGTGAAGGTGTACGAGGTTTAAACGTGAGATGTGAAAGGGGTCATGATCACTGTGATGGTCTTTGATAAACCTGTGCTTCTGTACACACAACTCATCCGACAGCAGTGTTTCTCTCTGAGTGGACTTCTTTTCTTTTGTTTTTTTGGTACCGATCATTAAAACAAATTGTATATTTTTGGAGGAAGACATTGTCTGTGTGTTTGTTACTCTTGAATCCCCTCCTGGGACTGTTTCTCTCTCAGTCTTCTTTTCTTCACAAAGGCCTGCGTCTCTCGCTCGCCTTTCCTGGACTCCAGTAACCTCAGGATGGCGTCTTCTGAAAAAGAGAGAATCAAGTTTACGATATGCAGGATGGACGGATTAGCACTTGGAATTTATACTGCTTTTTAGTAAGGCTGACGGCAGTTAATCAAAATTAGTTAAGGTCTGAATTTAATGCTTCTTTTTTAAAATAATAATAATAACTTTATTTATATAGAACCTTTAAAAACAAATGTTTACAAAGTGCTGTGACAGACAACAAAACACCGATCAACAGAGAGGGCAAAAATAATATAAATGCAAATAACAGGAATAAGATAGATCCAACAGAGGCATGGAGAGGCAGTTCAATACAATGAACAAAATAAAAATTGAGGGAGAGTGGGATGACATCGCATCACAGGCTGTAAACACAGAATGAAGATAAAAAGAAGGGATAAACGGGAGATGGTTAAATGAATAAAGCAACACAGAGCTGAAGAGTTAAACCATAAAAGGAGTAGGATATAAAAAAGACCAAGAGCAGTAAAATGAATACAGGAAGGGATACATTTAAAGGCTAAAACATTTAATGAAGAGAAAGTTTTTAAAAAAAGGTGAAAAGCAATATAATTAATAACAGGAGGGGATAGATCTTTAAAGGAGAAATCACATAAAAGCAAGTCTATCAAAGTGAGTTTTAAATCACGATTAATCGAGTGCTATTTTGTCCCTTTAGGTGCACCGTAGATACGCCTCCTCAGTGTCTCCCAGTAGTCACAGTGAGGGAAAAGAACGATACTGCTCTATCTTTGAATGTCTCATGTCACTAATATCACTTTACTGTTCCTTTGAGCGGTTTTCAATTTGTTTTTGATCCGTAACGAGTTCTTTTTTCCGTGCTAAGTTAATGTCGTCACCTTCGATCTAGCAAAAGGTCTTTACTTTGTTTCAAAATAAAAGCATGGTTTAATAAAAACTGAGAGTAAAGTCCTCTCAGATGAAGACAAACATTTAAAAGAAAGGCCTTACAACTTTTTTTTTTTTTTTTGTATTGTGAAATAATGGAATAGGATCGCAAATCATATTATGCAATTATTAATTCACTGCACAAGAATAATCACACATCATGGGACAAATAGTATTAAGTTAAAGAAGTACTGTAAACGGTGTAATAGAAATAAAAAGGAACCCCAAGCAGGCTCATGCACTCATCATCTTGTTTCAAATTAAAATCACATCCTTATGCACAGATCTAAACCTTCTGACGGATCATACCATTGGGTTTAGGATGCATCAGAGGACTCCGGATCTGATCAGGGGCGGCATCTGCCAGTGAGTTGAGTTCTACTCCTCTCTTTCCACCAGCAACTCCTGGTATGTCCTCTAGTGCCAGGAAGGCCTCGCCCTCAAAGTCATCGGTTCTCAAAGTGTCGTGGTCCAGAACAGTCACCACCAGGCAGGCCCCTGGAGTCTGGCATTGATCCAGGGACACCAGACTGTGAAACCGAAGAGACAGAGATCAGCGACGAGGGCAAGGAGAGGTCAGGAACTTAAAGAGAACGAACGAACGGATGGATAATGTCACATAAAATACCAACAACTAACAATTCAAAGGCCTCATCAAAAAGTGGATTGAGATCACAGCTCTTGATCTGAGTGCTCCGAGGCTCCACCTCAGGAAAGATGTAGGAAGGCTCGAGACAGAGCTGCACAAACGGATCGCTTAGACCTGGAAAAGAATGAAAGTGTCATGAAAGGTCACATTGCATTTAACGTTTGCTTGCTGCTATACATATATCCTGCGTGTGGCCGTGATTGTCCTGTAAGGTTTTACCGTTGGAGTCCATTGGTAGGAGGTTGACTGCATTCAACACCTCAACTCTGAGTCTTTGGTCTGATCTCCTGTATGAAACTAGGAGAGTGACAGCACCGTATTTTTCTCCACTGTACTCCTTCTGTCGGGCGAAAATGAAAAGGAAGGAAGGTTGGAGCACAGAGAATGTGGCTAAAACGTAAACTGAGGGTAATTTCTTGTTTGAGGCTGTCTCACCTGCTCCCGTATTTTCCTCTTAAAGAACTTCTCCACAAGCTGCTGGCTGCTCAGAGAGTTGTGGGTGAGGTGACCTTTGAGAGTCTGGGAACAGGTGGCAAAGACGAAATACATGAAAGTGCAATATCTTTTTCATTCTAGTCGAGGGAAATGTGTAAAACTCTGTGGTATTTCATTACTCACCTTGTATTCTTCAGAGTGGAGTGAATTCAGAGGGAGCCCGTTCCCCTCAGCATGGAAGCACTGCTCCAAGCACTGACATCAACACAACAGCAAATTAAATGTTTCAGAAGGCTCTGCATTACAGTGGACTATTCCAAGAGTTCCCAAACTTTTTAGCTCGCGACCCCCAGAATAAAGGTGCCAGAGACTGGGGACCCCCACTATCCCTTGAGATGGCGAAGGCTTATAAGGTCGGTCTCAGTCTGTCTGATGGCTGTTGGGCTGCAGGTTGCTTTCTTTTTCCCAAAGAAGTTGTGTGTCATTGCAAGATATACCACATTCCTCTTTGAGAAATGATTGGAAACCATAGCATAGCTTCTGCGATTCTTTTACCCGAGTCACAGCCCCATAGTATGTGTCAGCTCTATTCAGTGCAACTGTAGAGGCCCTAGACCTCTGTTACACACCCTGTGCATTGCCTAGTCTGCGCACTGCCTGTCAGCACCTGTGTCCGATCAGACTTGAAGCTGTTTGTTGGCACTCATGACATTGTTTCCCTCTTTCTAAACCCTTGCTTGTGTTGTACTTAACCTCAGATGTATGCACTTTTAACAAAAGCTTCTGCCTAATGATATTGTAACATTGATCTGCAGCGTGACGTTAATCTCCTCATCTGACACTTACCCTGCAGCAGCTGTTTCAGGTATTAAAGGGGACATATTATGAAAAATCCACTTGTACAGTGTTTTTGAACATATATTTGGGTACCCTGAGTGTCTACCAACCCACAAAATGTGAAATAAATCCATCCAGTCCTTTGTTTGTGGTCTGCATAAGTCTAACAACACAGAGAAAAATGCCCAGTTTCAAATTTGCTCTCCTTGTGATGTCACAGTGGGATTCTGGTAAAAAAAAAACAAAAAAACCCCCTCCCCTCCCCTCGTATCTCCACCCATGGACTCCTCCCTCAGCCTAGAGCAAAACTTTTTCGCAGGTCTGCCATTTTTATTCTCGCTGTCGAAGGAGTGATGTGTACATGGAAAACTAAAGGGGGGGGGGGGGCCTCATTGCATTTAAAGAGACACACACACCAAAACGAAGCTTTTTGAGAGAGCTTGTTTATACAGGGTCACAAACCTCCTCTGGTGCTTGATTCATGTTATATTTTGACCAAAGCACAGTACAGATGTTTCATTTAGACCCACAAGAGACTGTTTGAAAAGGGGTATATATATATATGCCCTCTTTAAAATCGACCATAAAGAAATAGTCAATCATTATGCTTATGGTCTTGTTTGATTTTGTAATCAATCAGTATTAATTTCAGTGTGTTTTATAACCAACTCAAAACTCATCACACTTTAACTTCAAAACGTTCCGGTAGTCAAGACACATGACCAGCTGAGGACTGACCTGCAGTGTATACAGCAGTCTTTGGCAGAACACCATGAGCCCCTCCTGATGTGAATGGTTAGTAGCCACCTGGTAGAGGCTCTTCACTGAGTTTTCCCACAAAGGAATCAAGAGACTGGATGGAGAAAAACACAAAGTAAAATGTGGTTTACATTTTGAATTAAGAAAAAAAAAAACATTTGACCTCAAAATTCAAATTTACCTGTTGAAGTTCTCCTGAACTAGGTTTTCATTCATATACTTTAGCTCTTGCTCCAGGTAGCGCATCAAAGGAGCTGCAGCCTAAAAGAGAGAAGAAGGTGGCTATTGAGCACACTTTACAGTAAGAGGCATCTGCATTTGTGTAAAGCTAGCAATGATGGTGACGACTTACATCCTCTGTGGACTTGGAGGGGATTCTCCGCCTGGTTGCCATGCTTCTGACATGAGTTTCAATGTCTGTGTTTAACTGAAGAGTCACACAGAAGACACATAAGACATCAACATAGTTTTTTAAAAACCTTTAAAGGACTTAAAGGTTTTGAAATGTTAAAAACGTTCAACCTTTTTCCCCAGAGTGTTCAATGCAGATCGGATCTCTTTGCCGAGGACATCCTGGGCCTGCTGAAGCTGTGAGGGCAGAGTGTTGTGGAACTGGCTATCTCCTATGACGTTTTGGGTTCGATCTCGAAGTCCGGTCCAGTTCAGCTGTGTAGGTAGTTGAGTCAGCACTGTTCGTAAGTGCTCTAGGTCATTTACCACCACACACAACTACAGAGAGGGGAACACACAGAGATTAGAAAAGAAGGTTTCACCATCAGAAATATTTCTTGTGAAGCCTTTTTTCAGGGTTAACCCTTACCATGTTGATGGCACTGCCGGGGTCGGAGTTCTCAGAAAGCATCCTCACCCTCTTCTTGAGGATTTGACAGTAGGTCACCACAATCTTACACACATCCTAAAACACAGGAAAAGTGAAAACAGAGCCCAGACAACGACCAACATTCTCACAGGAAGGCATTTGATTAGAAACATTTCAGTGCAGACTGCAGTACCTCAGTGAGTTTAACCATGAGCATGAAGGCCTCCTCAGGGTCAGGCCAGGACAGCTGCTCCCACAGATGGCAGATAGGCTGGATACACGCCACCAAGTCGACTGCAGAGGAACTGTGTTTTATGGGCACAGCACCAGACTGCAAGGGCTGGAGCTGAGAGGGGAGAAAGTAAATCATGTACTGTACTGCCTGTGGATGAAAGAAAATGTGAGAGTAAAGCATCTCACGAGAGTGTTACCTGGTCTACCTGCACAGCCCTCTCCACCCTGTCCTGAGTGGTGCTGAACGCCTGGTTCAGCCAATAAGGGAGAGCCTCCCTGAAGCCCTCTTGAAAGTTTGTCAGCTCAAGAAATCCCCTGAACAAAAAAAACAGTACAAACTCTTCAAACATCACAGCTCCTTAAAACAATGTAAAACATTACAGTTTTTTCATTATAGGCTGTAAGAGAATTAGGCGAGGGTTTCTCTGAAGTGCTATAATGTAGATAAATCATTTCTAAACAAGTCGTCTATATTACTATCCAAATACTTAAACACTTCTGAAAGGTGTGACGCTAATCTGATCCTATTTTTGAAACTATATATAGTAAAAGTGTCAAAATCAGTTGAAATTTTTATTGTTTCTGTGTTGACCACACTTTTATAATAGAAGATGTGATTGAATTATCAATGAAAGCCCAAAGTGGACATGCATCAATACTCAGTTTTCCTCTGGAAACAAGTACAGTTGGGATGTTTTAATTTATACTTTATAATTTATATATTATAATTTATAATAATTGTTTTTCAGACGTTTTCTTGAGCTCATGGGAAAACCTGGACTGTTATTCCAAGATAAATAAGCAGAGACCTCGAGAAAACTACCAAAATGTGCTCTATATCATGGGTAACACAATAAGAAGTATGGATGTTTATCCTCTTAGGGCTTCTGTAATTCCCTAAATACTGTCAATGGTTTAAATGAAAACACTGAGGATGTGAAGGGTTGCTTTGATGAAATGGCGCTGAGCGAAAGTTGGACTGACAGCTGTAAGACCATGATGATTTAGAACGACAGCTTTAGAGTATGTTGTGAGTATGACTTCTGACCTTTTCTGGAGGAACGCCTTGTCTTTGTGGATGGCTTGCAGGCTCAGATAAACAGTGAAGAGACTGTTGGCGAGAGCCTGCTCCATCTGACCCTCAATCAGGGACAAGGTTTCCCTCACCTCCTTGGCGAGCTTTTGAGGAGAGAAGAGGAATAAAAAGGAGAGAAAATAAAAAAAAAAACATGAGAAAACATAAGGACTGATTTATAACCGTTATTATTGCAACTTACCAAAGTGTCAAACTTCTGATAGACGACAGTGAACACATCCACTTGAACGGCACTGCAATCAGGAAAAAGGAATAATTTATTGTAACAAAAGAAAGTTTAAAAAAGAAATCAGGAAATGCATGGTTGTAACTTTTAAAATAAAATATCTTTCTTCTGGTTTCTGTAACCAGCACATGACCTTTGACCCGACAACTCTGAAAGAAGCCATGATCAGGTTTTTATTAAATACACCTAATTACACCAGGTCAAAAGTCAAGACATAAATCAACACAAACTTTTTGTTGTGATTTACCTGACAAAGACTCTGTTCCACATATCTTTGTTGTGTTTTATATCGTCTTGCACTTCCCCAATCAACCTGGAGAGGGCGCTTACAATCTCTGACAGGTCCTGTATGTCACGGTGAAAAAAATGATGTGACTTTATTACCAGAAAATAAATAACCAAATACAGTATGAAGGCTTCTGTGATGTGCTTGTGCTTACCTTAGTCATAGGCTGATGCAAACCCTTCTTAATGGTGAACCACTCCTCTGTTCCTGTCTGTTATAAAAGTCATTATATCAGAAATGAAAGACTTGTGATATACATAATGGTGGTAATAATCAGTGTACCTACTGACCTGTATGGCATCACTGACTCCATCATGTAATTCAAACTGGGCTGGGTTTAGTTTTTGAAATGGCTGAGTTTTACAGATCTGGACCAAGATTCTAAACAAAGCACATTCAAGTAATCCATTAACCTGACATGCAAGTGCAACAAAAATAACAGCAATTATATGAACATACATTACTCTGTGTACCTGAGCAGTGTGTGTAGCTTCGGAGTAGCGCTGGAAGTTGGAGGGAAGATGTCTCTGTATTTGGCCACCAGACACAATCCATACTGCAGGAAGCCGTGAAGAGAGTCCCCAAGTTCCTGTTTCTGTTAAGAGTGCAACACTTTGTCAACGTCAATAGTGAACAAATCTCTCCTGAAAATGTTTTATTCATCTTTTATTGAGTCCATTTTGACTTTTGTGAGGATCTGCTGGTTTGGTAACGTCAGCATCGCTAACAAAGTCCTGGCTTCTTTTTTTTTTTTTTGCAAAATGCTGCAAGTAGTTTCCTTTACATGTATATGTAGCATATTATTTTCATGTTCTTTAAATCACTCTTGCGTTACATAAAAATGTATTAGATTAGTGGCGGCAGAAAGGGTAAATAATTGAGATTCTTTTGTATGCGTGTGTGGATGTTACACTCTGGGCCACCCAAAGTCAGTGCCTCAGTTGGGCCACCCGAGTCAGAAAAACCTGCACATGCCCCTGGGCTTAGATAATTACACCTGCTTTCATCACTATTTTAGTAAAGGTACCAATGAAGAATGGCCTGAAAGAACTGTCAATTGCCTGCAAAAGAAATTGCTTCATATTTGTAAGGTTGATCACATTGCAAGAGGAAGTTTGCAACACTGGAAAATCTAAGATCAGTTATCTGAGTTATAAATATCACTGTGTTATATTGCTCTATCAACAGCAGATGTATGCCTTCATTAAAAAAAAAAACATTTTTAGGAGCCTATAAATGTTAGAAATAAAGCTTACTCATATATCCAAAATAAAAGCACTTTGTGGACACCATTTACTTTTTGGATTTTTCTCATCAAACAAAATGTTGCTGTTAAAGCTGGTCATGGTAGATATAATTTATATAAAGCTATGTAATGTTTGTTTGAAAAATATAACACAGATCATAGTTATTAAAGACAAATGTTTTTTTGTATTTAAGCTCTACATCTACTGGTCATAAAAAAAAGTTATAAAGTATGACATTTCAGGAGCTGGGGATCGAACCCCCAACCTTCCAGCTGAGAGATGACCAACTCTGCCACTGAGCCACAGCTGTCCCATTAATTCAGTGTGCTCCTTCATGAACTTGCTTATACCTGTTGGTATGGCAGCTCCTGCTGATGCCAGTGGTACTCTATACAGGTTAGCTGCTGCAACAGCAAAGACGAGTCCACCTCTAAACTCTGGTACAGCTTACTGTACGCCACCCACTTCCTGTTAGTGAGACACACGTGCATGAAATTAAAATCCAAGATTAAACCGAGTACTGTTCAGCTTTTAAATAGATGAATACAGATGTATGCAAAAAAAAAAACAACCTGTACACTCCTCTTATGAATCTATCTAGACAACAGTATAATCTCATATAGTCACATGGTGCTTACGCCAGGTCCTGAAGAAAAGGTGAGAGGTCATTCTGCGTAGCATAGAACTCCAGCAGGGTCTCAGCCTCGCCGCATAGTGCCCCTTTCCACGGAGCTGAACTCTAAGAGAGACCAAAGAACACAAGTTAAGGGAAAACAAAAAAAAAATCAAGACTTTAAATAAGATTTTCACCAGCCCTTTACCTTCTGCTTGGAGATGTAAGCCTGAACAAACTGCTGCAGAATCCCACAGTAGTTGATGTAAGCACTACGACCGGCACTCAGCGTCCCATCTCTCTGACACCCACAAAGAAAATAATCCAGATTTTAAAACAGAAACATATGAAACAACTGCTTTACATATTCAAATATATGCAGAAAACATGCTTAATTGGGGTACGAATGGCCCCAAAAAGTAATATGGGAGGCAGGTCCCTTAAGTATCGGAGTCTCCCACCGTTAAACCATGTGCAAGTGTGAGTCAATAAAGGCAGACCTCCATAAAAGAGAGGGCTTAAAAACTTTCTTTAAAAAAAAAAAAGAACAGTTAGGGATGGGTCAGGCAGCTCCTTGTTGTGCTGCTACAGGCTAAACAGTGAGGAGGGACTTGATACCGAGAGCTTTTTCTCCACATGTCGATGTTAACCATTGTTACTCGTGTTTTTTGCCTCGCCCAAATATTTCTCCTCTCTCTATTGGTTTTTAATGTATATGGAAAGCTGATAAGAGACAGGACATGTGCGATATGAGAGAGGGGATGACAGGCAGCCTGTAGTTGGAATCTATAAAAAAAAAATGTTTTTACAATGTCCGACATTTCATATAGGCTATTCTGTGAATATAATCAAGAGATAATATGGTGTTACAGGATGGAAAAGCACTTTTACCTCTTTATGGATGAACTGGAGATTCAGGTGGCACTGGCCGCGATCAGGATAAGTCTCTGTTCTAGGCTCCAGATTGTACCAGTTGTCTTCAGTACAGGGAAGATCCTAAATAAGATGTGACAGATGGTAACAAGACTGGGATGACATTGTGAGGGAAGAGTGAAATAGCAGATATACAAATATAAACACCTACTACCTTTAGTTTAATGACAACATTTCCCAAAAAGTCATCTGTGCCTTTCTCCTTTTTGGCCTCCTTGATCATCCTAAACATATAACACAGGACAAAGTTTAAATGCTTGGATTGGTTTACTGCTTGTATGAGAGTCACTGAGAGAGCACAATACCTTCTTAAACTGTTGAAATTGGATTTGATGTCCTCAAGTTTCTGAGAAAGTGAAACCTCTTCGTCCTTATCCCTAAAACAAAAACAGTGCTGTAGTGGAGGCAGAGGAAGATTTAAAAGCAGGCAAAGCAGAGCTCCAGATTTTCTTCTCACCACATCTCCAAGTGAAAGCTCGCACCGGTGATGTCTTCAAACTCTCTAAACCCAAAAGAAACAGTCGTAAGTATCACATTTCAGCCTGGTTGACGTTGTTCATAAAACCACAAATCTAAACTCACAGTATGAAGGTTTGATTCCAGATGGGGTTCAGAGTCTGCTTCTTTATAACTGTTTGGCAGATTTTATCATCAGATACAGCGTCCTTAACAACAGATTTACAGGGCTTTGCTCTGGACCTGCGTGTTCGACTCTCCTCCTCATCCTCCAGGATGGTCAGCAAGCAGTACGGGTCACTGAAACCTGCTCAAAACACACAAGAGATCAGCAATAGATACCAGTCATAGAGTGCAGGGACAGTTTGGCATGAGACTGCAAGAGATTACACCACAGAAAGGCAAATCAAAAATCACAGACAAAGTTGACAAGGGAAGAAAAACATGTCGATATGCTTTAGGCAAAGGCAAATGGAACAAACTCAGTAATGTATCTACTACTGGGATATACTCTTAGAGAATATCAAAGTTATTTCTTGTGCTTTCGATTTTTCTCTTCGATTAATCTTTAGACTAAAATATTATCTATGACATTTTTACTAGCAATATTAAAAGGTCTGACCGATATGAGACTTTGGTGCAGATACAGATATTGATGTTGGGGAGAGGAAAAATCGGCCAATATCTTTCTTAGATCTATGTTTGATCCGTATAGAGATATGTTTAGCCATACACATTTATTGAATTCATCCCTCAAATGCAGTGATCAAACACTTGTGGAAAAGATATACAGTGTAATGATGAAAAGTAACATAAACGTGCATCACTGTTTGACACTCTGGAGAGTGATAATGCTTGTTGTAATCCATTTAGCGTTTCCATTTACCCTATGCTGGTGAACGAGAACTGCTAGTGTAAGTCAGTTCTACTCAAATTAAATACTATATGTCTGGTGAATAAACCTAGTAATATCAGCCCATATCAGCGATAAACTTAGCTGATACCGATAGTGACTATGCTAACATCGGCTGATATTATCGGCTAGCCAATTACTCGTCAGGCTCTAATATTAACCACAATCCTCCAGCTCTATACCTACAATGGGCAACTTGACATTATGTTCTGTTAAGATGTGCGGCTTTGTGAAAAATGGTACTGTAGTTAGAATCGAAAGCAAAAAATGATGTTCCCAGTACTATATCAAACCACTACTCACTCTTTTTTCAGAGTTTCGAAGCAAGTTTTGGTTCTCTATTATTGTAAGATTTCAGGAGAAGTGTTTCTAGGTAGTCAAATACCTTCTAACAAATAATGGTCCCAGTACAAATGCGATTTATATAACACCACCTGCCTTTTTTTTCTCGACATATTGAATCTGCATCGGTCTACGCAGTCGGTGAGAGGAATCTCTCTGATTGGCTGTTCAGAGGTTTCATTTCTCTCCAGCTCTCGACACAGTTTCAGGAAAGCCCCTTGAGCAAGTCGCTGTAGACTCCATGCTTTCACCCATTAGTGTGGATTCTCCTTTTTTGTCACCTTCTTTTCTTTTTCCACTAAAAGACCAAGAGCTGACAACGCCAGGTCCATTTTCAACTTTTTATCAGACATTATTCTCGATTAGTACCTACAATACGAGTGGTGCACGACAGCGGTGTGAAAATGGCCTTCTCGTATCATGGAGAGTTATAACCTCTCACACATGCGCAGAACGTACGTGGTGGTTGGCCGTCGGCTGTAGTCTTTGCGGTACGTTCAAGTGCAACTTTTCGGTCAAGACAAAGGCGACTTGAGGCGACTCCACAGTCAGCCTTCGTCGCCACTAGTTTGTCGTCTGCTTGTTGTGTCAGGGCCTTAATATATTCTATACATAAACTGTTGAGATGCCCAAAGCCATAAAACAACAAACCAACCAACTGACGTATTGTTGCATATTTAAATGAGCGCCAGTCATCACATTGTTGAAGACTACGAGCTGCATGGTCTGCAGAGGTAAAGCCAGAACTCACCAGTGACGTCTTTTCCCAGGATTCCCTTTGCTTCCTTTACTGTGGCCATCAGACAGTACACTGGGGGCTGTAACAGTAAGGCAGTTATTTAGTTGTTCTGGTATCAAACAGCCACATTCTGCTCAGTAGATGAGATCATTTTCTCCACTGGAAAACTAAATGGTGGAAGTTAAAGATGAGCGATGTAAGAGAACAATAAATACAGTAGATATTGGGGTCTTTCTTTTCTCACCTCCGTGCTCTTTACTTTCTCGCTCAGACTGCTGTGCTCTGACTCTGTCATAGTGAAAGCCTGGTAGGAAAGAAAGAATAAAAGACAACAACACTCTTAGTCATACTCGAACACAAACACAATGTGGAGTTAGTGGTTGAGGTGTGTTCAGATTTTTACCTCCTTGATGTACTGGTGAAGTTGGTCATCTGTGTAAACCTCAGTTGATGATGAGTAACCCATTTTATGAGCGATAGTGTACAGCAGCTCTTTATACATAGGCTTCAGCTTTTATCAGAAATAAAAAGTGAGAATTTAATTTTAAAAAAAGATTCAAAAGAAGTGATATACAGTATGTTATGGTATGATGATACCTCATGCTCCTTGTGTTTCCGTGCTTTCTCTTCTGGGTTTTCATCTTCCTTTAAATCCTGACAGAGAAAAGCGATATATTTGGCTGACGGTTCTGTCAGAAGCACGAGATAAATTAAGATCATCTGCATATAAACTGAGGTATAAGTTCACAGAGCGTCACATACCCTCCTTTTTGGCATTTTCCTCGTCAACCCCAGTTTACGTACATGGCCAGGAGAAAACTAGGAACAAGAAAAAAAAAGTCAGCCATTACAAACACACTTTTCTGTACAAATATCAAGAACACAGTAAAATACAATTGACTAATTTTCCAAAGCATGAAATAGTCTGAATGTATTTTTGTTATTTTATTAACAGCCATTACGTTTAACTGATTTGATACAATATAAAACTTTGATTCAAACATAGCTGGGGCTGCGTAATCCACATGTAGAGACTTAATGTTCACTGTAATGGATTACACAGTTTTACACCAAAAGATATGTTTCGATATCTCAACAACTTTTATTAAGATATTTTAAGCAATTACAACAAACTCAGAAACACATGCCAAGATATTATGTATGATACGATTTGGTACAAAATGAAACGATACGAAGCGTTATGAAGCGATAGGATATGATTCGCTGCGATATGATACAAAGTAATGCGAAGATAAGGGATACGATGCAAAGCGATATGATGTGTTGCGATAGGATACAATAGGATAGGATACGATATACCTTATCCCTTATACCCTTAGAGAAATGTGTCTCAGACTCCAGTGCTGCACACATGTGGCTGCCTCTGTTCATGGCCCTCAGAGAATGGATCTTACTGAACTTTCTTCGAGCACCACAGGCCTACCCACAGGTAAAAGTTTGACCTCCTTAAGAACAATATCTGTAAATCTCCTACAACGATCGATTAACCATACACATCCAAACCAAAGAGGGCCGGTGCTGAGTGGAGCAAAAAAGTCACTTAAAACAAAAAAAGAAAGACGGATCGCAAACTACAGGGCTCCAATACTCCAGAAATGTATTTCACCACAACATTTTTTACAGTCACAGAGCCCAAAGGGTGAAGCCTAATGGTCTTTCTTCTATGGGAAAACCATCAGTTTGACATTTATGTTTTGAAGGTCAATGTTTGATTACCATTGAATAGTTATTTATGTAACTTTATGGCCCTCCTGATAAATTATATTTCCTTTATTTTGTCCAAAACTTTGGTGTTTGACCAAATACCTCAGAAAGTAATGACATTCCCTTCAGTGTAAGCTGTACTTTATTTCCAGTGCTCTGAAGCAAATATTAGCTCGCTTAAGATGTTTAACATGGTAACCATCAGCAGGTTCTTCTCATTCATGGACTACAGCATGCAAAGTAAAGCCTTACAGAACTGCAGGCTTTGCTGTGCTTTTTTTTGTTGACATTTCTTAAGAAGTAAAACCAGTGAGCTATTACTCTTTAAAAAATCCATCAAAACACATTTTCTTAACAAAGTACTGAATAATAAATGTGATTTGTTTTACCTGTTTGTGTTTTGATCCATTTTCCTGGAAAACAGAAGATAAAGTTGCTTTTGTAAATACATGGGATTTAATAAAAGATATCAAAGGATGAAGTTCAGGATCAAACCAACAGCAGATATTGAAAAGTAGTCTTCATCCCATCATCACCTCTACTAATACATTTTCATGTACTCCTTAACCTTTCTTCATTTGACTTTTTTTCATTGCTCGGCTTAAGACACAGAGATGTTTCTGACTGCTGATAAGAGTTGCCTGGACTTCCTCTATTACTGATAATGAAAGTGACAAACAGCAAGCCACAACCTGCTAAATACTCAACCCCAAAATAATCACTTGAAAATAAATAACTCAAACCCCAAACTAAAAATAAAGAATACAGCTGTACTCCACCATATCACACATACACAGCTTACTGTTCATTATGTCATCTGCATATATCACTGTTTGAACAATCTGTAATATACAGCATGCTCAAAATGTGGCTCAATTTATAGCCAATTGCCAAATAAACAGCAAGAGTGTCAACTGTCCACAAATACAACATACACCAGTACATGCTGGACATATGATAAATATGATCCATCCAGCATCATCTGATCCACTCATACCTCTAAAATAACTGTGAATCATCATCACAGCATCTTGAAATAACTACTTGGATAATGTGAGTCACTGTTTGAGATTAGGGTTTTCCACAGTTGAAGCCCATATAAGTATTTAACAGTTGGGGTTTTTCCCCCAGCACCACAAACAAAATAAAATTAAAAATATAACTTTAAGCTTAAATCCTGAAATCCTGTGCAGATATTATAAAACATTACAGAAACAAACAAACAAAAAAGAACAAAAGAAGACTTTTAAAATCCGCAGCATCATTACTTTGGTCATCAACACGGCGTTATCTTAACTTTATGGTTAATAACAGGCACTGAGCAAAACGATAACAAATATTTTGTAGAAAGTAAAGGGCACACAGTACATACCTGTTCAGGTGTTTGCAGCAGATTGTTGTCTTTGGGCTCCATGTTACTTGCCATTTTGATGCGACTGTCAGACAACCATACTCCAGCCTGGTACCCTGATGTGCTCTATGCGTGTGACATAGGGAAGCTGTGTGTGCAATGTGTTTCTATGAGCTATAACACGGAAGCCGGAAGTGTTCACTTCCTGTTCAAAGTGACAACGTCAATATGTGTGACTTATGACTTTTTCTCATGCAAAATAACAAGCATTTCACTCCTGTATTTGTTCAAATGCAAAACCCACAAAACACACAAACACACACACTCACACTCACCAGTTACTCAAAACCAACGGACAAAGTAAATCTGTTTATCACCTTCAGCCCAGACACAACTGGTTTTGATACACTGTTTGCATCAACACACTGAATCTCATGGTTGATCTAAATCTTGGGTACAAATCTCCTGTGGTACGATGATCTGCAGCTGAATGAGGTTTATGAAACAGAATGTAACATGAGGCTGTGCAAAGCAGTCCAGCTGTGGGCCGTGTATTGTTAGCTGTGAGCCATTATCCCATTGAAAAGAGTATTTACTCCCTGACTCCATGTCACTCTACTCTACCAAGAGTTAGTGCTTGCTGCTCTAATATGTATTTACAGAAGACTGTGTCTATCACTACAACTGTGGGCGAGTTATGTCACTACTAATATCTGCGTATGCAAACCTTGAACAGTTTTCCTGTTATTTCAAAAACACTGCATTTCAAGAGGGCCATGAGTTTATTTGCATTGCAGGAAAATTAGATGATAAGATAAGGTGTTGAAAGTCACAGCATCTGAGTTCATGATTCAGCAGATTTGTAAACTATTTGATATATTAGTCTGCTCCAAAACACAAGCCTCAAATTTTCTGACTATTAGTAGACAATGATGATAGTTACATCATTTACATCATTGTGTGTGTGTGTGTGTGTGTGTGTGTGTGTGTGTGTGTGTGTGTGTGGAATAGACAGACAAAGACCTCCAGTATTGTTTGCCAACCCACACCATGAATGTGCATCTTGTTGCATCTTTCACAAGCATGCGGGTACTTTTGCAACCTGACCGCTCTCCTTTCTTGACTCATTCTGAGAAGTGCTGTTCTTTACTGTAAATGCCTTATAATAACCAAGAAATCATTGTATAACAAAATAACTTTCAGGAGCATGGTCTATTGGCAAATTGTTTGTTCGTCATTGATTGACAAAAAAAAGTATTGTTATGTTTTCATGTAAATCATCTTGAGCAGATCATCTGTCTCTTGAATAAATTAGATTCAACCAGTAAAGATGTCTCTAAGCAATAGGAGGTTTTTTTTGTAGATAGGCCTATTATAGATGTAAATCTCAGCAAAACAGATGCACGAACACACATTCAGTAAAAATAAACCCACAGCAGATGCAAGAAGTACAAATTCTGAAAAAGAAAACACAGATTACTGTAACGCATGTTGTGCAATTTTAAAGAAAGTTGATTATACATAGTATATAAGTATTTTCAAGCCTAAGCAGAAATAAAACAGGGATATTTGCGACCAGACAAATTAAAAACAATAAAATCAAAAACTGCTTTCACTGTCTTTTATCTAATTGTGCTTCCCATGTCAGGCAGTGATGTCCTACTGAGACTCGGTCCATCCGGTGATTTAAGGGAAGAACCCTCTAGAAACTTCTCTAAATTTAGTGGTTTCCATACACAATCATCTTTAAGAGAATCTCAAAATCAAAGAGGGACATTATATACCAACTTGTTGATTTTAACATTCACATACATTTCCCTTTCACCGTTAAATAGTTCCTTGAACAGTCAACACATCGTTTTGTACGGTGTGTGACGTCACGACATGGGCGTGGGGAGAGGCAGGTGCAAACAGCGAGACACAGACAGGAGGACCATTTTCACAACAACCCTTATCACCGCACTGGTGAACGCCGACAGAGGTTGCGAAACAGGCCTTGCATTTTGCGTTTTCTCATAGAGGATTAGCCTTTTAATTGCGTTGTTGTCGCTGCTGCTTGGACAGTGTGGAGGCCCGTCGAAATGACTCTGAACCAGAACAGCTCGGAGTCCGGCGGAGTGATCATCAACAACAGTGAAAGGTAACGGGTAGCATGGGGTTGCTAAGGAGCTAGCTAGCAGTCCCTGGTAACCAGACTAATAACACAACTTCACTCTAAAATCATTTAAAGTTGAAGTCATTTTGGCATGTTATGTCATCACTGTTGTTATCCACAGCAGGCTTCACGTGTGTGTAATTGTTTGCCTGGGTAAACGTCATGTAGTGGTGTTAACAACAGTACCTTCATGGCTGTATCGTGCTGCTGCATTACAAGCTACAGTCTGGCCTCTTCTTCTACTACTACTCTTTTACAAAGGGGCTCCTTCATTTCTCTACACTTTAGACCCAAGTCATCACAGATGTTATCAATCAACATTAAGGAGTGTAATGTTAAACCCATTACATCTCACCCACAACCAGTAAGCTCTGTCAATAGATGGCATGTAAGCCTAATCCATTTACCATAGTACCATTTACTGACTTGAAACAGATGAGCCATGTTTAGTAACTGGACTGTTGCACAATCACCCAGTTATCTAATTAATTAAGCTGTTAAATCCAAGATTATGAAAGTAGGGTATGAGTCATAATGTCAATGAAACAAAATCAATACATTATTTAGGTATTTGTTATATTATCAATGCGAACATTCTTTATCAGACTATATTATTTATCATATATATATATATATATATAGTACATATTTTGGGTGTATCATTTCATTGTGTTCTTGTGTCTCATTATGTCACCAGTCTGTTGATGAACTATGATAACGTAGAGCTGGTGTTCTGTGATGCCGACCGTCTTCCCGAAGCCTTCAGAAAGAGCAAGAAGGGCAGCATCTACCTAACTCCGTACAGGGTGAGAGATGAGACTCCATTGTCCAATTTGTTATTTAGCCGCCCCATGTGTGCATACTGTTTTTTGACATTTTGCGTCATTTGGTGATTTTGACATAGCACTAGTAGCTGTGTTGTTGTTGTTGTTTTCTCCCAGGTGATCTTTGTGGCTAAAGGGCGAGATGCACTGCAGTCCTTCATGATGCCCTTCTACCTTATGAAAGGCTGTGAGGTCAAGCAGCCTGTGTTAGGAGCCAACTACATCAAAGGCACCGTCGGCGCAGAACCGGGAGGTAAGAGCATGGGTGTGTCTGCAGGTTCGTGACTGTACTGGGTCATCCTGCTGGTGCTTGATCATGCAGTATCCCTTGTCAGTTTGTTCATCGCACAGTAATTACACGGATCGCTCCTTGTGTTATCTCTCCTGCAGGTGGCTGGGAGGGCAGTGCTACATTCAAGCTAGTCTTCGCTGCTGGAGGAGCTATAGAGTTTGGCCAGTACATGCTGCAGGTCGCAGCTCAGGGTATGTATGGGAGGCCCTTCTGACTTTTAATCAGTGTTAGATGTTTTAGGTATAAGCTGCTCATTTCTTTTAATGAATGGTTTTAATGAAAAGAGAAACATATCTATTATATTTACAACAATTGTGACTCCTCTCTCTCCTGCCACGCGTCCTGCAGCATCAAGAGGTCAGCCGGTGACCTCAGGGTTTGATGGATGCCCTTACATGGCCAATGGGGCTTATGCTTACCCTCCTCCCCCTCCTGCTAACGGGATGTACCCTGCCGGACCTCCACCTGGTTACTCCTACCCCAACCCTCCTCCCCCAGGTAGGGGCTGTTATAGTTGCCAGCACTATCAAAACCACTTTTGAGTTCTTGACGCAAATCTCCTTCAGAACGTGTGAAAGTGTTGCGCTACACTTGGACTTGTATGTAAGTCCTTTTTGCTGGTTTTGTCCAGGTGGATTCTACCCTCACCCTCCAGCGTTTGATGCCTCTGCTGGCTACATACCTCCACCTCCTTATTCTGCTCCTCTGGGCCAGCAGCCCCCACGTGATCCAGACCTCCCCTCATCAGTCGCAGGTGGGCCTCCATAGACAACAAAAAAAAAATCGCTGCTAGTGTAAATAAAGATGAAAGTGGAAAGAAAATAGAGGGTTTGAATCCTGTTTAAGAATCTTACTGTTAAGAGGAAAAACCGTCTTTTTAACAAGCAGGTGAACATCTGTCTGCCTCAACTGGGTGGGCTGAAAGAGTGGGATTGAGGGAGAGACACAGCGGAAAAGCAAAAACAAAAAAAAACAGATAAATCTCACAATGCAATTAATACAAGTATTTGTCTTCATACTGGAAATAAAAACTAAATTAATGACAACATGAGTACGAGTAATAAAATGGTTTTGAAGAAATAATTCAGTTTCATCTTACATCATCTTCCACTGGTATCACATTACAGTGTTATGACTAAACGTGTATAATACCGTCTACATATTGCTGATCATAATGCCGTATCATACTATTATCATAATCCCTTTATTTGTTACATTTTTATTGGATAGGTCAACTGAAGAGAGACAGGAAATGTTAGGGGGAGAGAGTTGGGGACGACGTGCAGCAAAGGACTAAGGTTTGATCCGAACATGCGGCCGCTGCGACGGGGACTGTAGCTTCTGTACATAAGGCATGCAACATAACCACAAGGCTATCCGGGGCCCCATCATCATAATGTCTTTAAACAGTTTAAAATCCAATGAAACCAATTTTCAAAATCAGATACGCCTTGACTAAAAATAACTTGACTAAAATGCTGAATGAAGTAATGACGGGTAACAGATTGGACTAACTGTTCAGCTCTTATTAGGACTTTTGAATCACTGAAAGCTGCAACTTGTATTTATTTCTCTAACAAACGAAGTAACGAAGGGTTTTTTAAGAGTTTTGTCTTCTGTTAGCTTCAGCAGAACAGTTAATGTAGCAGCACTGATCAACACTTTGATTACGGTGACGTTATACTAAAACATTAGTTTGTTAATTGTCAAACATTGGCCATATCTTGATAAATGTTTCTATTTGAAAAAAAACAAAAAAACATGATGGTCCATTTTTTGGTCTTGAACTTGAAAACACTGTCAGCAACTTCTTACGTTCTTCCTTAATGCGAGGAAATCTATCTTTATAGAAGATATGTTTGAAAATCAAAGATAAAGTTGTGAGTCATTTACTGGTTAAACTTGTGGTAAATGTCTTCATAGTATTGTGACATTGCTCTAAACTCAAACCTTCGGGATTGGCTGATGTCTGTGTTGTAACAATTTGAGGAGAAAACCCCTTCTTATGTTGGCCTGTGTTTCCTCTTCCCCTCCTAGTTACACCAAACTTCCGGCCTTGATTAGCTGCAGGGTTTTCATACTGCATACCCCGCTAACAACAAGTCAGACGGTTTTTTAATGAATGTCCCCCTCTTCTCCCTTTCTCTTTCCCAGCCGAGGCCAAAGCAGCCGAGGCAGCAGCGAGTGCGAGCTGTGCCACACTGCCGCCTACACATGTGTACCTGCCACAGGTGAGCTTCCCTCCATTACTCATTTCATGTCAAGTGGTTTATCCATGGCTTTACATTAATATTTACAGTTTAGAGGAAATTGTTGATTATAAACGTATGTGATTAGTAGAATATTGTAAAAGACAACCCACTCTAAATGTAAGATTTCTATCTGTTTTCTTGAGTCTAAGGCAGGATCAGAAGGTTCATGAAGCAGTGTCACACATGGCAACAGCCACATTAAAACAACCAACAGTGCATCCCCTTATTGTTGAGCTCCATTAAAAACAGAGCTCAGATGCTAAGACATCGAGCCTTGAGTAAATGTTTTTGTTCACTGTGTTCTGTACAACTGTAGAGAGTATTTTAATTTATACATATGACCCAAAATTGACCCTGTTTTTATGTTGACATGTTTGGACATTGTGCTCCGCGCAATAAGGTCCCTGCGTCCTGCCAAGCTGAGCTCAGCGCAAGGTCTCGCTTGACATTCTTGCGCGCTGCACTGAAGTCAAACATTTTTCAACTTGGGCGCAGCGCTCCGTGAAGTCACATCCTTGCGTCCAAAGGGGGGGGGGGGGTAGGGGATCAAAAAACGGTGTTCCACTTCCCTGAGCTTTAGTTTACAGACCTACCAGAGAGGAATATGAAGTTTGAAAATAAATGTCCAACAAGTTGGGGCGTAACAGGTGTGTTTAAAACAGCAGCAGAAATGTGTGTCGTGCTTGTGAAGCGGTCGTTATAGAGCTGCCGTTACTGGAGGGGCCTCAGGTCATGTCGGGCCCTGAGGGTTTCATGAACACACACCCTCTCCTCCCTTCATGCCTCGTCTCTTCCTTCCTAGCAGTAGAAAGATCAGAGCTTTCTACTGAATAGTGGACAATACAAACATACTGTGCATCCAAAAAGTCCCTACCGGTATTTCCCCCGACTATCGTTTCTGTCATCCAACAAGGCGCGCCGTTGCTTTTTACTCGTGTGCGCTCCCCTTCTGTTCTGAGCTCTACTCCACGGCGAGCGCAGCGCGCACTGCATCCTATCTGAAAGGCCCTTTAGGGATTGTTTCCATGTCAACCTGTAATAAATATGAAAATAACTCTGTGCTGTGAAAACTTCAGACCCAGTTATCAGAAAAGTCAGTCCACATCGAGTGCTGAAACTTTTGATGTCAAAGGCTGCATTCACACCGCTCAAGTGTGACTCAGATCAGATTCTTTTGTTATGTCAAAGTGGACAGCACAGGTCACTTGATATCACTTCTTTTCAAATTAGATTTGGCCACTTCCATAAGTGGATTCCTACAGGAGTCTGAATCGAGAATGAAGGCTTCAGTGTGAATTCTCAAAGTCTACAACGGCATTTGACAGTTGGACTGGACTTTCATGTCCACTTACATATACTTGCCATTTAAGGCTTTGTTGTTAGCAGAGTTGCTCACCCTAACTGCAAGACAAAATTTCTGCCATCTTGCCATTTATATTGAACTACTGCCGTGGCAATTACTTTATTAGGGCTGAAGAGATTTTTTTTTTTAACTAGTAAGAATGGATTATTTGAAAACATCTTTGTCCCTAACCATGACTGTTGTTTCTCCGTAGGACAAGCCCCCTCCATACTCTCCTCCAGAAGACAAGAAGAACCAGTAGACCCGCTCCAGCTCCTCATACTCCTCTCTCGGTCTCCTGTAATCTCTATCCTCCTGGATCCCCCTCATTTCTCATTCCTCTAACAGATTCCCTCTCTCTTTTTTTTTCTCCCTGTCCTCCTGACAACTCATTCCTTTTGGTTCCAGTTTTCTCCTCATTCCAGTGCTTTACAACATTTCCCATTCCTTCTAATGATTCCTATAATGTAACCAGCTTCGTTCTCTATAGAAGCACCTTTACTCGAGGCAGTTTAGAAGTATTGGTAGCAATCTTTGAGAGAAAAAAAAGAAAGAAAAGAAAGTGGGTCAGACCGACGTTGTTAGGTTTCGGGGGCTTTTTCAATGTTGATGACAAAAACTTTGTAACCTGAGCAGCTGTAATACAATGACTGGCTGTGAGAGAGTCCACCTATACCCCCACATAAAACCATAGATTCAGCTATATTGTGAAGCTCACTCTAACTTTCTATGGCTGTCTATGAAGCTACATACAACCAGATGATGTGAATTAATTTGCTAATCCATTCCGAGGTGATCTGAATGCAGTATTTTATTTTTCTATAATTTGTGTACAGGCTTTTAATATGTAGACTTTTAAAAAAAAAATGCGATATTTTCTCAAGAACACAAAGCTAGAGGAAGAAAAAAAAAAAAAGCTTTTGTAAACAATGCTGACTGCAGGGAGGCCGTGTCTGCCTCGACACGATGAGGACCACAAAGATTAGAGCAGTGAAGCCCTGATCCAGGATTAGGGCAAAGTGAAGGCGACCAGGGCAGTATAGGAGGGACGGACTGCCAGGAAGGATTAAGAGCAGTCACCCAATGATGTCACTTCCGGTTGTGTCATGCCTCTGAACATTCAAGAAAACACACGGTCAGACTCGCAGCAAGCCTGCTTCACCTTTTGATTTGAATCGAAACTCTCCATCTGAGGTCAGTCCTTCAAGCTGATCTAATCACCTCAGTATGTGAACATTGTGTCCTCCCTCTGTGACTCTTCTATATACTGTATCTGTGGCACATCTGTGGCTGATTCTTTGCACTTTCAGAATGCTATGCATCAGGCTCTTCTTTGCTCTGTCATGGCTGTGTGTAAAATAACAACAACAATAATAATAATAATAAGGCTCTCTATTTATTTCAAACTAATTTATTGAACAATTCATGTAAAATGGCTCAACTATGTAAACCAAAGCATGATCTCTACTAATGCTTGTACGCATTGGATTGGATTTTATTAAATTGATCTTGATTCATGTGAACAAGAATGGCTGTCTTTATTTCTACACAGTGGACTGTTTATAAGAAGTGGACGTTGCTTTGTCTTGAAAGAATGGTTAGATTTAGAGTGAAATTAGATGGTAAAGCAGAGTATGCAACCTGTTACAGACAGGTCACTGCTATTGAATCTTCAATGATGGAGCCGTTTTCTGACACTTCAAACAACAGTTTACAAACCAATGGTTGACGTCACCATGCTACGTCCACTTCTTACACTCAGTCTGTGTTCCCCCCCCAACATTAATGGATTCCCACTTTGAACACAGAACAGTGCAACAGCATACTTTACATAAACCTATTCCAGAGTCGGCAGGAGGGCTTATGTTTTATGTCTTTAGGCTCAAGCAGACTGGGAATGTGCTTTTTCCCCTTCTCAGAGTCAGTAGTTCTTTTCTGTGCTTCCGAATAACTTGTGCAAATCCACAGCAGTTTCCCCAAAGACCGATGATGCACCTCAGTGCTCTGAGGGACATGGCCATGCTTAAGTGCTTGTGATTCAAAAAAAAAGGGGGGGGCCAGTAGTGTAGCGGGTAGTGCACGCGCCTCATGTAAAGAGGCTTGAGTCCTCGACAGCGGCCGGCCCGGGGTACAAATCCAACCTGTGGCTCCTTTCCAGCATGCCATTGCCCACTCTCTCTCTCTCCCTCCCCGGATTCTGTCTCTAAAAAAAGGCATAAAAAAAGCCCAAAAATAAATCTTTAAAAAAAAAAGGTTAAAACATTTGTACTGTACAGCAGATTCAATCACAACACTGTCAGCATCACAGCTTCTAGATTGTACAGGCGGGGTCTTCGTGCATCCACACAAACATCCCAATATGATGTGACATTTTCACTTCTGTTTTGTCAGTAGTAATGAACAGCCCGCAGAGATTTAGTTTCACCTACATTGTTCATGGTTCAACAGAGGGGGGGGGGGAGGGTGTTATATTTGTAACAGCAAAATGTCAAATAAAATGATCATGTTCAACGTACCCTGCAGAAACTTAATGTCTATACACATAAAAAAAATAAATGATTAACTGACTCCCATTTTTATGTGGCTCGAATCCCAGAGATTAGATAAAATAAATGAAGAGCAAAAAAAACAACAAGCCAAGTATAACCCAGGAAGAGTGCCAGATTTCCTGACCTCTGAGACGAGCGATTCCTCACGTACAACTTTTCAAATATCTGTGAAAAATGTCCCAACACTCTTACACTTTAATGCTGCACGGACTTACACAAGAGCATAAACTGTGTGGCCCAGGTAGAGTTTGGATCTATTTCCACCTCCATGTTAGAGAAATGGGACTAGATTAAAAAAAAAAACAGAAGTGGTCAACACGTTTGATTCCAGGAGGAACTAAGCCTTATGGCACGCTTGCCATGATAAAGAAGTTGGATGTGACTCTGTATTTCTACTGTTTCAGTGAAGCTTAAGCAAGATGGTTAGCTCAATTGTTAGCGCTCAAAGACTGGGGAAAGGGAAGTAACAGGCGTGTTTCTGTCCAAAGGCAACAAATGTTGATGTAAGAAGGGAAAAAAGCCCAAAGTGTAAAAATGTCAGTTTTTTTTTTTTACAAGATTATGTGTCAGAATATTTCTGGCTGGGGTTACTTTTTGAATTCTCCACTGATTGCTACTAGTTGCCAGGCAACAAGATGCTGAACATGTGAATTAGTGATATTTGTTAGCACTGGTGGTACCGGACTAATATAACCAGTATTTATGCTCAGCTAACCAGTTACAGTTACCAGTAACAGGGGAAATCTGACGTTTGTGCAACACAAGTCTGCAGGACGTACCTTCACCTCTCAAAGAACCTGAGCCACACACAGTGCTCTGTGTCTGGAACAATTCAGGAATGTAATGCAGAAGCTGCCAGGGTAGAAATAGTGCTTTTGTTTTTTTTAACACAGTGCAAACTGATACCTCTGAACTGCTCATGAACTCCTTTTTAAAAGCATACTTTTAAATGAAACCCTGCCATGTCATAATTAGTCATACGCCTGTAAGCCACCCTGAAATATCTGCTCACCGTCTTGCAGGAACACGAAGTGTCCCAGTTGTTCAAAGAGGAGTGAAAGTAAAAGCAGAATAATCTGACACACTGAGGTGAAGAGATTGTTCAATCTCTAACTGAATGCAGACTTGATCATCTAAAATCTAATGTGCGTCATGTCAACTTTGAGAACAAAACAAAACAAAGTAGTGTTTTCCTCTGAAGTGTTCTAATTGTTGAATCTTAAAAAGGGTTAAAAGAAGCAAACAGTTGCTTTTAGCAATTTTCCTAGAGCTAGGGAAGTTTTTCAAAATGTATTTCTTTGTTCAACAGTCAACGGCTCTTCATATCCTCTCATGTAAGACATGGGAAAGCTACAAATACTTCTTTTAAGAAGCTCTCACAATAGGCAGTTATGAAAATAGGTGGCAATAAAATGTTTAGACTGCATCTCTGTAGAATCTCAGTTCTTGCCTTACAGACAAAGAGCTTGTTACCATTTCTTTAGCTATGATATTACATGGAGTAAGGTGAAGATAGTCCGTCGGGGGGAGAAAGCCCTTCACAGTCACTTCTTCATTCAGGCAGTCATTGTAAAGAAATAGAAGATTAAAAAATGTCCTTGATGTTAAAGGGATATTTTTCAACATTGAGTCAACTAGTGCCCGTGTTTCATAGTGCTTCTTATTTCTCCTTCCTTCCCTTTTCTTTCTGAGTTAGCTCATGTGGAGCAGAGGGTTATGCTGACACCCTCTCCTATCCAGCAGGCTGGGAACAGCTCCTGGGTGAAGGCACAGTGGAAGGCGTGCAGCCTGGTCTGCCCGTCTCCGTAGTACGTGAGCGTCCCGGCTTCATAGTCCAGCAGCATGCCGATGCGGCTGTGCTGGGAGTGGCTGACCAGAGTCTCCCTCCGGCCGTTGTGCCAGGCGCTGAGCTGATGCTCGTCCAGCTGCAGACTCCAAGACAGTTCGTTCATACCCACCATGCACCTCTTGCCCTTCTCCTTTCGCGGGATGGTCTCATAGGTTACCTGGTGAGAGGTGGGAGAGGATGTGAGTGGTGTGCAGCAGAAAGGTAACAGGGAGATGCTGGATGCTGTCTACAAACATTAGAATAGATTTTTGTCTCACTCCATTTTTCCTGACCATCAGCCAATCAAATCAATAAGGTTTGAAAAAAATAATAAAAATGGTTGATTACTTCTAAACTTTTTGACGCCACATGTTTCAAAACGATACAATCTACATTACTCTAATGATCAATAGCATTGCTTATATTTTTTGTAAAAAACTGGCGCGCACAGAAAAGACAGAGAGGACTGTCTAAATTGCACAAATATGTTGCAAATGCATTTGTGCAATTCAGACTGTGCAGAAACGTGCCTGAGTTTTTGGGGAAATTAAAAACAGGAAATTACCCATTATTAGGTGTGTAGGACTTATATTTTTCTAGCCATGATTTTATAAAAGGTATTAATATTGTTTTACTAATCAAATCTGGTGTCGTAAAGACAATCCTACAAATTAAAGCTTACTTCTGCCTCCAAGTCAAACTGATTGTTACACCGGCTATAGAAAACAAGGTTGGCAAAGTCTGCAATCTTTTATGCATGCAAGAATTTTCATTTAATTCACTGCCATTTCTCTCAGACACACTGTCATAAAAAAAAGAATTGTACCTTGCCAAATTTCTCAACTAATTTCCTGTATACCTGAATTCTAATGAAGCACTCTCACAAAGATAAGCACAGTTCTTTACCCCAAGGTAGGCCCATGGCTTAGACACCTCCAGCTCCCAGTAGTGCTGTCCCCGGGTGAAGCCCTGAAAGCAGAGCACCTGCCAGGTGTGGTCAAAGCGGGCTGCATTACCCGGGACAGGGCGTGGCCCGGAGGTCAGGTGCTCTGCCCTCCGGTTCTCCATGGACAGACACAGGTGTCCGTTGGCTGTGCGAGGGTCGAAGGTCAATGCACATCGATCTAGTGAAACGAGAAATGAATCAGAAAGATTGCGGCAGGAGCTCATTTCTACAACATGTCATCTTTCCTGGTTTTTGACAGCTGGTCTTTAATGTCACCCGAGCACTGATGCTTTTCGTTTTGCACATTTGCAAACTATTATAAAAAAAAGGGATAACCTATGCTTGGAAAAAAAGATGCCGTCTATAATGTTAGACACGACTTACAAGCATTGAGGCCCTCCTTCCCACCAGGGTGGCACGGAGCAGCTGGACTCGGAACCACAGCAAGGACCGGCCTCTTGTCCTGAGGAGAACCTGCAGACGAGCACAAGCTTGAACATGCAGAGCTAAGACCCAAACAACAGTGGATGTTGTATCCTCAACAAAACCAGGCTAAAGATGGAGGATACATTTAGAAAGCAGATTACCCTCTTTGTCCTGACCTACAGCTGTGCTCACAGCTTTCTCCAGGTCCTCAGACACCAGCTTGGAGACTCGCGTCAGGACGTCTGTGACACCGTTCAATCGCTCGGGAAGGTTTGGCGTCACATTCGTGGGAATATCCTCAAAACGGGGAACTTCTATGAGCAGTGACTCCTGTAAAAACATGTAGAATGAAATGTTATAACTGTACATACTTTATTAATTAACCATTTAATGATGGGAAATACACAGGATGCAGAATCAGGATCCTGTGAACATGCACTGATGGAGAGATTACAGTGTGAGGGGGGCTGCAAATGAAAGAGCGCCCGAGCAGTTTGGTGTGCCGTGCCTTTGCTGAAGGGAAACTCAGCAGAGCTCAGGACGTGACCGGGCACCTCTCCAGTTACCAGACCAAATTCCATACTTTCGTCCGCATCAGGACTTGAAACGGTGTCCCTCCGGTTCCCAACCCCAGCTGGAGAGGTACCAGTTCCCTTCATGAGCACTGCCATGGTGCCTTGAGCAAGCTTAGGAGCGCTCGCTGTGACATCTCTCCATCAGTGCATGTCCATAGGATCCTGTTTGTGCATGTATTTCAGCCTATGTGTGAGAAGCATGTTCAACAACAGAGTGTACAACTGAATTTCCCCTCTCAGGATTTTTTAAGTATATCTTCATAAACACATTTAGCCATTTGTTGAAGTATAAACATACAAGAAGCAAGAAGATAAATGTAGATGTTATATGTACACCAGGATGTGTCATTGTAATATTTGGGGCTGGATTTATTTTATTGGCCTACAGGATGAACCAGATTAATGCAATTCAATTGTCTTTAGAATAGTTTTTAAAAACCTCTTTGACATGTCCGTATAACTTAAACAATCTCTTTTTCCAAAAGTCGACTGTTGGACTGAATGGTGGTATTACATTGCAGTAGTAGATATTTCAATTTCTTCTCTACATTGGCCACAGTATCAAATTCAGTATTCAATAATGTCCTGTTTGTCCTGTTCCAGCTTAAGCACATGAGATGTCTTCTTCATTGTTGTATTTAACACGCTAAAAGAATCCCTTCTGTCCTGCACGTCTGCCTCCAGTGCTCTGCTTCTTGCTCTACGTGTCGCACTTTGGGAGACTCACAACAAAGAAGTGACAATGACTTGCCCTCCATCTTTAAATTTCCCTTCAATAAAAAAAAAGTTGTCAAAATTACAAACAGTAAGTAATTGCTGTAATTTTACGAGTTATTTGCAGAGTTTGATGAGGAATTGATAATCAGTTCTCTAGAATATGGCATTTTAAAATCTTTCAACAGAAACCAAACACAAAGTGTAATCCTGCTTTTTCCGCCACCTAGCAGCAGAATATTCACCTCACTTAATGATTCACTCTATTCCCATGGTTGGGTTTGATTAGCTGTGCAGTGAAGTCTGAGATCATCACCCCTAGCCGCCTGCACAATCTAGACACTCTGGCTTCTTCATGTGTTGGTAGTCTGGAACAGCTTGCTAACAGCTCCCTCACAAGCATTTACACTTGTACAAAAGTTGCATTACAAGTGTAAATTAAGCAAACAGAATATGTGAACTTAAGTTTAGTGTTTTACTCTAAGCCAAAACAAATTGGATTGGAAGTGTAGATCTATGTCTCTTATCCTGGTTGTCAGTTAGTGAGACAACACTGACAAGAGGAATTTCCATATTGCAAAAACTCACATCGGACAGATATTTAAAAAGACTACATCAGGACCATCTCACAGCAGGAGGGTAACAAGTGAACTCAGCATCAAATATGTAGAAACATGTAGCAGAAGATGACAGCACATCCAACAGTCACTTTTTCCTCAGACAAAATGCCCTGCAGTGAAATTTCTCTCCATATTCAAATGATGTGTCATTTGTAAAGACTGGAGTGGTACGAACCTTAATAAGCTCTATGTCAGCGAGGCTTTGAACAGCTGCTATTTGTCCCTGACAATCTCGGAGGATCTGGGAGCGTCCCTCAAGTTCGGCAAGCCGTACCTCCGCCTCTGCGATGGCAGACTCTTTGTGCTCCTCAATGAAGAGCTCGGTGGCCTCCTGCTTCTCAGCCAGGATTTTTATCAGGGTGGAGAACTTGACATTGACCCAGGTGGAAGTCTGCTGAAGAGTTTCCTGTTGAAGGAAAATGCAGGGTCATTTTTTTCCTGAAAAACACATGGTTAACTGTGTCCAATCGCTATGACTTTTTCTATACTATGAAGCGAGTTCAACATACCCAGGCGTCTTTGGGTTATCTGGCTTCACTAATCCTGACATAAGAGATCGTGCTTAACAGTCACTCGAAGCTGGTTGTCAACCTGATGAGCGTTTCCAAGAGCACGTTCACATAAAAGGGGCGGAGTTAGCTTCATTTAACCTATCACGATCATCACTGAGTCTGCCGTCAGCAGATCGTCATATCTACCAAACTATATTAAAAATGTAAAGACGTTTGAGACAAATAGGCTCACAAAGATTAAGGTTACAGCTGGACCAACAAATGCAGGCACAACTGGCAAAAAAAAAAGGGGAACAATCTCAGAGCTTGAATGTGCAAACTACGGCTTATTAAAAAAAATTGCCCATCATTAGTTCCCCTTAGAACTGACTATAATAACTCCTGTTTTTTTCCCTTAACGTATTGCGTTGCTCGGACTCTTTCAGGTGGCGTGTATAACAGTTTGAGAAGTTTCAGCTGCAGCTCTGACGATAACAGACAGAGAGGCATGGAGACACTAAACATTAATATGAACATGTAGCTTAATTCAAAGCCATAAGAGGGCTATTTGTAATTTTACATCTTAAAAACATAACTAAAGGCTCCGGTGCTTTTTCAGTCTTTGTTAAATCATGCCAGACACATGAAGTGTTGGTCGCTCTCTCTCCCTCCTCCCCTCTCTCGGATCAGCTCACAGAGCTCCCCGATCAAGAGATCTGATTGGTCAGTGGGCGGAGATTTTCACAGGTTGAGCTCTTAGCTCGAACTAAACCTGTTCCAGAGCAGGTTATAGCTGTGCAGCACAAGTTACCATGGCGATATACCCACCAGATAAGAAGTGAACCACCTTCGCAGGACTGAAAACCTCGCTAACCTCAAATCCTGCTTCGTAGTTCAGGCTCCTGGTCTTTGTATTAATCCACAATACCAGAACTTGTTTTTTGAGGTTAAACTTTGTCTGTTTGCACCTGAACGTTTCTTAATGCATAACCATGATGTGGGGGCGCTGCAAGTCTAGAGGCTATGTCGTACGTCTTGAAAATAATAAACAGATCAATACAAAATGAAAACAACTTAGTTGCAGCATTTTTTTTGCAACGAGATGAATGAGCTGTCTTGAAAAATAGTTTTTAATTGTTCGACAGTGGCAGGAAGTGCTGAGTCGTACCACTGTGGTTAGCCTCAGGGAGCTAACACTGCTTGAAAACGGTGGCTTCAATTTCAACTAGGATCCATTTGAAACACAAGCAGGTATGGTTTACTTTTGTTTAAACTTTATCGAACAAGAAAAATGAATCATTCAGTTTGAGTTTTGTTATCGTCCTTATGATAAAACTTGCAGCATTTCACCTGCTTTTTGATAAAGTGTCTTGAGATAACATTTGTTATGAACTGGCGCTACACAAATACAGATTGATGATGACGATTTCAGACTGTTTTGCATCTGCCTGCTCGCACAAAAATCTATTGAAGCAAGTCAATGCTGTGTTTTAAAACCCAAAATAACTCAACCTGAACCCAGGTGAAAACATTGGAATTTGTTTCTCGTTCTTTTCTCACTTGCCAGAGAGCAAATGCATTCCAAGTCGTGAACAGTGAGACCATAAGGCAACTTTCACATAAGATAGAGCTTTAGTACAGAACTTACCTTGGCTTGATCGATATTATCAGCCAGGTCCTTAATATTCTTTTCCGTTTCCTCCATGAGTTTCCCCAGCTCCTTATGCTTTCTTTCTAGCAGCATCTGTAAAGAAAACCAGAATTTCAGACAGCAGGCTTCACCAAGTCACAATGAATGCGTGTGCAACTGTGGTACTGAAGTAAAGTGTGTAATAACTAGTGTGACAATCCATGCTAAAAACAAGCAGCTGTGGTGACCCTGTGTTATTATACCTCTTGATATTCCCTTTCCACCTCCAACAAGACCTTCTCATGGTTCAGACACTCAGAGATGCCACACTCGCAGCACACAGACATCCTGTCCTGCCTGCAGTAATACACCAGAGGCTTTTTATGGCGATCACAAAGCAGCATGGCTCTGGCCCCTTCACTCCCCCTCATCGGTGACTCTCTACTGGAGGGCCCTGTGCTGTTCGCAGCCTCAGTCAGGACTGACAGAGACACATTACGCTTGAGGATGGGCCTGGAGGCAAACTTTTCATTGCACATGGGGCACTGGGGTCCAATGTCAGACTTGCTCTTGGTGTCCCAGTGAATTGTGATGCATGTTTGACAGAAGGTGTGACCACAGGGGATGGTTACTGGGATTCGGAAACGGTCCAGGCATATGGCACACATTAGGTTTGAATTTTGAGACTCCATCTCCGAAGAAAAAGCAGAATCCTCTCCCCCTAAAAAAAAAAAAAGAAAAAAAGAAGAACATATGTTGTTGATGATGTGACAGAACACATCAGTGTATTACATCTCTATCACACAATAGCTGTCATGTAACTTAGCTGCTTAGCCACTGTGGATTTGAAGAGAAGACAGATTATATAACCCAGTGTTTGTTAAAGTCTTTGGTCAGACTGTCCTACAACAATAAGCAGCAACACAAAGCTCAGCCCAAACCAACACCGGCTACCACATAATAACCTAGCCAAGTGGAATGAATAGCTAACGCTAGCCAACTTTAGCCTGGGATCGGGTCTGTATCCGTTTTCTGTTACTTTTTGGGATAAATAATGGACAATATATTCAAATAGCCTCGCATTTTAACTGTAAAATAGCGGAAATGAATAAACCCACTGCATAAATGTGATACAATTATCGATACAGTATCTGTTCTTACCACTTCATGCACAGCATCTGAGAGAACACTGAAGAGCGTCAAATGAAGCTTCACTGATGACGTCAGACGCACAAATGCTGCCTTCGCGTGTCGACGGAAAAAACGGGTAACATGGGTTTTTACAGTTTTACACTAAATTTGTAACAGTGCTTTTGACCGTTTAAAGACATTTATATACTGAATTGTGACATTGGTTAACAGTAACTAATGATCTATTATAAAACAAAAACTAAGACGTTTATATCTTTATATATTTTAATCATCTTTGTTATATCAATCTCTTTCTAGGAGACCGACAACAGTCTAAAAGTAAACACACATATTTTGTTTCTTAAATAGATAATGTTATAGAAGCAAATACAGTCCCACCAAAATTATTCAGGAATGGGCAATGGCAGCTAAACATCAGTAACTGAAGCTGGACTAAACATAGCAGCTCCTTAGGGCCCCTACTGCATCATAGACAGACTGTAAATATTGAGCGCACACATTTTCCGCTCCTCCTGGCCACCGTACTCTCAAAAAAAAAAAAAAAAAAACTCATTCCAAGATGGCGCTGCGCACGGTCTGCGCTTCGGCATTGCGTACTGGTGCAGATTTAGGGGTCAACAATGCGAGGACAATTGCTACAACAGGTATTGTAATAATTTTGTCTAACTATTTTGAGTTTTATATCTGGTAACTTTGCTGTCGGGCCTCAGCGCTGTATGTACGCTGTGAAGGCATTCTGTAAACTAACACAGCAGACCTCCGTGTGTCATGCTCCTCATTCTGACAAACCAAAATACATTATAACAATTATTCTGAATTATGTCATGCAGTAGATGAGAAAGGAAATATTTTCTGAAAAGAATTGGAGGACATTAAGTAATTATCTGTGTGTGTGTGTGTGTGTGTGTGTGTGTGTGTGTGTGTGTGTGTCTGTGTGTCTGTCTGTGTGTCTGTCTGTCTGTCTGTGTGTGTCTGTCTGTCTGTGTGTCTGTCTGTGTGTCTGTGTCTGTCTGTGTGTCTGTCTGTCTGTGTGTCTGTCTGTGTGTGTGTCTGTGTCTGTCTGTCTGTCTGTCTGTGTGTCTGTGTGTCTGTCTGTCTGTGTGTCTGTCTGTCTGTCTGTCTGTCTGTGTGTCTGTCTGTCTGTGTGTCTGTCTGTGTGTCTGTCTGTCTGTGTGTCTGTCTGTCTGTCTGTCTGTGTGTGTGTCTGTCTGTGTGTGTGTGTGTCTGTCTGTCTGTCTGTCTGTCTGTGTCTGTCTGTCTGTCTTATTATGGCATCAATCATACGATTGTTATGACTGATATTGACACCTCGATTACTAAATATGTTTAGGCTACTCATCTACATCACATTCATTAATCAGACTTAAACACTCTTAACATAAAACATAATATAGTAAACAAATGTCAAAAATAAAGATAGTGGTGATGTAGCCTATAACAACAAACACTTTGATACACTGACCCCTCATGACAAAACGTATGATCTTAACGAGCACAACATTGCTGATCACTTAACCTCGATCATCTTGTTTTTCATGATTGTGGGAAGCCAAAATCAGTGACCATTGACAGTAAAAATGATATCATATTTATTGTGTTTGTTGTAAATACACATATGATTAAAAAGATTAAAGAGATGATTGTGTGTTATTTACAAACTAACCAGTTGGGGGTGTTTTCTGTACAACAGCATTCCTCTGCATTCGGAGGGCTCCTTTGGGTAAAATGCCAAATGAGGACGTTGATGTTGAAAACCTGGAATCAGTAGAGAAGTATCGCAGCTACACTCGTTACCTCAGACAAGCTAAAGAAGCGGATAACAAACCTGCCTGGTGGAAGACCTTCAGGAGCTACGTGGAAGCAGCTGATCCTGAGCATGGTGAGGAATGAAGGAGGAAGCTAGTGTTGGACGTGTTTTCCTGTGGCGGCGCTGTGCTGTGAATATTTCACAGCACAATAACAAAAAAAAAATAATTGTTGAGTTCTCAGTTAACATGACTCTTGGTATTTTGCAGGTGCTGAGCGAGTGGACATTGGACTGTCATACTATCGACCCAGTAGGACCAAAGAAGTGAAGGAGAGGAAGCAGGTGGTGAAGCAAAACAAGAAGAACGTCGAGTTGGAGAGGGCCGCCCGTCTCTGCACTTGTAAGCTCTCGCATACCTTCACCATCCTTCAATACTAAAGCTTTGAAGTATAACTGAATAAACCTTTCTATTTGTCTCACCAGTAAAGATCCCTCTTGAGCGTGTGCAGGAGGCCTGGGAGAAAAGCAGCGGCCCGTTTCAAATAAAGAGAGTAGCAGATCACTACGGAGTCTTCAGGGATCTCTTCCCCATGTCCTGTTTCCTACCTCAAGTCCCACTCCGCGTCGGCTATGGCCAGGACAAAAGTCGTCAAGTGTATTATGGTAATCGGCTGACACCTACTGAGGTACGTTAAATTACCGTCAAAGCTTTAATCTAGTGCCTTTTCTGCTCTGTAGCCACCTTCATATGTCTGCCTTAACTGTTTTCTAAACCTAGTCTCGGTTGCTCTTTTCTTCAGGCGGCGTCCGTCCCTCAGATCAGCTTTGATGCAGAGGAGGGCTCCATGTGGACTCTTCTGCTCACTTGTCCAGGTTAGCATCAACTTTAATAAGTAGCTCCGAATCCCTGGATTGTAATTACCAGAGGTTCTCTGAGCTGTCTTCAAGAAAAGGAGGCAACACAGATGTCTAAATGAATCGTCAGCCGGTATGGACTGAAAGAAATCTTTCTATCTTTCACAGATGAGCATCTTCTGGATAATGAGGCTGAATACATTCACTGGCTAGTGTGAGTACGTCTACTACGTTTTGTTGGCCGAAGTGCTCTCACAGGGGAGGTGTGGAAAAAAAAGAGGACAATTTTAAGCTTTACATCATGGTATATTCTGCAATACGACTTGGTTTCTGTTCATGTTTCGACTTATTGCGGGCCACTTCTTTGAGTGTAATAATTTGTCACAACATGTTGTGATAATGACAGAAGCCTGAAGAAACAAAATGAGTCTTAACTTCAACATCAAAATACGGTTCTGACAGTAAATAGAAGCTCTTCGTTGGGTCTGCAAGCTGCTAATGTCATCCCAGCTTGTTTCTGGGAGCTGGTTTGTTTTTCCTTCCCTCGTGTGTAGTTCACATGCAAGTCAGAGACTGCAGACAAACTCAAGTCTCTACTTCTGCTGTGTAGTAGGCTGTATGAAGCAGAGCGGGATTTTCTGAAACAACTTCACCAACTACCTAGGTGAATGAAGAGGGAAAGGCTTGAAGAGGTCATAAAGCTCCAGCAACACTTGTAGAATGGATGACCCTGATGAAGGCCACAAGCCAAAACGTGTCTGTCTAACATGATACTAAAACTGAGCATCATACTGCAAGTGATTTTGGAGCTTATGACCTCTAGTAGACTGTACGATCTATCCATATCAAGTAAAAGTTTGCAAAATGATTATTTTTCGATTATGAGGCAACTTTTATTGTTACCGCACTTCTACTATTATCACTTATTTAACCCTCCATAGTTAACATAACCGTAGATTTCTTGAGTCTTACCCACTACAGCCTGTAACCACCTGTGTGTGTCCGTCTGTAGAGGAAACATACCTGGAGGAGCAGTGCAGGCCGGAGAGGAGCTGTGTCACTACCTGCCCCCCTTTCCTGCCAAAGGGACCGGCTTCCACCGCTACATATACGTCCTCTTCAAGCAGGAGGGACACATCGACTTCCAGGAGGACGTCAGACCATTGCCATGGTGAGCAATACACTCACCACACGGACGAGAAGATGATGTCATTGATTTAAACTTCTCCTTACGCTACTGCAAAACATAAGTGCTTGTTAGAGCCATGGAGTAGGGGGAAAGCTGGTCACATGATATGGGTGGGGATATTGTTTTAATTTAACTCACCCGTTCACATTTTACTCTCAGAGGAAGAGAGAGGGTGAGCTGGGTCGCTATTGTTTTTGTTGACCACTATTGTTTTTGGCTCACTCTGATTACTTTGATTTTGAGTCAATGTATGTCATCATAAGTCAACTATCTTTTTTTAAAATAAATTAAAAGTCAAACTTATTTTCTTAACTCATAATGCAGGGAAAAGGTACTAGGCCCAATCTCAGCCTCTCAGCGGCTTCAATTTTTCAAAAAGTCTCTTCAAATGCTCTGTAATAGTTCTAACTCACTCCAACCACTCAAGCTTAACTTGAGTACCCAATGAGTACCCTTAGCTTAGCTCTTATATTGCTGCATATGAACCCTGTCATTAGCATATGAAAAAACACATTGCAGATAAAGGGACATTTCATGTAATAAAGCCAAGTCATATGAGTTCAAGTGTCATCAGAAGTGGTTGTAAAATGTGTCGACTTAATTACAAACAAAGTCACTTAGCTTATGTTGCCTTTCCTCCCCAGCCACTCTCTGGTGGATCGTACATTCAAGACTGTGGATTTCTACAGAAAACACCAGGACAACATGACACCTGCAGGCCTGGCCTTTTTTCAGAGCCAGTGGGACGAATCAGTCACCAACACCTTCCACGACACACTCGGTGAGTCGCTCACACTGATTCTCACAGACCCTGCTCTACTTACAATGTATTCAAACAAATAAAAAAAATAAAAATGTTTTCATGACATGCACTTCCAGACATGTATCTTGCCTAGATTGTAGGACAAAATATTCTGTGTGACAGTCTGTATTTGAATAATAACGCCTGAGTGTTGTTTTCATTCTCTGCAGACATGAGGGAGCCGGTGTTTGAGTTCATCCGGCCTCCAGTGTACCACCCTCCACAGGTCAAGTACCCTCATGGACAGCCGCTACGCTACCTGGACAGATACAGAGGTGGAAAAGAGCACACCTTTGGAATCTATTGATCATGAAACACATTCAAAGAGCTTCACATCGGAAATTGTGTTTGGTGTATTTATGTAAAAACCAATAAAGCATTTTTAGTACTCGCATCAATTGATGCTGAAGGTTTGAAAGTCTGTCTTGTAGTAAGCATGATATTTAAAAAAAAACTTTGTATTCAAAAGATGGGTGAAGGTGAAGTCAGAGAAGTCAGAAGCTGCTCTTCTGGAGTGACCTCCAACCTTCTTTGTCCGATGTACCCGGACATCACCACTTATGACCTCAGGTACTCATTTAAACTGACATGAAGTGAACACAGCTTACTAAACATACTTAAAACCTTTTTTTAATATATATTTAATGTAAATGTTACACAGGATTAGCCTTTTAGTGCCACAGTAAGGGGGAAGAAAATCTGAGATTTTGAGATTAAAGTCATGAATTTATGAGAATAAACTTGTAAGAGAAGAAAGCTGTTCTCAAAATATCCAATTAGTTTAGTTGGGGCTTTACTTACACAGATATCGAACTACACGTTCAGCATCACATGGTCATTAGTAGCCTATCAGGATCCTGACAAGATACTGCAACAAACGGGGCTTTTTTGAAAAAACAACAACCCGTTATGTCTTGCAGGAAATTGACTTTTTTTGTGCCATAGGAAATAAATGGCTCTGAGGTTTCCCCTTTCTTCATTTTTGTGCAGGCAGATGTCCCCTGTTTTAATACAACCTTTCAGAATAATACTTAGCCTAATTTAAATCGATTTACAAATTTTATATCGTAAATTAGCGACTTTGTTCTCGTAAATTTACAAATTTAATCCGTAATGTTAATTCTGGGCACTACCTTCCCCAGAAATAATGTGAAGAAGTGTTTAGAAACATCTCCAGATCTTTTAGGAAGTCATTCTTGGGTATGGGTAGTTACACCCACATCACTTACAGTAGGTGCAGGCCAGTTCAAGCAGCAGACTGAGGAAGAAGTTAAGCCTGCACTCAAAAGCCACAAAAAGTATCAAAACTTGTGTTTCGCTCTAATAAAGGTTTTGGGATATGGAATCCCTATTAAGGTTGTGTATGTTGGTATTAAAGAGTATTGTATCTGTGTAAAATAAGGTTGCATGTAAGAGAAGTATAGAAAAGTGATGCCTTCCTTTAAGTAGAACCTTCCAGTTACTGTCTTTAGAAAACAATAAGTTAACCTAATTTGTCAATATTTGTCCAGGGTGGTATTCCTGCACACTGTGTACTTTTTATTTCCAAACTTTATGTTTGACATTTTATGATGGAGATTTAGTAGGGCCATGTTTTTTTTTTATGAAAGGGAATCTGTAAAATCTGCATTTCTTTTAAACCACTAGATGTCACAGTTTTAGTTTTTGCAGAAACACATGGAAAGCACCTGAAGCGTTATAAGGCTCCCAGCCTTTACTTCTTGTAAGCACATGGAGGTTGGTGACCTCACATCAATATTTGCAGAGATTTGACCTCAAATTGTGTCTGAGTAGATGCAAGGCTGGCCATAAGAGGGGATGAAAGGGAAAGCTGTCGGTGCCCAGTCACATGGGGAGGGCCCATGGAGGTTTGCAAAAAAACATGGTCTATCCTAATTTTAAGCAACGATGACCACATTTTATTTTACAGTGAAATACTCACCATGACCTCTAAAAGCAACAAAAACACACACTTATGTATTGCATTAGTATACACCAATGTGTTGCTGACTAAAACTTATTTTAGTCAGCTCTAAAGGCTGACGGGAGCCAGGCAGAGGGAGCTAATATTAGCCAGGAGGCTAGTGCTAACAGTACTGATCCAATGTTCATATGTTGATTTGAATTATAGAGAGAGAGAGAGAGAGAGAAAAAGAGAGAGAGAGAGAGTTACAATTACAGCTGATTGGCAACAGCTGTACCACTTGCTTGATGAGCTTTATAAAGTCAAGCACGTGCACCAGGTATCATTTTATTTCTTGGTGATTGAAGCAATGGGAGCTGTTTGGGTCTTTCATTTTTGTGTCCTGACTGTTTGGCTTGCCAAAGGTATTTATATTTCTTCTTTTGTATGTTGTGCTTCAAGTATCACGCCCATTTGATTAATACTAAATGCATTGTCTTTAGGTTCTTGTTGGCTAGCTACTGACACAAAAGGAAAACGGAATAATGGTAAGGAGGACAAAGTAACAGGTGATGATATCAGTGACTAAATATTAAGTGAGTTACTTTCTGATCATCTTTTTGTGCCACAGATCTGTCTGATCAGCTCTCCATAAAGAACGCCCTTGAACGTTTCCAGTTAAAGGAGATTGCGTTGGAGCAACGTGCTGCTGAAGGTTAACAATTTATGTTGTTTTTCTTTGTCTATTTGATGTGGAAGTCCAGTAACATTGATGCTGGAACATTTAACCATCGTCCCACATTCACTGCTCTTAACTTGCAACACCTTCCAGTATTTACAGAGGCTTTTAGTCTGTGTAGAAACAGGAAATGAGAAGTTTAAAGAGCCTTTTTAATATTTTGTCTGGTGTTTTATCTACTCTCACTATGCCAAACCACCTCATTGAAACTTAATTGGCCATGCGTTACAATATTTTGGAGGAAGTCGCCTGTCTGATAACACAAGTTATCGGGTTTGTGGAGAATCTTATTAAATGTGAATTGACATGTTGTTAAACTTTGCTGCGCCCCTTGAGTTCCAGTAGTTAACATCCTCCTCGTTCATGTATTTAATTCCTATAGTGGCCCTAGGTATGTGGTAACCAGCCACATGTATTTTGCTGAAGTTGCTATCCTCATGTATACTTTTGCTGTGGCCCGAAACTTAAAAGAGCACGTTTAAAGATGTTCACAGCTTGCACTCTAAACCTGGTGGAGAAACTTGGCTTAGTTTATTAGGAGAAAAAGAATAGATTCAATTTAATTTCTAACTTGTTCTTCACTTTCAGTACAACTGGAAACCAATCAAGTGGAAACTCAGGCTGTAGTTGGCCATGTGAGGCTTCAGGAGAAGCTTGAGACCAGTCCCAACCAGCTCAAGACCAAGGGAAATAATCTTCAGCTGGAACAGCAGAAGTTGAGTTATGGACCCAACATCAAACGCGAACGCACCCCCCACACAAACGTGACGCAGGGCGACAGCAACGGCAACACCAACATGACGTTGGCCGACGGCAACCCCAACAGCAACGCGACGTTGGCCGACGGCAACCCCAACAGGAACGCGACGTTGGCCGACGGCAACCCCAACAGGAACGCGACGTTGGCCGACAGCAACCCCAACAGCAACGCGACGTTGGCCGACGGCAACCCCAACAGCAACGCGACGTTGGCCGACGGCAACCCCAACAGGAACGCGACGTTGGCCGACGGCAACCCCAACAGGAACGCGACGTTGGCCGACGGCAACCCCAACAGCAACGCGACGTTGGCCGACGGCAACCCCAACAGCAACGCGACGTTGGCCGACGGCAACCCCAACAGCAACGCGACGCTGGCCGACGGCAACCCCAACAGGAACGCGACGCTGGCCGACGGCAACCCCAACAGGAACGCGACGCTGGCCGACGGCAACCCCAACAGGAACGCGACGCTGGCCGACGGCAACCCCAACAGGAACGCGACGTTGGCCGACGGCAACCCCAACAGGAACGCGACGCTGGCCGACGGCAACCCCAACAGGAACGCGACGCTGGCCGACGGCAACCCCAACAGGAACGCGACGCTGGCCGACGGCAACCCCAACAGGAACGCGACGTTGGCCGACGGCAACCCCAACAGGAACGCGACATGGGGCGACAGCAACTTCAACGCTACGTCGGGCAACAGCAACCCCAACATGGAGAGAAAATTTAAGAAGAGTTCATTTGCATCACAGATGTTTCTGCATTTACCTGCTATGTCTTTTTACATAAAATGGTTAAATGGTATATTCTGCTGCCTCAGGTTTTATTTCAAGATGAGTTATGACATATTACACTGCCAACAGCTCTGGTCCCTTATTTAATAACCTGTTACTCTTGACTGGTATAGCATTCTGGGTCACATGCAACCTTAATTCCAGTTAACTTGGATAAGGTGCAAGACTACCTTGGCGTAAGAGTCTAGAGGGACTTGATATCCTTTTTTTTTTTTTTTTTTTTTTTTTTTTTTTATTTATTTTTTAAAACAATTATCCGAAAGCATTAAGGAGTCACAGTAAAATTAAGTGACTTGACTGACTGCACTGCTAGTACCACAAACTCAATTTCCTGGTAATTAATTTAGACAGGCTGATTGCTCCAGCTGAAATGTATTTTACTATTATTATTATTTTTTTTGGATTAAAACTTGTTAAACCAAAGATGACTCACCTAAGCATCACTGGGCATACTGGAGTAGAATTTGTCCCCGTTCCAGCATCAGCCAAAGTCACCCAAAAGATGCATTGAATTTGGACCCTCTGTTACAATCAAAGATTGTAATCATGGAACATTACTCCCAGTGGGACTTGTGATTCCTCTTCAGTCTTGGATGTCCTCTCCACCACTAAAAATGTTTGAAAGGAACAATGAATCTCCACTGTTTAACACAAAGTTAAACTGAACGGATATCAACCTATCAGTGTATTAATAAATTTCACCTGCTTTGGTGCAAATGAAAGTAACTGGTGCAATGGAGAGTAAAAATCAAGGTAACCCAAGGAATTGGATTTTGCATGTGGTGGTTGCAGACAATTGCTCTCTCCTTATCCTTCCTGACTGTTCTCAATTTTGTGTTCTGCTGCTGTCCTTATTACTGGTAGCATTAGGTGGTAACTGCAGCCCTATCAGGTTGCATAGGAAGTCCAGATCCCCACAGGGTGGCTTATTAATACATGTGATCACAAGAAGGTTTACGGTCTCCCAGCACATTGTCAATAAAATAGAGATCCCCAAGTACAGCATCTGTTGACTCATCAGGGTCAGGCATGCTAAGATGCTGAAATATACACAATGAAGATTAAATTCACACAAAGGCTGTGATTCCAATTTGTTACTTAGATTTCCGGTGTGGTTTTGAATCCTGCCCTCAATGGGTTGATGACTTGTATTTTCTTTGTAACCTTATATTTTTCTCAACAAATTATAATATGTACATCAGCAAAGATTTTCAATTCGACTGATTTCTTCATCGAGATCTGATGTATGGTACATTAGTGTTCCCTACATTTCTTTAAGCAGCGTACAACCACATGGCAGCTGTAATGAATTGTGTACTACTCTTAGTTTATCTATTGCAGCATAATAAATACAAAGCTTGTTTGAAATTCTCACTGCATTACAACAGAACATGTTTTTGGGGAACCGGATAGTGACAATAAATTAATGGTCATGATATATTTAGAACTAAACTTCATATTTTTAAATATTATTTAATATATAAATTAGGAGGCTTGGTATTGATTGTGGAGCCCACAGCATGTATACCTAAGCTCAAAGAACTTGATGTAATTGGTTGGGAACATTTCATTTTTTTCATGACCTCAGAGAAAAGGGTAGTTATACCCACATCACTTACAGTAGGTGCAGGCCAGTTCAAGCAGCAGACTGAGGAAGAAGTTAAGCCTGCACTCTTGCTCAAAAGCCACAAAAAGTTTCAAAACTTTCTGAAGAAGACCTCAAAGTTTTCTCTCTTGTATCTTCAATCTTCATTTTCTTTACAATCCACATTATAAGTAAGCAAAATCTCTGCCACAACAGCTGTGCTGGGGGTAGTGTTGGAACATGGACACCAATAACTACCACAGCTATAGGGCATCTATCCTAATTTTAAGCAACGATGACCACATTTTATTTTACAATGAAATACTCACCATGACCTCTAAAAGCAAAAAAAAACACACACTTCCCATCAGCCTTTAGAGGCTAAAACTTATTTTAAACTTATTTTAGTCAGCTCTAAAGGCTGACGGGAGCCTGGGAGGGCTGATTCACTGGGCCTTTCAGGGAACCAGCCATTTCTGCAGGCGAGCTTTAGTAAAAAAAGATGTAAAAAAGCAGCACTATAGCAACAAAGAAAACAAAAACAGATAAAGCAGCCTAAATTGTTTTCAAGCAGAGGTCGTTATTAAATATTTGTATCATGATTTATTTTATACTGGTGGATTAGATAAGAATATTTTGTATTTTGTGTTGTCATTTTTAATACTTTTCCTAATGAATCCATCTCATTTCAGCCTCAATAAAAAAAACCTAATGGTTAATAAAAAGGGATCTGTATTTAATTTGAGAAACAATTTCCCCTGAAGCTTAAGAGACACATGTTGCTGCCAATTTTAGGTCAGCAATGGACAATTGTTTACGTGCATGCAACTAAGTTGTAAATGGTATAGTGCTTTTCTAGTCTTCTGACTACTCAAAGCACTTTTACACCGCATGTCACACCTACACATTCATACACATTTGGACTATCAACTCTACCAACTGAGTCACAGCCACCCCTACAAACACTAGTAGCTGTCTATAATTAAAAACTAATATTTATCAGAAATTTAACATCCACCACTGCTCTAGTAATGTTGGGGTTGGCTGGTCTGCCTTCCTTGTATACATAATTGGTCATTCATTTTCAGAGGGCTCGTTCAAAAGGCTTTACACCTTTTAAATAAGAGTTTAATACAAAATATAAAATAAAAAATGAAGAGAAATAAAGCATAAAAGCATAAAGCAATCTCACCTAGTCCTGTGTGTGTGTGTGTGAGAGAGAGAGAGAGAAAAAGAGGAGAGAGAGAGAGTTACAATTACAGCTGATTGGCAACAGCTGTACCACTTGCTTGATGAGCTTTATAAAGTCAAGCACGTGCACCAGGTATCATTTTATTTCTTGGTGATTGAAGCAATGGGAGCTGTTTGGGTCTTTCATTTTTGTGTCCTGACTGTTTGGCTTGCCAAAGGTATTTATATTTCTTCTTTTGTATGTTGTGCTTCAAGTATCACGCCCGTTTGATTAATACTAAATGCATTGTCTTTAGGTTCTTGTTGGCTAGATATTGACACAAAAGGAAAACGGAATAATGGTAAGGAGGACAAAGTAACAGGTGATGATATCAGTGACTAACTTTTAAGTGAGTTACTTTCTGATCATCTTTTTGTGCCACAGATCTGTCTGATCAGCTCTCCATAAAGAACGCCCTTGAACGTTTCCAGTTAAAGGAGATTGCGTTGGAGCGACGTGCTGATGAAGGTTAACAGTTCATGTTGTTTTTCTTTGTCTATTTGATGTGGAAGTCCAGTAACATTGATGCTGGAACATTTAACCATTGTCCCACATTCACTGCTCTTGACTTGCAACACCTTCCAGTATTTACAGAGGCTTTTAGTCTGTGTAGAAACAGGAAATGAGAAGTTTAAAGAGCCTTTTTAATATTTTGTCTGGTGTTTTATCTACTCTCACTATGCCAAACCACCTCATTGAAACTTAATTGGCCATGCGTTACAATATTTTGGAGGAAGTCGCCTGTCTGATAACACAAGTTATCGGGTTTGTGGAGAATCTTATTAAATGTGAATCGACATGTTGTTAAACTTTGCTGCGCCCCTTGAGTTCCAGTAGTTAACATCCTCCTCATATATTTACTTCCTATAGTGGCCCTAGGTATGTGGTAACCAGCCACGTGTATTTTGCTGAAGTTGCTATCCTCATGTATACTTTTGCTGTGGCCCGAAACTTAAAAGAGCACGTTTAAAGATGTTCACAGCTTGCACTCTAAACCTGGTGGAGAAACTTGGCTTAGTTTATTAGGAGAAAAAGAATAGATTCAATTTAATTTCTAACTTGTTCTTCACTTTCAGTACAACTGGAAACCAATGAAGTGGAAACTCAGGCTGTAGTTCGCCATGTGAGGCTTCAGGAGAAGCTTGAGACCAGTCCCAACCAGCTCAAGACCAAGGGAAATAATCTTCAGCTGAAGTGGAGTGACAGCCCCAACATAAACCTGACTTTCGGCGACAGCAACCCCGAAAGCTACATGAATGACTTCACCGGGATGTCTAGTGACAGCAACTTCAACGTGACGTCTGGCGACGGCTACTTCAACGTGACATCTGGTGACAGCAACTTCAACGTGACGTCTGGCGACAGCTACTTCAACGTGACTTCTGGCGACAGCAACTTCAACGTGACGTCTGGAAACAGCAATTTACTGAAGACTTCTGGAGACAGCAACTTCATCGAGACGTCTGGAGACAGCAACTTCATCGAGACGTCTGGAGACAGCAACTTCATCAAGACGTCTGGAGAAGGCAACATCATCATGACGTCTGGAGACAGCAACTTCATCGAGACGTCTGGAGACGGCAACATCATCGTGACGTCTGGAGACGGCAACTTCATCGAGATGTCTGGAGACAGCAACTTCAACGCGACGTTGGGCGACAGCAACTTCAACGCGACGTTGGGCGACAGCAACTTCAACGCGACGTTGGGCGACAGCAACTTCAACGCGACGTTGGGCGACAGCAACTTCAACGCGACGTTGGGCGACAGCAACTTCAACGCGACGTTGGGCGACAGCAACTTCAACGTGACGCTGGGTGACAGCAACCCCAACAGCAACATGACGTCGGGCGACAGCAACTTCAACGCGACGTTGGGCGACAGCAACTTCAACGCGACGTTGGGCGACAGCAACTTCAACGCGACGTTGGGCGACAGCAACTTCAACGCTACGTTGGGCGACAGCAACCCCAACATGGAGAGAAAATTTAAGAAAACTTGAAGGGGGTTCTAGACCAGAAAGTAAGGCTGGCCAGAAGAGATGTGTCTCAAATAACTTTTTGGAGATTCCAAACCTTAAGTCAACCTTGTCAAAATCAGGATCTGAATTGGTCTATTGAGACTCATTCAAGTAGGGAATAGGTTGTGGGATCCATGCAAGAGTTCATTTGCATCACAGATGTTTCTGCATTTACCTGCTATGTCTTTTTAAATAAAATGGTTAAATGGTATATTCTGCAGTCTCAGGTTTAATTTCAACATGAGTTATTACATGTATTACACTGCCAACAGCTCTGGTCCCTTAATTAATAACCTGTTACTCTTGACTGGTGTAGCATTTTGGGTCACATGTAACTTTAACTCCAGTTAACTTGTCTAAGGTGCAAGGCTACCTTGGCATAAGAGTCTAGAGGTACTTAATTTCCTTTTTTTTTTTTTTTTTTTTTTTTTTTAAAACAATTATCCAAAAGCATTAATGAGTCACAGTATAATTAAGCACCTTGTGACTTGACTGACTGCACTGCTAGTACCACAAACTCAATTTCCTGGTAAACAATTTAGAAAGGACGTATGCTCCATCTGAAATTATGTCTTTTACTATCAACAATTTTTTTTTTTTTTTTTCAGATTAAGACTGGTCAAACCAAAGATGACTCCACTGGGCATACCGGAATATAATTTGTCCCCATCAGCCAAAGTCACCCAAAAGATGCATTGAATTTGGACCCTCTGTTACAATCAAAGATTGTAATCATGGAACATTACTCCCAGTGGGACTTGCGATTCCTCTTCAGTCTTGGATGTCCTCTACACCACTAAATATGTTTGAAAGGAACAATGAATCTCCACTGTTTAACACGGTTAAACTTAACGGATATCAACCTATCAGTTTATTGACAATAAATTTCACCTGCTTTGGTGCAAATGAAAGTAACTGGTGCAATGGAGAGTAAAAATCAAGGCAACCCATGGAATTGGGTTTTGCATGTGGTGGTTGCAGACAATTGCTCTCTCCTTATCCTTCCTGACTGATTGTTCTCTAGTTTTGTGTTCTGCTGCTGTCCTTATTACTGGTAGCATTAGGTGGTAACTGCAGCCCTATCAGGACAGGAAGTCCAGATCCCCACAGGGTGGCTTATTAATACATGTGATCACAAGAAGGTTTACGGTCTCCCAGCACATTGTCAGTAAAATAGAGATCCCCAAGTACAGCATCTGTTGACTCATCAGGGTCAGGCATGCTCAGATGCTGAAATATACACAATGAAGATTAAATTCCCGCAAAGGCTGTGATTTCAATTTGTTACTTAGATTTCCGGTGTGGTTTTGAATCTTGCCCTCAATGGGTTGATGACTTGTATTTTCTTTGTAACCTTATATTTTTCTCAACAAATTATAAAATGTACATCAGCAAAGATTTTCAATTCGACTGATTTCTTCATCGAGATCTGATGTCTGGTACATTAGTGTTCCCTACATTTTTTTTAAGCAGCGTACAACCACATGGCAGCTGTACTGAATTGTGTATTGCAGCATTGTGAAAAGGTTGTCCCATACCTTTCACCTGCCCCCACCTTCCCTACACTGGCCTGCAGAGTGATTAGGCTGAGTGAAATCACCTGAGCTTAATCAGACAAAGTGAGGCCAGTTGGGGTTTTCTTGTATATAAAGCCAGAGTCTGGGGGGGGGGGGTGTTTTTTGTTTGGTTAGTGGCAGCTTGCTGTGAGGCTGTGGTTTCGTTCGGTTTACGTAATCTTGTTTTATTAGGTTACCCGGGACTTTTGTTTGGTGCTATTTTTGGTTAATAAATCAATCACTTAATTTTGCATTGACTTCTGCCTCCTGACATCTTTTTGCTCACCACCAGTGCCGAACAGCCACACTTAAATCCCAATTTTGAGGTGGACTTACAATCAGTAATGTTACATTTGGTGGCAGTGGTGGGATTTTTTTTCATCACTGAAACTGGAGAGCCAGAAGAAGAAGCCCGGACGCCCAATCACCAGGAGCGCACAGAAAGCCATGCAAAGTGAAAGCCAAACACTGCAGTATGACCCAGGGGCTCTACGAGGTGACCAAGGTCCTAGGGAGGACCTAGCTACAGGTGGAGACAGTGGTGGTCCCAGGGGACACGAACAAGGTGGCCTGGATCAACTGTATGCCCTCATCCAGAGGCACATGCAAGTCCAGGAGAGAGAGGCCTTCAAGCAGGAGCAAAGGTGGAGAAGTATCCAGATACAACTGAACCAGGTGCGGGATGAGATGGAGGCAGAGAAGCGGGAAGAGGTCAGCGGAGGTATGGAGCACAATGACCCAGAAAGGAGGGGTGCATTGTCCAGGTCTCCAGCGACTGGTGGATCACCGCCCCCTGACAACAATCCTCCCTTCCCTGTGGGGCCAGCAACCTGGAGCAGAGCCACCATTCCAAAATTGGAAGAAGGAGATGACATTGAACCATATCTCACAACATTTGAGCGCCTAGCCACCGCGTACAGATGGCCCAGGGCGGAGTGGGCTGTGCAGCTGGTTCCACATCTGACGGGTAAGGCCAGAAGCGCCTATGTTGCAATGGATGTGAATGATTCAGTGGACTATGACAAAGTTAAAGAGGCCATTCTAGCCAAATACGAAATAAATGAAGAAATGTACCGTCAGAGGTTCCGTGATCCAGAAACCCATCCAGGGGAGACTCCTCGAGAGCTTTATCATCGTCTGAAAGAGCTTTACAAGAAATGGGTGAAACCAGCACAAAAGACAATGGAGGAAGTTGGAGAGGTCCTGATCCTGGAGCAGTTTCTGCGCACTCTGTCACCTGAAGTTAGAGTGTGGGTGATGGAGCATAACCCTGAGAACGGTCAGAGAGCTGCTCAACTGGTGGAGGCCTTCATGGCTGCAAGGAGGGGACCAAAATTCTTCCGTCATGTCAAGAACAACCGACCAACCACGCCCAAGGGTAAGTCTGGGGGGTTTGGTGGGGGTGGTCAACATTTTTCAGATGAGAGGAGAGGAGTAGGTGTTAAATTCCCTGACAGTACAGCAGGAAAGAGAAATAAAGACCCACCTGTTTGTTATTTTTGTGGAAAGGAAGGGCACATAAAGCCTGAATGTCCAGCTTTAAAAGTAAAAGGTGCCAACACCATGTGCTGTGTTCCCAGACCCACTATACAGAAAGCAGATGATCATGAAGTTAGAGGTAAAATGCAAATAGCAACTGTTACTGTTAATGGCATGCCCGCCACTGCTTTATTGGACTCTGCCAGCACTCAGACTTTAGTCATGCCCTACCTGGTTCAGCAACAGCAGATGGGGGAAGGGGAAGTAGAAGTGTGGTGTGTGCATGGTGACAAACGTCCTTACCCGACAGCGTGTGTTTATCTTGAAGTGCAGGGCCAGTCGTACTTATTAGAGGTTGGAGTTGTTCCTGGTTTAAGTCATCCAGTCCTGTTAGGTCAAGATCTACCCATCCTACCCAGGTTACTTCATCAGAGCAGGCCAGTTAATATGGTTGTAACCAGAGCCAGGAGGGACAACACTAGCCAGTCTCTGCAACCTATCACACACTCACAGGGGTTAGAGCAGCTTCCCTTCAGTCAGGTTGAGTTCCCTAGTGAAAGTAATGGCCGGGTTAACAAGAGTAGGCAGCAAAGGCGGCGGGAAAAGCTCATGGGGGCCCTGAGACAGCAACAACAGCCGGTTTCAGAGCCAGAGCAGTCAGCAGGAGACAGTTGGTGGGAGGTTCCTGGGGATTTAAACCAGCTTCAGAGGGAAGACAACACGTTACAAACTGCCTTCAGCAAGGTCACTGAGATAGATGGTGTGAGCACGGGGGTATCCCCCTCCTTAACGGGGGAGAGTTTTCTGATGCGCAAGGGGTTACACCAACATAGTGGAACATAACATTATCCTGGAAGATCCTTCTCCTGTCTGCAAGAAAATGTACCGGATTCCAGAGAGGTTGCTGCCAGCCCTGAAGAAGGAGCTGGAGTTAATGATGACACTGGGTGTAATTGAAAAATCTCACAGTGAGTGGAGCAGTCCTGTAGTGCTAGTACTTAAAAAAGGTAGCACTATTAGATTTTGCATTGACTTTCGTAAACTTAATGCTCAGTCAAAGTTTGATGCCTATCCCACCCCAAGGCTGGATGACCTTATTGAGCGTGTTGGACAGGCCCAGTACATCAGCACACTCGATCTATGCAAGGGGTATTGGCAGGTGCCGCTGGCTCCAAAGGCCCGGCAGTACACTGCTTTCAGAACTCCCCAAGGCCTTTTCCAGTTTACGGTCATGCCCTTTGGTCTGCACGGGGCCCCAGCCACGTTTCAGCGACTCATGGACAGAGTCTTGGAGGGGACAGAATCCTTCTCAGCTGCTTACCTAGATGACATTGTCATTTTCAGTCTGACATGGGAGGATCACATGCGGCATCTGGGAGAAATTCTACAGAGGCTCAAGCAGGCCGGTCTGACAGTTCAGCCCAAAAAGTGTTCCCTAGCCCAACCAGAAACAAAGTACCTGGGCTATTTGCTGGGCCGTGGTGTGATACGGCCTCAACAGGACAAGGTGCAGGCAGTGAAGGATTGTCCACGTCTTGGTACCAAGAAGGAGCTGAGGTCTTTTCTTGGCCTGGCTGGGTGGTATCGACGCTTTGTTTCCCAATTTGCCACACGAGCAGCTCCTTTAACTGACCTTACCAGGAAGTCCAGCCCTAATCAACTGCCGTGGGAAGGAAAGCATGAACTAGCTTTCCTTGACCTGAAGGGGGCACTCTGTGATGATCCAGTATTGCAGAGCCCAGACTTCAGCCAACCCTTCGTCGTGCAAACTGATGCCTCAGGGGTGGGCCTGGGGGCTGTCCTGCTTCAGGGTGAAGGGACTGCCCAGAAGCCGGTTGCTTATGCCAGCCGGAAATTGTGGCCAAGAGAGACAAGGTACTCGGCTATTGAGCTGGAGTGTCTGGCCATCAAGTGGGCATTAGAGACCTTTAAATACTATCTGCTAGGCAGAGACTTTATTCTGGAGACAGATCACAGAGGCCTGCAGTGGCTTCATAAAATGAAAGACTCAAACAACCGCATTTCAAGATGGGCTCTTGAGATGCAGCCTTACAGATTCAGGGTCCATTATCGACCTGGAAGGGACAATGTTGTGGCCGACTTCCTGTCTCGCCATCCTGATGGCGAGCTTTCAGGGGAGGGGGAAATGTGAAAAGGTTGTCCCATACCTTTCACC